ACTGTCCATGGGAAAAGCCAGAGCCGGTCCAGGCCTGCAAAGAAATGGACACTGGGCCCAGGGCTGCACCCAGGCCCTGCTCTGTGTGTCAGTGGCTGATGTAGCTTACTCATGGCCTGGGGTGCTAACTGCCCCTGCTCCCTGGGAGGGGCTGTGATGGCCCAAAGCCGCACCTCCTGCTCTAATGAAGAGAACTGAAGGGGCCTCTGACAATCCACAACGTCCTGTCAGTGAACATCTGTCTCCTGCAGAGAACCACAGGTGACTCTGGAAATCATGGATAAGTAAACTTCCTTCAGTTTTAGCTTCCTTCCCTGGAAAACCCTCCTCTGGACTGATAGGCATAATTGGGGTCATGAAGAGCCCTAGTCAGAGCTTCCTCACTCCTGCTCCAACATGTCACTCTGAAGGACAAATGTTTAATCGTGAGTTTTTAATTATCTCACAGTGTCCTACTCCCTTACTAGGCACAGATTACTAGCAAAATTTGGGGACAACTCTCCAGTTCTGGAAAAGGCCAAAGCAGAGTTTATCTGGTGGGACTATGTCAGGCCATGCTTTTACACACTCCTGTGCTTACCATAAAGACTTGCACCCTACTCTTGTGAACAAGTGAGTTCCCAGATCCATATACGGAATCAGGACCTCAGTGGCCTACCCTCGGAGACCCTGAGGAGGTGTGGTGCGTGGTGGAAATAACTTTGTCCAAGAAGGACACCAAAAGGAGGGTTACAGTCATCATTTCACAACAGGTTACTGAGGTGAAACCTCTTCCACCAGGGGCCTCTGCTCAAAAAGCAAGACACATGACCCTGCTTGGCACTGACATCCCGTTTACCAATTTGGAAAGACAGTGTTTTGCTGAAGAGTAAAATAAAGCACAACCAGGAAATTCTACAATTCCTTGAGGCAATCTATCTTCCCAAGCAGGTCACTGACATTCATTGCAAGGGACCCCAAAGAGACATGTCTGAAGTCTCCTTGGGAAATCAAAGGCCTGTTAGAGAGGCAAGAAAGGCACCCTTGCAGCCCCTCAAGACTCTAGACTTAGTCCCAGTTCCTGAGGAAACATTGAGCTGGTTCTTCCTTGAGGAATGCGGTGACAAGATATAAAAATCCTACATGTGAAATGGTCACTTGAATTTTCATAGGACTAGGGCTAGCCTGCCAACAGGGCTGAAAAGCTTGACAAGCTCAGACCAGCTCCTCGGTTAGACCTGCACAGAGCAGAGGGACCATATGCTGGGGAAGACTGGCAATTATAACACCAGCTCCCCCTGAACTGTCTGAAGAAAAGGACCACCCAAATGAAAAAGCTTGTGAACCTTTGGAAGACCTGAGGCTCCTCTTCAAAAGTCAAGACACTAGTATGCTCCAGGTGTGGGTAACCAACCACTGGTGACCTCTATTCCCCACAGCTTAAATGGGCACCTATATTGAGGCTCCTGTTTTTGATTAGATCCATAGTGTGGGTAATCTTGCAAGGGCCATAACTCTCAGGCTTTTGGTAATTTATTTAACACCACTTTTGCCATACTTTGTCCACCACTGGAAGCTTAGAAATCTGAAAACTACTCTCTTGACAAACATCACGCTTAAAAAAATATTACCAAGCTTTCTCCCATCAAACAGGTAGCTCAACAGTCCACCCCACCAGCTCTTTTCTCATAGGTTTTTTTTGATAGGTTTTTTTTTCCAACTCAGCCAGTGAGTCACAATAGCCCAAGGTAGTTAGGACACAATCCCTAGTGAGCAGCCCCAGTAAGGGCCTACAGCCTCTTTCAGCCAGAAGTAACTATATTATGTGAAAGCAGAGATCTCCACATCTTCAGCATCCTATAAAGAATCATGAAGATTTATATTTCTCAGAGGGAAATAAAGTAGGAGATTAGGGCATAGCACAGTTTGCTATGTGACCTGTCAATCTTGGTGATCCAGAACATGCGCAGAAAAACAGTTCCCAAAGCCCTGCACCGGGAACCAATCAGAGAAAGCTCTCTCCAGTTCTCCTGAGAACTCAAGCAGGTTTCTGATAGGATGGCCTAGACCTGACGTCAGCCTTAGGGGCGGGAGATACCAAAAATGGCGGCCACTGGGGCCACTGAGCTCTCATTTATCGTATGGGCTCATACCCTAGAGCGCGCACTTCTGTTCCTATTCCCACTTTTAATTGGCCAAATCTGCAGAGCATATTTCTTTTCCTAACTTTAATAAATGTAAAATCTCTCACTACCTTAAAAAAGAAAGAGAGAAAGAAGAAAGAGAGAGAGGGGAGAGAAGAAAGAAACAGAAGAGAGAGAAATGGGGAGAGAGGGAGAGAGAGATGGGCAGGCCCAGTTGATACTCTGGACTAGCGTTTAGGCTGGAGTCAAAAACAGGACCAAGGTCAGGGCTAGGACCACGGACAGTGTCAGACTGGAAGTTGATTAAAAACAATAGCCAGAGCAGAAGAGTCAGAGACCAGGCTGGGGCAGATCCCGGAAGGGCAGATGGTAAAGCATTTTGGAAAATTGGCAGGATCAACTCAATTTAGTTAATCTGGACATAGGCAAACCTTATAATCCTGTGGTGTGTCTCCAGGGAATATAGCCCCAAACCACAGTACTACCCACAGGCCACCACATTGGGAAAAATCCAAAGGTCTTTCATCAGTACAGTGGATCAAATACACTGTGGTTGATTCACACAGTGGAATAAGTAAAGCAAAGAGAATAAGCTACAATCTTATGCAATAATGTGGAAGGATCTTACCAATTTGAGGTTGAGTGAAAGAAACCAGATGTTTAGGAGAACGTGCTGGGTAATTCTATTTAGATGAAGTTGTAGGAGGGAGGGTGACAGGCTGTGGTGTTCTGGGTCAGAAGTATATGGCTGTCGTTGGGGGTAGAGGCCGGAGGGCCACTGTGGGAATTCTGGGATGCTAAGAATACTTAATCACTTATTTATTTTGCACATGTTAGGCGAATGCTCTACCACTGAGCTACACACCCAGACACTTGAAAAATGTATTTGTTTACTGTGTGCGTGTGGTGCCAGGAACTGAGTGCAGGGAATACCCTGCTCCTCAGTCTGGAGATGGTTGTTCTGCTGTGTGGGTGGGATTCTCTGAGGCAGAGACTGGGAAGCAAGGGCGACGGGAGTGTGGCAGGAAAGGTGAGACAGGGAAGAGGATTCGGGCATACAGCCCGTCTTCCTGCTGGGAGAGAACAGGAGAGCTAGGTTAGCAGGTGCCAGCTCTTCCAGACCAGAGAGGCCCGGGGAGCACAGCGGAGCAGCGGTGGGAAATGCTGTCTGGGCTGAGCCCCTCTCTCCCAACACATATATTTTCTGGCTTCCTCTGAGACAAGAAAAAGGAGTTTCAGGGCTACAAAATACCAGACAGGGTGACTAACAACAGACTGCTTCCCCCAGGGCACCCCAACCCCAGAGAACCCAGAGAGACTACCATATGCAGATGCCTGACCTTTCCCAGGCCTCAGTTCTCCTCTCAGCTTGGAGCCAGGCCTGCGGTCAGAAGCGGGCTCTGCACTGCCCTAGCTGTCCCTCCTGTCTAAAGCCAGGCAAATCCCACACGAACCGTGGGGTTCATGCCCATCCACAAGTGCAGATATGAGGCTGGGTGTAGTGGAAACTGCCTGTAGTCCCCGCAGTTTGGAGGCGGAGACAGGAGGACTGCCATGAGTTTGATGTCAGCCTGAGGAGCACATAGTAAACTCAAGGCCAGTCTGACCTGTCTCCAAAATCCCCAGAAATACAAATATGAATACATCTGTACAGATGCACAGACATCTACCCAATCAGCCTGCATCTCTGTGGACATACACATGCGTGTGTGTACATATGGGCATGCCGTGTGCACACACACGCCTTCTTATACATACAACCTCCGTTTCACAGTTCTTCCACTGTCACTGGGCAGTGCCTAGAAAAGCAGTTCGCTTTGGGGCTTGGGGCCAGCAGGGAAAGGAACAGGGGCCCTTCCTAGGTGGAAGCAGAGGTGACTGGACCCCTGCTGGCCCACTGTGCTTCCTCATGTCCTGAGGCCCCTGGGAGTGACCCATCCTCTCCTCTGGACAGTGGTCTCTGTCTCTGCCCTGTGCTGGGAGAGGAGGGGGTCTTGGCCACAGGAATAGATACAGAGAACCAACTTGGGGACTCTGTAAGACTGGGGAGGCCATTCTAATGGAAGGGGCAGTGCCCCAGCCAAGCCCCAAGCATGCCCCAGCTGTGCCCGGTCCTCCCTCCACCCTGTCACCATCCCTCAGCTCTCCACTCTCAAGTCTGGAAACAGCACTGGAGTGTCCCTTGCAGAGGTGTTCCTCTGCATCCCTCTGAAGTGTGGCTGGGGGGGCACCCTCCCCACAGTCAGAGGAGGGCAGGGGCGGGGGCGCCTTCCCAAACTGTGACTCAACACCCCTGGCATTCCATGTTGTGGCCAATTCTGACACTTTGCTCATCCGGGACGGGAGGTCCCATGGGGGAGGTTCCATGGGGGAGGGGGAGAGGGAAGGCTGGGGGAGGGCTTGGGGGTTCAGGGGTGAGGGCCTCGGTCTGCCCCAGTGTCCTCTCACCCTCCTGCCACACTCCCAGCCAAATCTGGCAGGGCTGGAGGAGGTGCAGCGTGTGGGTGGAGGCCTGAGGGGGTCTCAGATTTGGTTTCAGACTGTGTATGAAGCAGGTGCCTGATAGAAAACTTCCCGGGCGCGATCTGGGAGCGTCAGGAGGCTGGCTTGGGGCACACCCCAGGCCAGGGCTGGAGAGGAAGGGAGCTGAGAGACCCAGGTGTCTTCCCGGGGCACAGCGGGCAGGGGTGAGGGGGTGGCCGGAAAAGCAGGGTGGCCGCGCAGCCAGGGTGTTTCCAAGCTGCTTCCCAGAGGCTTCCTCAGTTCCACTTCCAGTTGTTCCCAAGCCATTAAATTCTTTCCGGGCGAGATAAGAGCCCCGCCCGCCCCGCCCGGGGTCACGTGTGTGTGCAGGCTGGGGGGGGGGGGATAGGGGAACTGGAGCTGGGGAGCCGAAGGGGACAGGATTGGTGCACACGTAAGGCCCTGTGTCCTGGGGACATCGCTTGACTCGGCGCAGCACTCTCGGCCAGGAGTGAGTTTTGGAGTCCAGTCCACAGGCTTTGGGCTCCCCGCTAGATCTGAGCGTCCTGCCCACTGCACCATACTTTGGCATCTCCTGGGGACTTTGTCTTCCCCATCCCCTCCCCAGCCTAGGCTGGTGGCACAGTCACCAGTCTCCCTAGATGCCCAGAGAAGCCCGCCCCCACACCCCACTCCTTGGGACTGGGGAGCCCACCGTGTTCCCCTAAGTCTGGCTGGCCCCCAGCTCAGCCTTCCACAGCCCCAGCGTCTGACCAATAGCCATCCCCAGCCTGGCACTGCTACTGGGGGCCCTGTGTGTTCCTGGACCTGCATGGGTCCCAAGTCCCGCTCCAGCCCTGAACCTGCCCCGCTGGCTGGCACACACCCTCCTGCCCCAGCCTCCCCGAAGACCAAGTCCTGTCCCGCCCTGTCCCAAGGAAGTCCCTACCGGGACTCTCAGGTGCTCCCACCTGGAGCAGCCCTACCTGGGCTCCAGGCAGCTGCCGAGTCCTGCACCTGGGGTACCTCCAACGCCGGGAGTGGGGTCTCTGGGCTGGGGGCTCCACTTGGTAGCTCTGGACTCCAGGAGGACCCTGGCTTGTCCCTCGCGGCGGAGCCTCACCGAACCACACCGTGACTGACCGACCGCGGATCTGGGCAGCGACAAGAGGAGGAGGCAGCCTAGAGCCAGCGGGGAGGGGAGCAGGGGGGGCGAGCGTGAGGTCAGGAGGAATCCAGACGGCGGCCTCCACCCTCCTCTGCCCCACCCTGACCCTCCCAGGGCCCTGACCCCTCCTGGGCAGCCAGCCGACAACCTCACCTCGCCCCCTCTCTAACTCCATTCCCTGGTCCCTTCCTCCACCCTGCCTGCACTTCCCTCACCCGCCGTCCTTCTCTGACCCGTTCCTATGCTGCCTGTGCTGTCCCCTCTCCGCAGCTCAGCAGGGCTCTCTCATCCCCAGCAACTTCATGCTGGTCGCTGGGGTCTCAGACAGGGCAAGGGGTCCAAGTGGTCCCAAGCTGAAGCCTCCTTCTCCTGCCGATCTCTGTCCTGCAACTGCCACCTGCACCTCCTCCTCCCCTTCTGTCCGTCTGTCTGTCTCTGGCCAGAGCTGCCTGTGCTCTTCCCCTCTCCCGGTGGCCTCCTGGTCTCAGTGGGGGATTCCTGCCCCTCCCACCTTGACAGATTCCTGCAGCACTGGTGGTGCCATGGGCACTGGGCTGGCTGGGCAGGGCCTTGGCTGCCCACCAGGACGTGGGAAGTGGAGGTTGGAGGGAGGCAGGGAAGGAAGGTGCAGAGGCAGGAGGAGCATGTTGGGTGAGCACCCAAACGGTGTGTGTGTGGGGTGATGTGAGGGAAAGTACAAGGCCAGTGCCTGGGGACAGCACAGGAGTCAGGGCTGCTGGAGAAGGAAACAGGCTCAAGGCTGGAGCCAGGCACCCGGGGAACCCACGTCCCACAGAAGCCCCTGTGCTCTTGTCTCCTCCAGAGGTGGTTGAGGTGCTCATCCCAGGGGGGGAGCACTCTGCCCTGGAAGTCCTCTCTAGCCCCTCAAACCTCACCACCGAGGTCACCTGATGCCACCCCTGGGTGGCGGTTTGGATGTTTGCACCACAGGCCAGGTGTGCATCCCCGGATTGAGGGCACAGCATGTGGCTGTGGACAGAAGCACACACGGCTGTTGCATGAGGCCCCCCTCCCCCGTGTACGTCCGTGTGTTTGGGTGCGTGTGGCAGGTTTTTTCCTGGCTTCAATGGGGAGGATGAAGTCAGCATCTTGGACAGAGCTGGGCTCAGCTTCCTTCCTGGGCCTTGGCCTGATGCCCCCGAGCCAGGAGCGGGAGCAGCCTCTCTCGGGCCTGGGCAGGTGCTGGGCAGGTGCAGCAGCCTCACACAGCTCACCAGCATGTGCAGAGTGTGGCCTTCCCGACACGTGTGATTCCAGGTGTGTGCTCTGGGTCGCAGACACCTCCCCAAGCCAGGCCTTGGTCTCCTCGTTTAGCAAGGGTGGTCACCATGAGTAGCGTTGGCCCGGGGAGTGACCAAGAGGCTCTGGAGAGAAGCGAGGCCCTGGGGCATCCTGGAAGCCTACTGCTGGGACTGGATCCTGGGACATCAGACAGGAACATGGGGTTCCAGATGTTTACAAGCTTACAGGGCATTTGGGGAGCCACTGGAAGCTTGACACAGTTCCAGGTTCTGAAATAATTGTTTCCTAAAATGATTCACTGGGACTTCAGGCTCTGGGAGGACTCATAGGTTGTTTTTTGTTTTGACACAGGGTCTTGTTTATGCAGTCCAGCCTGGGCTCAAACGCAAGGTGATCCTCCTGCCTCAGCCTCCTGTGTGCTGGGATTACAGGTGTGCACCGCTGGACCCGGCAGGACCCCCTATCTAATGTACGTTTGCATCACATCAGAAAAGCACCAAGCCCTGCACAGCGTGTGCCTAATAAATGCTTATCTATAGCGAATCACGGGAAAAGGGGTTGACAGGAGAGAGGAATGGAACGGGAAAGAAAGAAACAGCCGCATGTGTCAGACAGGTACAGATTCTCTGCAGTGAACGTGTCATCCTATGTATGTAAAATGTACCAGCAAAATAAAGAGTGAATGGGGGCTGGGGATTTAGCTCAGCGGCATAAGCGCCTGCCTTGCAAGCAGGCAGTCGTGAGTTCGATCCCTGGTACCAATAAAAATGAAAAAGACCAAAAAAAAAAAAAAAAAAAAAAAGAGTGAAAATAGTAATGAACTATGAAAGGGCCAGGACAGGACGGAACCACAGGCAAGAGGGCAGGGAAGCCCTCCAGGAGGAGCTGGGCATGGAAGTGTCCTGGTGGCAGGGACAAAGCGTTGTCCGTAACTGTCCACGGACTGGGGCTGTTCCAGAAGCCTCCATCAGGTGTCTTGAGCTCTCAGCCTCCACCCTGGCGCGATCCCCCAAGGTCCTGTCCTGCCCTCAGGAGGCTACAGCATGAAAGCTACAGCCAGAAGAGAGCGCCATGGGCACAGCGCAGGCGAGCCCCGCAGCACGCGCAAGTCTGCATAGGGAGCTTCTAAAAAAAAGAGGTAAGAAGAGAGGAAAGGGGAAAAGCAGAAGATAAAGAGGAAGGGCAACTGAGGGCAAGGACGTGAAAGATAGAAACAAGGAGGCCAGGGGCTGTGATCCAAGGACGCGGTCCCAGAGAGGGGAAAGAGGAAACGCTTGTCCTGGCTTCCATTTACACAGCAGCTTCCTCCGGTGCAGGGGTTTTATGAATCCCACATCGTGGCCAGCAAACGGAGGCTCACAGATGTTGCATGGTTTGTCCAAGGGCTCTGTTCTTGGTGGAGGTGGGCTTCGGACTCCGAAGCTGTGGTCTGTCCCTGTCTACGACGGCTCTAGGGGAAGCTGGGGCTGAGGATCCCCCAAGAACCTGGGGGCTGCTTTCCCCAGAGCAGAGGCTGTGGCTTCTCGGAGGATTTGCTGAAGGGTGGAAGACCCGGGATTTTGCGGCTAATCCTTCTGCATCCAGTTACTGCGCAGTTAGGGAGAGGACACTGCCTATTACTGGGTGTGTGGGTGTCTGGGAGGGACAGGGGGCCATCAGTGTCCACCGTGGGGAAGGCAGGGTCAAGGATGTAGATGAGGGACAGAACAGAGCCTGAGAAGAGATCCAGGGAGCTAGGAAGGGGCCAGAAAGCCATTGGAAGCAGGGTCTGGAACTTGGTACTCCCTTCTCCCGGAGACATGGGTGTGGGGAGGAGGGAGGAGGGAGGACATTTCTATCTCGTGACAAAAGAAAGTCACACAATTGTTTTGTTTTCTATTCTGGGGCGGGTGGGCGCTTGTATTTACCAGAGGGACTGAGGTCGCTGTGGCAACCACACATCTGGGCCCCGGAATCCAGATGTGCTGTATCGAGGAGCCATAGCAGAACGATGAGGCAAATGCTAGGTTCCCCAGTCCTGGCCCCCACTGCTGGGGCGAGAACAGAGCACTGGGATGGGAAAGTGCGGGGGGTGAGGGGTGGCTGGAGCGGGGAGGAGAAAGGATGGAGGGGACAAGGACATGGACGAGGAGAAAGGGACCCAAGGGGAGTGGGCATGAGAGGGAGGAGGTTACACGGGGTCAGCGGCAGGAGAAGGCCTGGGAGCCCAGGAATGGGGGGACACAAAGGAGAGGCGGGAGACAGCAGCCAGGGGTATGGGATCCAAAGGTGGTGGCGACATGGTGGGGCAGAGGGCATAGTCTGGGGAAGTCTGGAGACGAGGACCAGGGAGGGGATGCCAGGGGACAGAGGTGGTAGCCTGAGGAAAGCAGAACCGAGACAGGCTTCTAGGACAAGACAGCCAGCGAGGAACAGGAGGTGGCCTTAGTCAGAGGGACGGAGACCCGCCTAGGCCTGACCACGGCACAAGAGCCACCTTCTAGAGGGCTCCAACTCTCTGTCCCTCTGCAATGCCACTGATGGTTCATACCAGCATCTGGGCCACTTGGCAGAGGCGCGTCTGCACCACCCGAGCCCCGAAGGAGACACCAGCAGCTCATACAGACACGGGACAGGGAGGCAGGCTGGACTCGGTCAGGCGAAGGGACTGCAGACTGGCTGGGGTCAGCCTCTCCCCTCACCCTCGGTGGGGGTGGGGGTGAGGGAGCCTCTGGTATTTACGGAAAGGCAGGGTGGGAGCCAGCTCAGGGGAGCTGCCCTAGGTCCCACTGCCCCCAGGTCTGGCTTTGCAGCGGGACAGGCGGGAAAGGCCTGCGGGATCCCGGGACAGGAAGCTGGGCGAGGTCCAGGGCTGTCCTCTGGAGGGAAGTGAGGTCCAAGTTCCTGGGAGCCCCAGTTCCAAGTTCCCATAGTTACCGGCTGTTTTCCCCCCAAACACAGCACGGGGCGGGTGGTGCCGCGCAGGGGAGAGCCTGGCCGGACACGTGAGGCTTCCTCCCTCCTGTGAGCCTGGGCTGCCGGCCCGGGCGGCCCCTGTCCAGTCATCCGGGCCCACAGCCCAGGCCCTGCTCACACCCTGCGCTGACCCAGGCCACTCCTGCAGGTCAGGCTCGAGGTGCTGCTGGCGGGGATCCCCCATCAGGCTTGGGCACAGCCCTGCTGTCTTCCCATGTGGAATGCAGTCAGCTCCACCTGGGCCTCCTAATGCTGTGGGTCAGGTACCTGAGCCCCGGTGAGGGTGTGTGGACGCCCACAACTTGGCCCAGCCCCCGAGAACTGCTCACCCTGGAAGCAGGGGAAGCAGGGACAACTTTCTGGGGAGCCCAGGATGGGTGGGAGCTGTACACCCTCGAGGGTGGGGCACCATCCTTCCTGTTTACTCAGATACATTCTGGGATCTGTGGCCCCTGGTGTCCTGCCACACAGGGACGCACTGCTAGACAGACAGACAGACATGCCCAGGAGGCCTGCGATCCCACCTCACCCTGCCCCATGCCAGCTGTCTCCAGCGCTTGGTTCTTCCACACTGGCCCTGTGAAGTCACAAGCCAGCAGGAGGCACTGCCACCACCCAGACTCCTTCCAGGTGGGTTACTGGGCAGTAAAAACCAGGCACACACGCAGCACTGTCTCCCCTCCACTACCCCTTTATTCCCACTACCTCACAATGTAAACCCCCCTAGTCCCGCCTGGGGACCAACAGCCTGGCACAGCGCCCCAGGGGAACAAAAGAACAGAGCGTATGGGAGCCCCCACCCTAAAACTGAGGCTCACTCCGGACCCTCAGAGGAAGCAGGGACCGGGGTTCCATAGCAATGAGGAGCCCTATATCCCCAGAAGGGGAGGAAGGAGGGGTAAACCACCTGACCCCACTAAGTGCTCAGCCCCAAACCCTGTCTTTCCTCTACCAGCTGCCCCGAATCCACACCAGGGCCTGGGAAACCCGCAAAGCGACGAGGCTCCCGCACCCAGCCGCCTCAGGCAGCCAGTGCAGGGGTCAGGGGTGGCGGAGGTAGAAGGCCCGGTGGGGGCCCTGGTGAGCCTGGCTGGTGGTGGCGTTGCCCTGGGCTGGGGCTGGCGGCTTCCGCAGCGAGGGGGGCACCGTGGAGGTCTTGATGTGAATCACTCGGGTGTCCATGACCTCACACTCAATCTGCATCATCTCCTCATAGTCCCCTGGGGCGCCCCGGCCAGACAGGGTCTCTGAGGAGGAGGAGAGGCAGAGCAGGGTATGGGCCAGGAAGGAGAGGAGGTGTGAGGGGAGGGGGAGTAGGGCAGGGATGCAGTGCCGTGGGGGGAGAGGGGCGGGAAAAGAAAGTAACAGGATGAGCTTGGCAGGGGCCACACAGGCAGGACCCCAGAGGAGGGCAGAGGGCAGGTCCAGCAGCCTTAGGTCACCCCCTGCCTGGCCACTGCCCTGATGAGCCACGCCCTCGCCCTCCTGGCGTGGTCTCTGCCACTGTGTGCTCTCTCTACCCTTGCTGCCATCTCTCTGGACACCCCATCGCCCGCCCTGGCAGCCCATCCTCTCCCCTGGCCATGGGGACTGCAGTACCGTTGGGGGCCATGGCAGGCATCACCAGTGACATCTTGGGCCGTGAGGTCTTGTTGTGGCTGATGGCCGGAAGCAGCAGATGGTCCTGGGAGGGGCGGCCGAGGAAGAGGGAAAGGTGTAAGGTACTCACCCCTCTCTGATCTCCAGCCCCTCTCTTGAGGACAGGCTGTGGTGTGGGCGGGGAGGAGCTCACCCTCCGGAAAGAGACCACATAAAACGTGTCTTCCCGCCGGTCAATGGCATCCAGGAACTCTGGCTGGGACCGATCTGGGCGTCGGTAGAGCTGCAGCTGGCCCACAGGGTCCCTAGGTAGGGGATCCGGTCCAGGAGTGAGCCCTGCACCCTCTTCCCTCTGGCCAGAGACCTCGGCAGTGAGGTGATCACAATCCTGCTGGGGACAAGGCTGGCGAGCACAGACCTGCGGGGTGGACTCCTGCTTGATCAGCTGCACCTCCCCGTCCTCACCTTTCGGGGGGCCCCGGAGGCTGGCTGGGGACTGCCTTCACTGCGAGCAGCTTCCTGCGTGGTTGAGACTTCTGGAAGGAGAGGCACTTCAGGATGGGCAGAGGGTGAGGGAGAAGGGAAAGGGACAGCCTGGTGGCTGACACCTCCCTGCTGCTTCCCCCCAGTTCCTAAAATCTTGTCCTAGAGGTGAGGCTACGCAATGGCCTGGGGACACCAGCCCTGTCAGAGCAGACCCTGCCCACCTGTCTCTCCTGGGCCCTCTGCGGGCTCCTCCGACGGCCTCTCTGGTGGCGCTGTACCCAGCCGCTCAGCTCATCAGCCAGCCTGCGGAGCAGAGGGGTCGTCGGCAGTCCAGGCTGGGCCCGGGCACCCACTTCCCAGGCATGAACCAGAGAGGGTGGAGGTCAGCACTCAGGAGGCGACGCCCGCACCTCAGGGATTCGGTCCGGTTGAAGTGCCGGCAGTCAGAGGAGAGGAAGAGCTGGTCCAGGTCCCGCAGCAGCAGCTCCTTGGCAGCGCCAGGGAAGGCTGTCAAGTTCCTGGAGCAAGGAAGACAGTACCATGTGAGGATGCCCCATAGTTGGCACTCCCTCTGTGCAGAAGCTGCCCCCTCCTCACCTGAAGCTGGGCCGGGCCACCTGGCTGGGCTGTGGCTCCTTGGGGCCCTGGGGGGACCCCTGCAGGGGCTCCATCCCCTGAGCCGGTGGCTGCTCTGAGAACTCCAGCAGGTGCCTCTGAGCCCGGGGTGCCTGACCCCCCATCTGCGAGGCAGGTGCTGGCGGTGGCTCACTGATGCTGCATGAGGGAGGGACAGTGGTGAGCAGCCGCCAGCTCTCAACAGAGCACCCTGCAGTCAGGCTGCCTGGGTGACACTGCTGTGCAAGACCTGGTCTTTCCCTCCATGACCGGGGGATGGTTCCCACCACACAGGTCCAGAAACAAGAAAAGGACAGCACTTAACCTGCAGCCTCAGTTCAGCAAGCTGATACCACCGCCACTAGTGCCCCCACCACGCCCCCAATGAACAGCTGAGCCCAGGCCCTGTGGGATGCCCAACATTGGGGTGCTGAGAATGTGGAGTTGTCTGGGTGTTGGCGGGGGGATGCCGACGGAGCCAGCGCAGACAGGCAGCCCCAGGCGGTTGGAGCTCACCTGACAGGTCCGAAGTTGAAGGCAATGAAGAGGAGGAAGACCACGATGCAGACCACCTTCCTGTTCCCAGAGCCCAGCTTGAGTTCACTGTTCTGCAGTGACAGCACAGGAAGAGAATGGGAGGCAGGAGTCACCCCCAAGCAGCACCCTGCCCACCCCACAGCCCCGCAGGCTGACCTCGGCCAGCAGGGCCTCCAGCCGCCGCCGGAGGGCAGCGTTCTCCCGGCGCAGCTGCTGGTTGTCGGCCAGCACGGCCTGCAGCCGCGCCTCCAGCCCCTGCAGGTACTCCTTCTTCTTCCGCCGGGACTGGCAGGCCGACTCCCGGTTCTTGATCATCCGCTGCTGCCGCTTCAGCAGCTTTGCCTGGGTACCAGGGGCCACGGAGTAAGCAGAGGCGAGGCGGCAAGGGATCGCCTTGTGGTGCCCCGGGGCTGATGACTGTGCCCTCCAGCCTATCTAACCCAAGGCAGCGGGGTGCTGGTGGTGGTGGTGGAATATCACCCCACGCAGGCTCCCACCCTGGGAGGAGGGTGAAGCAGCTGCCCTCCTCCCCCCTGCTTTCCAGTCCCGTCTCACCTAATGAAGGGTGGTCTACCTCCCCTCGGAAGCCAACCCTCTGCTACCGCAACCCTAACTTAGTGGGACCGCCGTACCTCTGGTTTCCCGAGGGCACTTCCCTGCCTCTGCCATCCATGAGAGCTAACCGAAGGACCCAGAACCCACTGCAGGCCCCACCTCTGCTCCTTGTCTCAGCTCCCTCCAGCCCTCAACTGTCTCCAGAGCGACTTCCTCTCCCTCCCCAGGCCACTGCCCTGCACCTCTGGACTCACATCCACCTCGGGCGGGCAGGAATTCCCAGGTGTGGGTGCTGGCACGATGCTCTTCCTCTCGGGTCGTGCCGTGGTGGGCGCCTGCCCATCAGGCTGGACTCGGATAGCACCTTGGATGAGGACGACCGGGGACACTAAGGACCAGAGAGCTGTGAGTCAGGCAGGGCGGAAAGTCTGGAGAGCGTGGGCTCCCACATGGGTACCCGGCACCCGCGCCTTCCTACCCGCGGGCGGCTGCACAAGTGGCTGCAGGAGGACAGCGGTGCTGGCAGGCGTGGCTCTGGGCGGCATCTGGACAGCAGTAAGCACCACAGGTTTGGGCTGCAGGGGTGGCTTCCGGGCCGGCGGGGCTCTGCCTGAGGAAGCGAGGAGAAAGGGAGGGGACAGAGGGTCAGGCCCCAGGCTGCGGCCAGGGCCCCAGGGCTCAGAGTGCCCTCTCACCTGTGGAGCTTTCTGGGGCAGGACCCATGCTGATCTGGACAGCGCCAAGCGAGGGAGCAGGGGCATCCCAGAGGAGGCAGCCTGGAGGGGACAGGGGCTCTGTCTTCACTTCAAGCACCTCGTCACCTGCACCAGCCTGCATGGGGCATCCACAGAAGTGTCAGGCTGAGGGGAACCCATTGAGGAGGAGGGGGAGGAAGAGGAGAATTGGCACGGGCAGCTCGGGCAAGGGGCACCCGCTCACCTGGCCGGGGGAGTCTGCCAAGAGCAGGGATGCTTCAGAGTTGATGGAGGAGGACGGGGAGGTGGGCTCCACCTTGGTCTGGATATCTGTGGGGTGGCAGGGAGGAGCAGGGCCGGACGTCAGGTGGACACAGAGGAGGAAGGGAAGGAGGTTCTGAGGGGCAAAGGAGAGCTGCTCTTTGCACTTTGCAGAGCTCAGGCGGCAGCAGGTGGAGGCCCTGCAGAGCCGCACTCCATTCTGCTCCCGCTTCCTGCTACCTTCCCCTCCCTCTTGGTGGCTCCTCCAGATTTTCTCACCATTGCTGGTGTCCAGGGCTCGCCCTGTCCATGTTCCTAACTCTGCTCCATAGCTGAACTGAAAACCAATGTGAAAAAACCCACACAGGCCAAGACTGAGTCAGGCTCACATCTCACCACAATGCACAGAGGAACGCTTTGGTCTAAGCACAACTCTCACCCAGACAACCTACAGTGCTTGTGTTAGTGCATAACACTTTCATCAGTGGGCTTTTTTTACTTTATTTGCATGAAATATCGTAACTATGGCTCTAAAGAAAGTTGGTGATACCAGCAGTAAAGCTAAAATGAAAACTGTGGGGGCTGGAGATTTAGCTCAGCAGCATAAGCCCCTGCCTTGCAAACAGGAGGTCGTGAGTTCGATCCCCAGTACTGATAAGCAAAAAAAAAGAAAAACTGTGGCCAGGTGAGGTGGTGCACACCTGTGATCCTAGCACTGGAGAGGCTGAGACAGGAGCATCACCAGGAGTTTAAGGCCAGCCTGGGCTACACGGTGAGTTCAAGGACAGCCTGAACTACACAGTGAGACTCTGTCTCAAAAAACAAACAAAATCAAAAGAAACCTATGAGAACCACAATAGTTTAAGAAAGAAATCACTGTGAGATCTGTTAAAATACTGGGAAAAAACGAGTTTATAAGTGTACTTCTTGGTCCTCAAAGATGATTTTTCTATTATTTCTTATGGAACTCAAGGAGATCTTGGAGTGAAGTATCCCAAATTCTAAAGGAAAACAACAACTTACAATCTTATGGGAAAAATATATCCAATTCTTGAACTTCTCAGTGTTTAACCACGAATTTGGAAGGAACTGAGTTCAACAACCAAGGTATCACTGTACTTTGTCTGAAAGTTATTTTAAATATACAAACTAATGGTGAGCTTAATGACACACAGGATGCTAGAACAAGAAACAGTCATCTCTGTCCAGTGTTGCCCTTGGTGTGGTTTCTGAAAATTCTCCCTTTCCTTCAGGGCTTCTCTCTAGTCATCTGCCCCCTTCTCCATGCACTGTCCTCCCCATCCTACTGCCTGCACCCCTGCTCCAAATATGCACGCAAGGAGGCAAAGCCCAGGATCGTGTTGGGTGGTCATTACCAGAGGGATCATCAGTGGAGGAGCCCACAGTGATCTGGACGATTTCAAATGGGGGTGTCGGGTCATCTCTCAAGAGGCAGAGTGGAGGCGCTAAGGACTCTGTCTTCACATGCAGTACCTCTCCTACTCCTGGGGCCTGGTGACAGGATGCAGGGATGCAGAAAGAAGGAAAAAAACAAGAGACACCCTGAGAGTAAGAGCAAGAAGAGCTTTAAAGCTTGCAAAACACCAAGTACCTGACCTGTCTGAGAGGTACTGACCATCACCCTAGGCCTCAGCTCTTTCTTCCTACTTCATTCCTAGGGGGACTGACGAACACTCATGATTTTTTACACTGAACACCTTCAGCAAGAATAGTAGCAGAAAGCTAGCTTATGGCACACACCCGTGATCCCAGCACTCGGGAGGCTGAGGCAGAAGGACCTTTGAAAAATTTGAGGCCAGCCTGGACTACAAAGTGAGCTCAAGGCCGGCCTGAACTGCATAGTGAGACCCTGTCTCAAAATAAATAAATAAATGAACAGTAGCAGAATTCTCAGCAATTAACAACTCTCTTCTCAGCCCCACTACTGCCGCCACATAGTTCTGTACGTGAGATATCTGCACTAACTACCGGAGTGTGTGTGTGTGGACACGAGGCTTGGAAGGAAATGGCCAAGGCAGAAGTCCCCACCCCATTACCCACAGCACCAAAATAGTTCCCTTAGCACCTGTGGGCGAAGGGAAGGGGGTCCTGTCACAGAAAACAGGAAGCAGGGTCCCTCTGACCTGGCTAGAGAACTCTGCGGAGAGATGTGATGATTCAGAGGTGAGGGAGGAGGAAGAGCACGGGGAGGATGGCTCGGACTTCACCTGAAGATCTGGAGAGAGAGAGGTTAGAACAATCAGCAAGCAACTGTCTCGGGGAACTGTCTCGGGGTGTCGCAGGACACAGGCTTGGGCACCCCCTCGCCAGGGCATTACACAGGTTCCAAGAACAGTGGGATGAGGAGGATGAGGGAAGCATGAGGGAATCAGAAAGGCTATTTCACCTGGGAAGATGGGCAGCGAGTCCCAAGGGGGCTCCGGGGGGCTGGCATCCATTCCCACATCCACGGAGCTGCTGTCAAACTGAAGAACGGAAGACGCGAGAGAGCGGGACTGAGAAAGCAGGGGCAATGCCAGGTGCTCACAGGCCTGGCGATTCTCGGGCTACTCCCTCCCACCAGCGACCCCAGCAGCGCTACCGGGACATCTTGTTCCAAGCAACGGAAGAGCTGCGGCGGCTCCTCGGCCACTTCATCCAGGCCAGCATACAGGGTGCTGTCTGCAAGGAGCGCGGGGTCGGCGGCGCAGCCCGCAGGCGCCCGCAGCCCCCACCCCGGCCCTCATTGGCTCCGCGCGGCCAGACCCACCGCCCGCCCACTCGAAAAGCGACACAGCCGGTGCTCTTCGGCCCCTCCTCCCCCGACCCCGGAACCACTCGCCGCTGCCGCGGAGGACGAGGTCTCCCCGCTCCAGAGCCCCCCGCAAGCACGACGAGCCCCTGGCCGCCCTCCTGCAAGGGGCGGGCTCCATCTTTGCCGGCCTTCCCCGTTGGGCTTCCGCTTCCTCCCCGCGAGCCTCAGGGACCCAGTGTGCCGCAGCCCCGGTCCCGCCCCGAGGCCTGCCGCCGCACACCCCAGTCCTCCGGGCTCAGCAGGTTATCGGTGAAGAAGCGCGTCGGGTCGGCGATCTCACTGAGGAGCATCAGCTCCGCCATCTTTCCCCCCGCCCCCCAACCCTGACACGGCTCCCGAGACCCGCCTTTCCTCATCGCCAACTAATCCGTAGGCTCTTTAGAAACAGAGGGACGGCCCGGAAACCCTACGGACCAGTAAGAGATGCGGGTGCTGAGCACATGGACCGAGAGAAATGACTGCGCGGGCGGGGCCAATGGGAGTACGGAGGAGGAAGCGGCAGTTCCAGGATCTCCGGTGGTGAAGCTGGAGCATGCGCCAAGGTTAGGCTGTACACCAGCGCATGCGCCAGGCTGGGCCCAGCGACAAGGAGCCTGGGAAACGTAGTTCCAAGCATTTAAAGGTCCACGAGTCCCCTAGTCAGTCCTAAATTTAGAAGTTTAGACAACTCTCAGTCTTCGGAGATAAAGTTCTCCCAAAATAGGCGCACTTAGGTCGCTGCACTACTTCCCCCAGGAAGGCAAAAGCTGGGAATAGGATGCGGAGTGAAATCCTCCCTCTGAACCTCTAAAAATCTCACAGCACAGACCACAATTGACATGTTCCTGTAAATTCTTTTTTTTTTTTTAAGGTTTTTTAATCAGCCAAACATCTTGCGTAAACCCTGAGCCATCCCTGCATCCTGTCTCTTCCCCTCAATGACCACCTTTCCCAGCTCCTCCTGGGCTGCACGGTTTTTGGGATCTACCGCCAGCACCCTCTTGAGATCAGCAGTTGCTTTTTCCAGGTTCCCAAGCGCAGCCTGGGCTACCCCTCTTCGGTATAAGGCCTTTAAGTGGCCAGGTTCCCGCTCTAGCACGCGGTCACAGTTTTGGGCTGCCAGCTGGGGCTGCCCTAGCAGCAACTGACAGGCAGCGAGATTGGCATGAAGGACAGTTCGTTCCGGAGGGCCAGGAGGAGGTAGAGTCAACAGCAGCCGAAGAGCCCGTCCATAGCATCGGGCAGCCCCTGCAGGGTTCCCAGCTCGGAAGAGTTCTGTGCCCCTTGCACGTTCTTCCCTGGCTAAGGCCTCCTTCTCGCTGGTCTCCAGCTCCCAGGAGTCCCGGCCCTGGGTGAAAGAGCCCAGTGTGAGCCTGACAGGAGGTCCAGAGTACCCAGGGAGCTGAAGCTCTGCTTCCTCACCTTGACACATGGATTCCAGACATTTCTCTATGAGCTCCCCCCAAGTTTCATCCCTCCATGGCCCTTCTCCCACAGTTAGCTCTGTCCAGCCCTCTGGCAGCTCTGACCCAAAAGGAAATCCAAAACCCAGAACCCGGCAGCGTGAACCCAGCTTGGGTTTGTCCAAGCCGTGGCCACGGATGATGATCTTCTTGACAAAGCTCCCATCGGGACAGTACCAGACATCAGAAGCTTGGAGGGACTCTGGTATCTCACAAGTTGATTCATGAGATTTATCAGAGTCTCCTTCAAGTCCAGCGACCAGGTGTTCAGCCTCGTGAAGATTCTCTGGATTTCGATTTGCTCTGTCAGGGCTCACTCCCCGCTCAAAGGTCTCAGTAGGAAGGTCTCTGGGCTGCTGCCTACACTGAGCAGTGGAATCAAGGTTGTCCTGGGGTTTCTTTTCCCATTGTTGCTGTGGCTGAGAAGTGTCTTTCTCCCCCGGTGGACTGACTATCGACGTCTCCATTTGGCTACCTCGTTCCCTTTCACTGTGGGTGATCAGAAGAGGTTTGGTTAGATGGTCAGATTCAGGTCAGCACCTGAAAAGTAAACCAAAAACAATGCTAATTAATATTTTTAGATTTCTTTCACTCTTTCTCACTAGCCTCTAGTCCTAAATGTCCATAGTCCCCACTCCCACTCCACCCTAAATCTGTTTTACTTAAATCCTGGTAACACCCAGACCTAATTTAGAACCATGAATTCCCCGATTCCCCATAGTTTAGGTAACCGCCCCAACTACGGACACCCAATCGGGTCAAAAACTAACTGAGCGGCTAAAGAGCCTAGCAGGGTGGCAAGCACCGTGTTATTGGAATCTCCTTTGCTTCGGAAGTTACGTGCTTATTGAATATTGTCTTCGGAGTCTTTTCACAGAGGCAGAAGGCTGTTGGGAGAGGGAGAAGCAGGGGACAGAGCCTGACAACTCCGCCAGGAGCCCGCGAGACAGCGAATCTAGTCAAATTCTTGACGGCCAATCAGGAAGAGGAGAGAATCGTTTAGCCCGCCTACTAGGCGTGACATCATTTCCTCCGCAACGGAGACGCTCCAGGCCATAGCAACCGAGTTAAGCCTTGGCAGGCAAACTAGGACAAATTGAACTGAATCAAAAGGGATCCATACAGCTGGCCGGTTCCCTTAGAGTTGGAGTAGTCCTGGAGAGGGAAAGCGGGGAGAATGAGGAGAGAGTGGAAAAGGGCAGGGCGGTGGTTGATGATGTCGCCCCAGTTCCTTTTATCCTCCGACCTCAGGTCCTTCTGTGCTATTTTCCCTAGTTCTAAGATCGGAGCAGAGGACAGCTCCTTGGCCCATTCAGCCCAGGAGGCGCCAAGAGAAACTCGGATCTCTAATCCCACCGGCCCTATATTGCTGGGCAAGCCCTGAGGCTTTCCATTACCTCTCTCCTCACACCCATCACTGACTTTCGAGTTTGCCTCCTCGGGCTAAGTAAGGCTTTTCCAGGTGTGACGTGTGTGCAGCTCCCGAGAGAACTGTTAAACTGCAGATTCGATTTAGGAAGCCGGAGATGGAGCCTGTAATTGCATTTTGACCAGGTCCTGCGAGAGGTTTGTGTTGCTGGGCGTGACCTACAATCCCCTCATCCCGATCTTCCTCTTTCCCTGTCCAGGCTTCTTCCGTTTGTCCTACATTTCGCATTACAGCTGGTATAACCTGCTCCGCTGACTGTCGCAGTGAAACACTAGTTCTCCTTCTGATAGGAAGTGTGGTTTCTATTTGAGATTCAGCCTGGCCTGGCCAGCTACCTGCACAGGCTGGGCCACCACAGCTCTTCAGGGAAAGAGACCTTCTCTCTCGTTGGCTTCCTGGTCAGTTTGCTTTCTTGCACCATCCCTGTGTCTCACACTGCAAGGACCATGACGCCAGAAGAGCTGGGAGTGAGGGCAGTTTCATCATTAAACACAGACCTGGGCCAAATCCATCTTCTTACCATTTGTGGTGGTGCACACCTGTAATCACTTGGGAGGCTGAGGCAGGAGGCACTTGGGAGGCTGAGGCAGGAGGATCACCCCACAAGTTCAACACAAGCCTGGGCTATATAATGAGTTCAAGATCAGCTGAAACTACAGAGTAAGGCCCTGTCTCAAAAACAAAGCAAAACAAAACACTTTTCCCTGTGTGTGTTAAGCTGCAGCCACTAACCTAGGCTTTTTTTTTTTTTTTTAATTTTGTTTCTGGGGTCCGAGCCACAGTAACTTTATTCCACTGTTCCCCTCTGACCCCTGGGCTAATTTGTGATTCTTAGACTCCCTGGGATGCTACTGAAAATTAACCCATCTCTCCTCCCTTCTGTTTCCCTTTTCCATTTCAGGAATCTCATGGAAAGGTAGTACAGGATGAATCACAGGGCCGGGCATATGGGTCAGCGGCACAAGCGCCTGCCCAGCAAGTGTGAGATCCTGAGTTCAATTCCCAGTATGAGTAAATAAAATAATAGAATGAATTGCGACAGGCTTGATCACCTGGACAAAGATTGTTCATCGTAGTTGTGTCTTAGCAGCAGACAGTCAATCTATGACTCTTCAAAGAGGAAACTCAGCAGTGATAGTAGGGTGAACAGAAGGCAGGGATGAAGGGTGCTGTGGTTTCCCCCGAGGCTGAGATGCTTTTGCTGCCGCCTGAAAAATGAGTTGAAGCCAGCGGAAGCTCAGAGAACATATGTGCAGGCCCCACACTGAGAAAGCTGGCTTGGTCTCTGCTTGGTGATCCCGTATCACTACTGTGTTCATAAAGACATACAAACATGGGCACTGACACATCTAAAAACAAAGTAATGACAGATGAAAGTATTTTTATGTTTTAACAGATGAAGTTGGGCATGGTGGCGCATACCTATCATCCCAGCATTGAAGGCTGAGGCAGGAGGACTGTTGCATGTTCCAGATCAACCTGGGCTACCTAATGAGTTCAAGCCCAGCCTGAATTACATAGTGAGACCCTTTCTTCAAAAAAGAAAAGAAACAGTAAAGAAAATTTTTAAAAATTAAAAACTGATGACTCCCCCTTCCCCACTGTAAAGCCACATAGAAGGTAGGGCAGCAAGATGAACACAGAGCTGGGGGGCCGCTCAGTGGCAGAGTGCTCACCTAGCGCTCACAAGGCCCCGATTCAATCCAAATGACCACAAGTAAACAAACACTAAGCATTTAAAGGTTTTGCTTATTTACTTGTTTGTTGTTGAGACAGGGACTCACTCTGCAGCCCAGTCTGGCCTGAGCTGCTGTCCCTCAGCTCCTGAGCACTGAGATCACCACGTGAGCCCCCACGCCCAGCTCAGAAATGGAAAATCCTCTTAGACCAGAACTCAGGTCCCCAGGGAAGACACTCATGGGCCTGGAGAGTCTCCTGGACCCCGTCAGGAAGAGGCTGGCAAGTAAAGGGACTCACTGAGGGGAGGCGAGGACAGCTCCAGGGCTGCTGGACTCCCACCCCCTGCCTTCTCCCACTCCCTGTCCCCCAGTCTTAATTGATTGAGTATTCTGGGCACTCAGTCCAAAGCGGAGCGGGAGAAACAAAGTAGGAAGAGGCCTTAATGAGGGATTGGAAGAGCTTTCTAGGGGTACAGTGGCTCTCAGCGAGGACAAAGAAGTGAACTATTATCAGTTCTGGCTGGGGGAGGAGTTTGGGGGGGCAAAATGATGTATTAACTGCTGATTTGAGGGAGCATCTGTCTATGTAAAACAGGAGACAGAAAGATTTACTGGGGCTGGGGGTGGAGGCCTCAGTGGTTGTGGAGGCTTGGGGATGGAGAGGGCTCAGTGCACGTGCGAAAAGGGAGCGGGAGGTTTATCTCTGGAATGAGAGAGTGTGGAAGTTACTCTAGGAGAGAGAAGTTGCTTCTCTGTGTCCAGTACCAAGTTGGGCAGCTGTCATGTTAGACATAGCTAAGCCCCAGGATGGCACGACCTATCATTATCATGCCAGAGGGCAGTTCTCTAGTAACAATCACCAAGGAGTCAGGATGAAGGAGACAGAGAGGGTGCCCCAGGAGGGTTCTACTCCCAGGGCCAGAAGGGAACAGAGGACCTCAGGTGGACATGAAGCAGTGAACAGCTGCTCACCTGTTAGGGCAAATCATGCACCAGAGAACAGGAAGGAGAAATGTCCCTCTGCCTTCTTCCTCCTAAAGATTTGAGAGTATCAGTGTCAAGGGGCTAAGTGGCACCCACATGTATTCCCCAGTCTGAGGAAGATGAGGCAGGAGGATCCCCTGAGCCCAGGAGTTTGGGACCAATCTGTGCAATATAGCAAGATCCTGCCCCCCTAACCCCTGCCTCCAAAAGATATTAGATAGATCTTGGTAGCATAGTTCACTAGTGGTGCTTGCCCTGGATTTTTTCCCCAGCACAAAAAATTTTTTAAAAATTGGCAAATGAAAGAAAAGCCTTGGGTCCATCTCCCTGGCAGTGTGGAAGGCCGGTGCCATTCCAGAACAATCCTCCTCCCCTCAGGGTTTTACAGAAGACTTAACACCCTGCCAGAGATCAGTCTGATGACACGTTTCTGAAGGTTCTGTAAAAGAATGTCTACAGCTCTTCTGGAGTGGCTTCCCCACTTCTCTCCCCCAGCCGCCTCCTTCTAGGGGGGCAGAGGTTGTACTTTGCAGTTCTCTTGGTCTGGCTGGTGGGGGCAGTGTTCCACTTTTGTTGGGGGTGAAACCTGAGATTCCAGAGGAGGGAGAAGCTTGTGTGAGTGGGTGCTTGTTCTGTCTAGGAGTGTGGCTAGTGCCCCCTCTGTAAGTGCCCTGGAGGGGACACAAACACACACACACACACACACACACACACACACACCCCTTACTGAGCCCTCAGAATTCACTTGTTGTAGTCAGGGGTTGTTAGCAGAACAACTAGAATCAGGACACAGAATTTTTAATATTTTATGATGATCATCTGGAGTTAAACACAAGAAAGTGCAGGAAATCTGTCCACAACACTAAAGATCCAGAATATTCAGCCAAGGGCCTGGATCCCACAGCAATGTTCTGCATGAGTCCAGATGAAAACTAGAGCCCATGACAGTGCCTCACATAAGTCTAACTGGATGTCTAGATAAGGACTCACACCAGTGATCTGTGCTGGGAAGGCCCAGAGGTCAGCGGTGGAAGCTAGAAAGTCTATGCCAGTGGGGTGAAGGAGCCGTGCTGGTAGGTGGAGGGTTCTATGTTGGAGCCAAGAAGTTATGCTCAAAACTAGAACCAGAACTGTCCTGAAAAGCACCACAGCCATCCTCAGTGACACGGAGGTCCCGAGCTCCTCCAACAATAAGAACAGTCAAGTGCATGCCATAGCAAGGACACCTCCGTGGGAAGGCGGAAGAGGGTTGCAGAAACTACCCTCCACCCCGCTCACGAGGGGGATCACTGCCCGGGGCACGGCCGGGTCACGGTCCAGCAGGACACCGAGTCCTGGGCCTCTCTGAACACAGTCCGTGCTGCTGGCAACATCCAGGCACTCTGTAAATGGTGTATGTACCTCCACGTGAAGTAGGAAGCCAGCGTGATGAGTTTGTCATGGAGATTAAACGGCACACGTCTTCCCCTCCGGAGCCAGGAAGCAATGCTCAGTGTAAGGACCAGAGCTCCCCAAAGTGAACCACAGCCACCCTCACCACAAGGTCCTGAGCTCCTCCAATGAGAGTGGCTGAACTCACACTGGGGAAGCTAGTCATGACGAGCTCTTCCAGGAGAACCAAAGGGTCAAACAGCAACACTCAGAGAAACCCACGTTGCACTCATCTTCTCCTCGTATCTTTTTATGCTGGCAGCTTTCCCCAGGTGGAACATGCACACTCAGCACCATGCTGCTTTAATTTAGCTGGTGTTAAGTTGGCGACTAGTGTTAATCCATGACATCACTGATGGCCTAGGAAACAACACAGAGGGGCCCCACCAGCCCCGAAGGCCCCAAGATAAGAGTTCTGCTGTTACAGGCAGCTAAGCTCACACCTCAGAGAGGGCCGGGCCATGAGGAAGCCAGTGCAGGAGTGCGTGGCTGGAGGTGAATCTCCAGAGGCCAGGAGTCAGGACAGAGACACACTGCCCAGGACTGGCAGGTAAACAGCAGCTTGAGACTGGACTGGAATTGGCACCGCCCGGCCTGGTGGGCCCAGACAGGCATCCACTGCACAGAGCACTGGGACCACTGCCCTTCCCTCCCAGGCGAGCCTCTGCCCATTCCCTGTGCCTTGCTCTGTGACTTGTTTTCTCATTGGACTGATACCAGCCAAGCCACTATACCTGGGTTTGTGTGTTTGTTTTCATCTTTTTGAGACAGGGTTTCACTATGCAATTCAGGCTGGCCTTGAATTCACTTCATAGCCCAGGCTGGACTTGAGCTTGCAGTAATGCTTCTGCATCAGTAGAGGTTCCATTCGACCCAGGTATTGCCCTTTTGGTGTCACCCTGAAAGAATTAAAGAATTAAAAGCATTGTACCAGGGCTGGGGATTTAGCTCAGCGGCATAAGCGCCTGCCTTGCAAGCAGGCAGTTGTGAGTTCGATCCCCAGTACCAATAAAAAAAAAAATAAAAGCATCGTACCACAGTGACATATCCACACCTGTGATTATAGTGGCACAGTTTGTTGTAATAGCTACATCTTGCAAACAGCCCAAATGCCCAGCGACTGATGAGTGGATAAAGAAGATTTGGGTCTTTTATGTGACGGAGTACTACTGTGCCCTAACAAAGGATAAACGAGACATTTCTAGGTAGATGAACCTTGAGACCACACTCTTTTTCTCTCTCTCTTTTTTTTTTTTTTTTTGGTACCGGGGATCAAACTCATGACCTGGCACTTGCCCGGCAGGCACTTGTGGGCACTGAGCTAAAGCACCAATCCCTCGAGTTCCTACTCTTCAGTGAAATAAATCGCACACACATGCATACATACTGCACTGCTTCTTTGGTGTGAGAAACAAAATTGTAGACGAGGACCAAAGTGCATAATAGCAACGGGGAGGTTGGAAGAAAAAGTTCAAACGGACAGGGGGACCGAGTGGAGGAGAATGAAAGAAAAAGAGAAAAAGAGAGCAGACAGGGAACATGGAAGCCAAGTTTTTGTCACTAGGGCGAGAGGAGGGGATTGGATAAAACCCAAGCAGCAAGGTGGGTGCTGTCCAGGTACAGCCTGCCACGGCCCAGGCGACCACTGTGCATGTCGGAAGCCTTCTGATAAAACTAATTAAAAAGCAAATCACGCCTGACAGCCGGCCTGGGTGCTGCCCCCGGGACCCCTCCTGGGAGCCCCCTTGTGTCCCATGCATCCCTCCAGGGTCCGCCTTTGCCCCCCACTCTTTCCCTTTGCGGCCTGATACCAGGGACTCACTGCGGGCTGAGACCTCGGTGACTCGGGGCGCAGCCCTAGGGTCGGGGCGCGGGGGCATCGCCGCTGTCGCTGTCACCCCCACGCCATCCTGGCCCAGCTGCCGCCCTTGCTCGGTTGGAGGCCGCAGAGTTCTGGCTTCTGAGGGCGAGGGCGGAATGCATTTCCCTGGCTGCTGCTGTGCTCTGGCGGTTGCTGTGGTTTTCAGGCCTGCTGGCATCTGTGTCAGAATTGTCCCTCCCTCCTCTCTGCTGCCAGAGCTTCTGGCGTGGCCTCCTTGGTAGGCAGGCGAAGGAGGCTGGGAAGGGCAAAAAAGTCTGCCGCTAAGAGGCTCATGGAGTTGCTGTTAGCATTCACGGATTCATTCAGTCATTCAAAAACCCTCTGCCTTTTCTTTTGTGGTGCCGAGGCTGAAACCCGGCTTCCTATATGCTAGGCAAGCACCATCCACTGAGCCCCTTTTCATCTGTCAACCGTGTGTGTGTGTGTGTGTGTGTGTGTGTGTGTGTGTGTGGTTTTGGGAATAGACCCTACGGTCTTGGCATGAGCTGTGTCTCCAACAATTGTTTTGTTTTTCAGACAGGGGTTCTCTATGTACTCCAGGCTGCCCTTGAATTCACTCCACTCTCCTGCTTCAGCCTTCAGTTCTGAGATTACAGGCGTGCGATGCGGCATCCAGTTCAACAAATCCTTATTGGGGGCTTCCTTGTGCCAAGACAGGGGCTGGGAATAGGGCAGTGCCAGGAAAGTCCCAAATCGTGTCCTTTACATTCACGGGAGGTGACAGGCAGTGCAAAGCAGTCCATAAAATATAAAACCATGCCAGGCAGTGATGGGGGTTTGGAACACAACCAATCATGGACGCACCTGGTGGCCAATGCCCCAGGTGTCCACGGGGCTATTTTTAATCCAGTGATGAGATTAAGGCTTCCCGTGGTGGTGACACTTGCACAGTGACATAAATGATGCCAGGGAGCTGCCTGGAAGCAGGGCGTCTCCTGGGAGGACGTGGAGGGGCCAGGAGGACAGAACCAGGTTTGCACACGGGGTGGAAGTTGCTGGAAGAACAGAAGGAATCAGAGAGGGTGGAGAGTGGTGAGGGGGAATCAGCGCTGTGGGGGAGCAAGGCCAGTGGGGCCCGGTAGGGGCTTCTATTTCCTCCTGCAGAGGCAGGAGGACAGGGCTAGTTTCCCTCACCCTTTGTAAGGTCTCCACCTATCACAAGAGATAGGCAGGAAAAGAAAAGCACAGCAGATTTAGCTCCTGTTTTACACTGGGGTAAAAGGGGTCCAGAAATAAAGACCCAGCAAGGCAAGGCGTGGGGCGCACGCCCATAGTCCCAGCACTCAGGAGGCAGAGGCAGGAGGGTCCCTGTGAATTTCAGGCCATTCAGGGTTACACAGAAAGACTCTGTCTTTAAAAAAAAAAAAAAAGCTATATAAATAAGAAGCCTGTTAGTCAGACATATAAACAAACAGACAAACCTTCTGAAGACTGAGGCGTGAGCTGTCACGCAGAACCTTGACTGCATGAAAGGGGTACAGATGGAGAGGTGCTCAGAGAGGTCTTTCTGGGCACAATTTCTTGGGTCATTGGGGTTAAGTTCCCTCCTCCAGGTATGGAGCAAGACCTCTTCAGGAGCCAGGGTCTTAAGATCCGCTACCAGACAGGATTGGCCGGAGAGTTATCCCAGGGCGGGCTCTGGCCCAGAAAGGCGGGGATGACAGGGCAGTATTTTGGGTTCCTGATTGATTGGCTTTGGGTAAGGGTGGTTCTCGTTTCTATGACCTGCCTGGAGGAGGCATCGGAGTTTTTTTGGTCCGCCTTGGAAGAGAAAGAGAGAAAGAAAGAAGGGCAGGAGAAGGAGAGATCATGCTTTTCAGTCCATTTCCTACAAAGTGTTCAGTGTGTCCAAGGAGTCAAGATTTGGGGGGCCTGGATCCTGAACCCCCATAGTTCTGAGTGTCAGCAGGAGCCACCACAAACAAGGTTTTAAGCAGGTGATTGGCATCAGCTGGTATTTTTTTAATCACTCTAATTTCTGCACAAAGGATAGAATACACCAGTCCAAAATAGAAGCAGAAAATCTAGGTAAGGGGCTGGTCCAGGGGAGTCAGCAGTGTGGGCAGGTAGGTTGGGGTACAAGAAGTCAAGGGTGTACAGGGGCCTGGAAGACAAATAGGAGCTTTGGCGAACAGAGCTGAGGTGGAGCCGCAGACAGGGAAGCCAGGAGCCCTGCACTTGCATCAACTGGATCAGGAAAGAGTGGAGAAAGCTTCTCCAGGAGGAGGAACTGGCCAGCTGCGCCACATGAGGGCCGGTGGAGACCAGAGTGTCCCCTTCTGGAGACTGACTGGCTTTCAGGGATGGATGACTCTGTATTGTGTTCTGCACGGGGCAGGACAGTTGGCAGCCTGGCCCCTCCCCAGCACCCACCAGGGGCAGCTCCTCCACTGAGATGGGCAGAAGCTTCTCTAGAAGCTGTCAGGTGCTCCTGGGGCTGGAGGATTCAGCCTGAAAACAGCTGGCCAGGGGTTCCCCAGGGAGCACCAGCAACACAACAGCAAGTCGAGGTGCAGGTCAGTCCTCCAGATAAAAAATCACCTGTCCCCCAACCAAGAGGCCCTGGTCCAGACTCCAGTGGAGAGGTTGGGGTGTCGCTCAGGGGTAACAATGCGTGTAGCATGTGCAAGGGCCTGGGTTTGATCCCCCGAAGTAGAAGGGGGAGAAAAAGGAGATGAGAAGTGAATTTTGAACTCTGACACTAGAAACTTGGGAGGCCATGGTGCCAGCAATGGGGGCATAGGTGCAGGGCAAGGGGAAAGCCTGATGGAGGGCGGGCAGGGACAGGGCAAGGAGGCGTGCAAGGGAAGTTTCTCTACCTGGAGGCACAGTGGGGCTGGGCCCGGGGAGCTTTTAAATGAAGAGCTAAATGTGGGGCTAGGGTGTAGCTCAGTGGTACCTAGCACGGCCACAGCCTTGGATTTGATTCTCAGCCCCAGAAAATAATAAGTAAATTAATATCCTTCCTGCCCAAGATTAAGTGATATTGTGAACATTGTGGTTTTGCAACAAAGTAGCAAAACAGATTTTTTTTCAAAGAGAATGGGGAAATTCTATGTGTATGTGTGTGCGTATTATTGGGTTTTCTTGTTGCTGAGATGAAATGTCCAGCACCCAAGGTTAAAAGAGGAAAGGTTTATTTGTGGAGGTTTCAGTCCCTAATTGGCTGGCTCCAAGGCACGGTGCACATGGCAGAGGGAAACAGTCCAAGGCAGTGGAGAAAGAGTGATGCAAGCCTCTCTCTGCCCCTTATATTGTAAGCAGGTTACTGCCCCTGGGTGGGTATAGCACTTACATCCTCAATCCCAGTGCTGGACCTTGAATCAGTCACAAGCTCTAGGTTCAGCCACCTCTGAAGAGCCTGCTCCCCCAGGACTGCATGAGGCTCTGGGGGGACATCCAGACACAAACCATAGCACTGGGCACTGAACCCAGGGCCTTCACACTTAGCTGCATTCTCAGCCCCTATTTTATTTTGCAACTGGCTCTACCTCAGTCACTAAATCACGCAGGATGGGCTTGAACTTGGAATTCTGGTTCAGCCTCCCAGAGGGCTGGGATCCTAGGCATCTGAGGAAGTTCCAGCAAAGGTCGGGAACAGATGCTGCCAGAGGCAGTAGTTTCAGGAGCAGGAGAGGAGTGAGACGCTCAGCCAGAGGAGGCGGAGGCCAGCAGAAGGTGGTAGAGATGCAGGTAGATGGCTGGATTTGAAGCTAGGCTGTGAGGAAGTTCTCTTCTGACAGTTTCTGTTTTCTCACTGAAATAGGAAGAAATTTTGTCATCTTGTGAAACTGTGGTCTGGAATTGGGGAAAGCAGACTGGGGAAACGTAGGCTGCACTAGGGCCCACAGGAAGTGGGACCCGCCAGTAAGACTGTGCGTGTTCCCTCAGACAGTCAGCGGCTGGGTGCCTGGTGGGGCAGGAAGAGCAGGGCTTAACCGGGAACGAAGTGTGGAATGGGAGGCGCCGGGAGTGCAGGGTGAGGGCTGAGGGGAAATCACAGCATTGAACTTCGAAAGTTAAACTGGGATAGTGTGGTGGTGCATGTCTGTATCCCCAGCTACTCAAGAGGCTGAAATAGGAGGATTGCAAGATCAAGGTCAACCTGGGCAATTTAGCAAGAGATCCTGCCTCAGAACAAAAAATAAAAAGGGATTGCATTGTAGTTGGGTGACAGAGCATTTGCCTAGCATGCATGAGGCTCTAGGTTCCATTTCCAGTATGGAAACAGACTTTTTTGGTAGTCATTAGATGGGAGGTCTGGATGGGGTTGAGAGGTGGTTTCAGGTCTTTGTTTATCTGTTTTCTTTTGGTTCAGATGGGGTTGAGAGGTAGTTTTTGGGTTTTGTTTTCTTTTGGAGATTTTTTGTTGTCATTTTGTTTTTTGACACAGGCTTACTATGTAGCCCAGGTTGGGCTTGAACTCACAGTGCAATCCTCCTGCCTCTCTCTCCAAGTGCTGGGGTCGCAGACGTGCACCACCAGGCCTGGTAGGTTGAAAGTTTTTGGCAGGAGGGGCACCATAAGTTGACAGGAAAAGACGGCCAGTGTGACTTCTGGAAGGGTGGCAGTTATGGGTTGGAACCAAGTGGCAAGGCAGGACGCAGGGGAGTGGTGGAGAGCCTGGAGGGTCAGACCACTGGAGGTGAGGAGGGCCTGGGGTCGGCCGGAGCACAGGGTGACCTGCGTGGATACCGCACACACTGAAGTAAAGAAGGAGGGTGGCTTTCAAGCCAGATGTAGGGCACACTCCTGTAACCCTAACACTCAGGAGGCTGAGGTAGGATGAAGGCAAGTTCGAGACCAGCCTGGGCTACAAAGTGAGCTCAAGGCCAGCCTGACCTGCATAGCGAGACCCTGCCTCAAAAAGACAAAACAAAACAAAACAAAGCGGGGTGGGGAGGGTTGGGGATGCAGCTCTGTGCTGGGAGTTTGACTGCAGGTGCAGACCCCGGGTTTGATACTGAGCACCACAAAACCAAACCAAGCTGAAGCAGGTCAGGGGTGTCACACTGGCAGTGAGCCAGGCACGGCACCTCCACAAGCAAGGGGAATCATGACCCAGGTCTCCCAGAATCCAAGAACGGGAAGTCCAGGCGCCCAGCCAGATGTTAACAGGGGCCACAGCCCCCTCGAAAGGTGGAACCTGTCCACCAAGGTTCGAGGAGCCCAGGGCGTGAGCAGTGGGAGTTGAGGGATGGTAGAGGGGAACCGAATTGGAAAGAATATGGCCTTTTCTTTCTTTCTTTCTTTTTTTTTTTTTTAATTGGTACCAAGGATCGAACTCACGACTGCCTGCTTGCAAGGCAGGCGCTTATGCCGCTGAGCTAAATCCCCAGCCCTTTCTTTCTTTCTTTCTTTCTTTCTTTCTTTCTTTCTTTCTTTCTTTCTTTTCTCTTTCTTTCTTTCTTTCTTTCTTTCTTTCTTTCTTTCTTTCTTTCTTCCTTCCTTCCTTCCTTCCTTCCTTCCTTTCTTTCCTTCCTTCTTTCTTTCTGGGTCTTTTTGAAACAGGCTTTCACCGTGAAAGGCCTTGTACTTGCCTTGTAGATGAAGCTGGTGTCTAAAGTAGTGATCCTTCTGTCTCAGCTCCTGAGTGCTGGATTCCAGGAGTGTGCCATCACGCCCGGTGCTATATGGTTTTTTCTTTTCTCCCCAGGGTGGAGTCTTGGTGAGGCAAGGTGATCTGGAAGTCACTTTACTCAGTTCTCCTGCTTACTTTCAATTTGGTTGAATGTGAATATTAGTAGAAGAGTTTTTCAGAGAACGGGAGCTGAAAAGCAGAGGGACATCAGAGCTGGCTCCTGCCTTGAGCAGCTCACAAGGTGAGGTGTGGGGGGTGGGGGAGAGGGCAGGTGGGGGGCTTCAGGCCCGAATATTTTCCTCCTATTAAAGTTGAGTGGCTAAAGCCACCTTTGGGCTTCTCTCATCTTCCTGAATAGTCCCCGAGGTGACCCAAAGCCTGTGACCACGGCTGGGCATGGTGGTAAACAACCTGTAATCCCAGCACTCTGGGAGCCTGAGACAGCAGGACTAAAAGCTCCAGCCCCACCTGTGTGATTTAGCAAGAGCCTTGTCTCAAAGAAAAAAAGAAAAAAGAAAAAGAAAGGCTGGGAATGTTCTCAGTGTGAAAGCCCTGGGTTGAATCCTTATTACTTTAAAGCTAAAACCGAAGCAGTGATCTCCCACCTTGGCAGTCCTTTGGAGTCACCAGGGGACCTTGTGAAAAAATATCGCAGCCTGTGTCCCACCCCAGAGATTCTGATTTAATTGGCGTAGGAAGCGACCTGGGCTTTGGGATTTTTAAATGCTCCCCAGGTGATGATAATGTGCAGCCTTCAGTGAGAAACGTTGCTCCAAGGAGCAATGGGGCTGGGGCTCTGAGCCAACCCCAGGACGGAGACAGACTTTTCTGCCGGACAGGAGCAAATATGACCTGGGGCCGGGAAGGGCAGGGAGAACTGGCCAAGCAGAGTGCAGTGGTGTGTCATACACGAGAGTCCAGAGCTGGTCTGGTCCTTAGGGGGAGCCTAAGGCAGTTTGGGTTATAAGAGGCAGAGATTGAGGAAGGATTTGGGAACGGCTGGGTGAATACTTGAAAGTGGAAATCATAAGTAAATTAGATTGAACAGGGAAGGTTGAAAGGGTTCAGATTTTTCAAGTTATGGAAGAAGCAGAAGGCCAGATTGAAAGTTTGCCCCTACCCCCGTGTGTGTGTGTGTGTGTGTATGTGTGTGTGTGTGTGTGTCTGTCTGTCTGTCTGTCTGTCTGTGTGTCTGTGTCACTGGTGATTGAACTCAGGGCCTGGTGCATACCAGACAAACACTGTATCACTGAGCTAAGCTACATCCCCAGCCCCGTGTTAAAATTTTGCAAATAATTCAATAGTAGAAGGAAATCCTGAAGCTCGTCTTTGTTTTTTGATATGAGATCAGACCATATTGCAGACCAAGCCCGAACTTCTGAGCTACACAACCTTCCGGTCTCAGCCTTTCAAAAGTGCAGGCGCACCATGGCACCTGGCAGGGGTTTGGAGCAGCAGAATTAAGTCCAACTCACATCTAGGGTAATCTGACAGAGAGCAGCACCAAGGGCGACGTGGGGGAGACAGGTAGGAAGGGAGGAGAGGTGTGTGACAATCCCAGGTGAGCTAAGGATTCCAGCAAGGGCCCAGGAGAAGTCACAGGCTGTAGAACTGATTCATTTTGACAGCGCAGCAAAAAACGAGGCAAGAGGAAAACAGAGATGGCAAAGGTTCAGACAAGGGAGGGAGGCCAAGAAAAGGATGCCTTCAGGGAGACAGGAGGCAGGGTTGGGTGGCATTTTACCCAGTCTGTTTGCACCTGAGGCACTGAGACAGCCAGTAGCACGGGCTACATGCTGGGTTCAGGGCAGCATGGGATTTGGTGAGTGCTGCTGGCCAGGGCTGAGGTGTAGTTAAGATTAGCTTCTTATCAGTACCAGAAAACAAGCAGGTGGTGCTAGCTGTGTCCATGGGATGGGATTATAAGGGAAAGTCTCAGAAAAGGAGAAATCCAGAGATAGACACTTCAGGAAGGGAGGAGCAAAGAACAGGCATTAGAGGATGGGGCTTAGAGGCATGTGTGTGTTTCTGTTTGTGTGTGTGTGTTGTGCAAAATGCAGGTCCACAAGACAGGCATGAGTGCAGGGCGTGGTGGGACACATCTGTAATCTCAGCATTTAGGACTGAGGCAGGAGGATTGCCAAGGGTTGGAGGCCAGCCTGGGTTATACAGTGAATTCAAGGCCAGCCTGTGCTACACAGCAGGATCCTGTCTGGAAAGAAAGAAAGAGAGAGAGACGTAGGGACTGGCACAAAGGGCCCGGAGAGACCTAATGTTTGCTCCAGGTAACCTGCATTCATTGGGTACCATTTTAAAGAGCAGAGCGTTTCAGGAGGTTAGGGAGTGGAAGCGTATTTCAAGGGGCTAAATAGTGAATATGAAAAAGAGATACCGATACATGTCTGTTGGCAGCCGCCCTCCTTAGATACTACTGGTGTTGAACCTGAAAGGAAAAAACTGTGCAAGAGAAATTGTTCTTTTTAAAAATTTTGCTCTTTTTGGACCTGCCAGGCTCTAACTGCTTCATGGCTCTGTAATTACTCTCTTGACCCCTTGTAACCATGAGAGTGTAACCGAACAGGCAGGATAGGATGCCTGATTTTAACAAGCTCCACCATCATTAATCCAGACTTGGAACCAGTGATCTCACCCTGCTAGCTAAGCTGAGAACACCTGGGTGTCGTGTCTCGACTTGGCACCTCCTGCTCACGCATCCGGTAAAGGCCCTAGACCATCAGAGATCGGAGCCTGGTATTTGGGGAAAGGTCTCGGTCAATGTGTGTTAACATAACATAAGCCTGCCTTCAAATCCTGGGCATGGTTTTGGTGTTTCTGTTTGCCACGGCAAATCTAGGGTTACATGACCACTGAGCTACATGCCTAGACCTTTACATATTTTTTTTTTCTGAGAGAGGTTCTTCCTAAATTGTCCAGGTGGAACTCCAGTTTTGGATCGTGAATCGTCCTGCTTCAATCTCCTCTCGGTGCTGGGATTACTATGCTCCTGTTCAAGGAGGGGCAGGAGGGACAGATGATTAGTGGAGGAGGAACTGAAAAGTTGCAACTGGAAATTATTTTTCTCCGGAAGTTTGATGAGAAAGACACAGCAAGCCCGAAACATCACATCTGTGTCCCCCCATTTCACCCCCACCCTCTAATCAAGTGCCCGCTTCCCTTCTAGATCATAAACCCCATGAGGCCAGCGTCAGACCTGCTGCTGGGCAGGTTGCTCACCAGCACCCCTCATGGCATCTTTGCACTATATTCAGGGTGGGACCCGGTCGGCAGGTGTGTGATGAAGGACACTAAGCCCACTGCTTGTGCCCCACCTCCCTGCACATCCCCAGAACACAAAGGCCTCCTAATTCACTTGGCCCAGGAGGACAATTAGCCCCGGGAGATCCAAACTCCCCACCACCCTTTGGCCCGCAGGCAGGGACGACTCGGCCCCTGCTGTCACCCTGGCCTTGGCCAACTTCTCCACCACAGTCTGCCATCTTTCTTTGCCTTCTTGGCAGGCCTGGGCATGGATTTCCAGGTCTCCCAGTAAATCTCTCCCCAACACCCTAATACCAGCGCAAGGTGGAAATAAGGGGGCTCTGGGGAAAGAAAACCCCACCCAGAATGGTACCCAAGGTCTTCCTCCATGGCTACCCAGGGACCCCTACATTCGTGTGTCCCCCTGGTCAAGAATCTGTCTTCTCCCACTTTGGTCTCTGTTGGTTTCCTTTTTTCCCCTGGATTAGGCCATGGAGAGAAGTGAAAAGGGGAACCAAAAAGGCAGTGTCTTCCGGGCCGCAGTCTTTGTAAGTGCAGTGGTGAATCCACTAGGTCTCTTTAATGTCTTTAGGGGTCGCACACGCACACAGACCAGAACAAGGCGGGGATCCCCGAGGTGAGGACAAGGAGCTGGGACTGGGAGGTGCGCATCCCGGTGTCTCTTCTGCCCGGCTGCCCACGCTGGGCCGGGCTGGTGAAAGGGGTATTTACAGAGCAGGGACTCGGTTCTTATCTCGGGGCGCCAGGTCCTTAAACCAGAGACCTTCCAAATTTCCTTCCAAAAACAACAAAAAGAGAAGTTCTGGAATTAGCAAGAAAAGAGGCAGAGACTCGGGCTGGGTGACAGAGGACGAAGGGGGACTAGCAAAAACAGGTGTGAGCGTGAGACTGGCTACCCAGGGCTCGGCCCTGTCGCCAGAAGGAGATGGTGTGTGGGTGCCGGGGCTGGCCCAGGGCTGCAAACTTCACCTCGGGCCGGAAGCTCCCGGCAGACCAGAAGGCGGAACCTGCCGGCCTGGAGGCGGGGTCGCGTCCTAATTGGAGCGGGGTCTACGGAGGAGGGGGGCTTGGGGATTCTGGTCCAGGCGGCGACCCCTGCACCCCCGAGCTGGGGCGACCTAGGGCCCGGCGTGTGGCGTGCCTGGGGGTGTGGGTTTCGGAGGGGCTCCTGAGGAACTGGCTTCGGAGCGTGCTCGCCAGGCGAGAGGTTCCGTGGAGGCGGTGTTGAGGGTGCATGGAAGTCCGAGCCCGCGGGGACCGCGGCGCGACTGCAGAGCACGCCCCGGAGGTCGCCTGTGGCGCAGAGCCGGGCCAGGTGGGGGCGTTTTAGGGGTCCCAGTAGTTCTCGTGGTGCTGCGCGGCGATGATGATGACGACGGTGAGGATGGTACAGAGCACCATGGCTGCGATGCCCACGGCCAAGGAGATGAAGGAAAAGTTGCGGGCCTCGCGGGACGCGATCTCGGCGGACACCATGTCCCCGCGGGCCAAGGCCGTACGCACCTGTGGCGGGTAGGGGAAGGGTCAGGGCCGCTGCCTGGGCCTCATTCTGAATCGGTCCCCGGCACCCGAGCCCCGCGGCTCACCCCACCTGCACTGCCTTGAAGATGGCAATGATGCCCGTGGGCCAGAAGCAGCAGATGGTGGTCAGCACTGCGATGGGCATGTAGTCGTGTGGAGGGCGCCTGGGCTCCAGCAGCGCCAGCCCCGGGCCCTGGGGCGGCGGGGGCAGAGAGGAGGCCACGCCTGTGCCCCCCGGGGTCCCGCCTGCATAGGGCTGGAACAGGAAAGTTGGGGGGTAGAGACGTCCCCCTCCTTTCCCCCCGTAATGCAACCCCCCGCAGGGCGGTTTTCAAAGCCTAGTTCTTTTTTGTTGTTGTTGCTGACTTTTGAGACAGTCTTTTTTTTTTTTTCTTTTTTTTGGTCTTTTTTCCTTTTTATCGGTACCGGGGATGGAACTCGCGACTGCCTGCTTGCAAGGCAGGCGCTTATGCTGCTGAGCTAGACAGTCTTGCTATGCAGTTCAGGCTGGCCGTGAGCTCACTTTGTAGCCCAGGCTTGTCTCGAACTCGCAACGATTCTCCTGCCTCAGCCTCCAGAGTGCTGGGATGACAGGCGTGCGCCACCACGCCGGCTTCAAAGCACAATTCTTAACCGTTGCATTTCAAAGAAACCGATTACCCAACATCCTTCCGGGACACCAGCTGACTCCGCCCGGGCCCCTCTCCTCCCGGTGCACCCCACATTCTTGGAGGTGTCCACAGGGCGCGTCCCCCAGCACTGTCCTGGGCTCACCTCTGACCCCCGCGCCTTCCCACCCGACCCGACCTAGTCTCCTCCACTCTCAGGCTCAGGCTCCCCCTGGTACGCGCCCCCGTACCAGGGTCTATGTCTTCCCCTCCCTTTTCCTTTCTGATCGCCTCTTGATCTCTTCTCTGTCGCCCTTCCAGGTCCTGACCTCTGATTACCACAACCCCCCGGTCCGCACTACACATCCCCAGGCTCTCCGCTCTCATCTCTCCCCGTCAGGGCTCGCTTGTCTCCTCGTCAGGACCCTGCCAGGTCCCCAGGCTCCCACGGGGTCCCCAATCCCAGGCCCCCCAGGCTGCAACCTGCACTTACCGTGCCCACCGGGTAGACCGGCACGTAAGCGGTGCAGGGCTGCAGCTGTAGGGGGTAGCCGGGCGCCACGTAGCCCCCAAGGGGCAGCGTGCCCACCGCCCCCGCGTGCGTGGGCACCACGAAGCCGGGGGCCTGGGCGGTCGCAGCGGCGGCGGGCGCCGGCGGGGGCGGTGCGGCGGCGGCGGGCGGCGGCGGGGGCAGCGGGCCCTCGAAGCGCGTCTCCTGCAGGTACGGGTCGGGAGGCATGCGGGGCAGGGTGGCGCAGCCGGGCGGGGGCGCGCCGGCGGCCGGGCCGGGCGGGGCATGGTGCGGGGGCCGCGGGAGCGTGGCGGAGGACGAGGGCCCGCGCTGGGCCGTGGCGGCGGCGGCAGAAGCCAGCCCGCCGGCCCCTAAGCGCGGGAGCGTGGCGGTGCCGGACTGGTGGTAGTGGTGGTGGTGGTGGTGCGAGGAGGGGGCGGCCTGGGGGGGCGGGGCGGGGGGCTCCGCCGGGGGCTGGGGGGCATTGTACGGTGGCGGCGAAGTGTGGGGAACCGAGTCCGGGAGGCCTGGGGGCAGCCGGTAGGGGGGCGGGGGTGGGTAGGATGGGGTAACGGGGAGGGGAGGGGAGGGCAGACGGAGACGGAGACATAGAGAGTGACAGGCAGGTGAGAAGCCCGCTCAGTTTGGGGCAGGAGGTGGGGGGAGGTTGTATCTAGGCCACCACCCCCACTTCCATCTAGGTTTCGGGTCGCCGCTCTCCTCCGCTCCTCTTCCTTTTCTGCGAGGTGCGCTCAGTTGTCACCCACTGACCCGGCTCCCTGTGTGGCCGCGCAGCGCCGGTCCTGCGTACGGGCTGTCACAGCGGTGTCAGCGCAGGCCGCAGGACCCGCTCGCCAGACCCTCCTTCAGTGGGAAAGGAGAGCCTTGGCCCCTCCGGGGGCCTTGGGGCCTTTTAGGGGCCGGAGTCTCTGCATTTTACTCTCCTGGCAGCCCTCATCTAGTCCTGTCTGCGCATCTCTCCACCGGGCATCCGCATACGGGTAGCCAGGGAGGTCCATCTGTCGCCCCAAGATGCTGTCGCTGCAGTGCCTGGCCGAGGCCAAGCCACTCTGTCTCCCTTGGCCTCTCAACCTGCCCCCCCCCCATGTGGCTGGCCGGGGACAGAGACTGAGACTAGGAGGAGGAAAAATAAAAGAGAGGTGGTCGATAGAAAGCAGGGAAGGGGGGTGCGAGCCGGAGAGCCGGGAGCTGGAACCGGTCAAGCCACCAGGGAGGGTGAAGGAAGGGGTGAGGGCGGGTGGGGGTGAGTCCAGAGATGATGGAGGGGGAGGGGAGGTTTGTTATTGTGTGTTTGTCTTTTACCTGACTTTTCCGATGACATGCCTGTGGTCTCTCTGGGACAAGGTCCCTGCAGCCGGAGTCAGGGGCCCCTGGCGCGCCCGAGTCTGGGTCCGGGATGGCGCAGCCGGCAGCGGCGCAGAGATGGAGAGATGAAGAAGACAGTGGGGGGGGGGGGTGGAGTGGGGGGGAGCTTAAAGGGACCGAGGCCGGGAGGGGGGAGCTTCAGACGTCCCCCGACTCCGTCTCCCTCTGCTCTTGGACCACCTCTCTCCTCCTCTCACCCTGGCATTCAAGCCCCCAGTTTAGGCTCCCTTGGAGTTGTCATGGAAACAGGGAGGCAAGACCAGGAAAAGAAGGAGGGACTAAGGGAAGGAAGGACTGAGCCAGAACTCTCTAGAGTCTCCCCCTCGGAGACCGGCTGGGGTGATGATGTGGTGGGAGGAAGCAAGCGGGTGCTCTGAGGATCTGCCAGCCCTGCTTCCCCCAGACTCACCTTCCCCCCCTTGGGGCAGCTCCCGGCATGTCACTGGGATGTTCCCCCAAGTCCTCAGGCCTAGCTGTGTGCGAGCGACAATTGTACAAAGTTGAGGACTGAGATGGGTTGAGAGATTCCCAGGATATACAGCCTGGCCCTGCCATCTTGAGGAGTAAAAGGGGCTCAGGCCTAGTCTGAAGGTGCCAATGCCTTTGGGTGCTTTTGTTTTTGTCTTTTGGACTGTAACTCACAATGTGGAGTGGAACTTTATTTATTATTTATTTATTTAAGTTTTTTTGAGACATAGTCTTGATTTGTAGTTCAAGACTGGCTTAGAACTCATGATCCTCCTGCCTCAGCCTCCTGAGTGCTGGGATTGCAGACCTGTCCCCACACCTGGGCCAAACAGAATTTTAAAAGATAAAATTCTTTCCTTTCTTCTGGAGATAAGTATCCTCCTGTTGAGCACATAAACAATACCCCCTCCTCCCCACAGCCTAAAGGTGACAGTATGCAGACGCCAGCCCAACCAGGCAAAAGCCCAGTTTTCTTTCTACAAGAAAGAGTGTATAGAACAGAAGACAGCTGGGAAGCGTTTAAACAAGTGTGATCTGCCAGGCTGGTGGCCCAGGTATATAATCCCTGCCTCTGGGAAGCTGAGGCAGGAGGATCATGTTCAAGGCCAGTAGAGGCTACACAGTGAGTTCAAGACCAGCCTGAACTCCAGTGAAAGCCTGTCTTGAAAAACAAACAAACCAAAACCCAAACAAACAAAAAGTTCCTTTGTAAACAAAGACCCTTACTGAGCACAGCAAGACCTTGCTTTGAAGCTAATGGGCCCCTCCATCTCCTTAATATTTGAATAAATCCTTTTTACCAAAGGCCTCCTCTGATCTGATGCACGGAGAGCCAACAGAACCAAGCCATGAGCACCCTGCAACAGTACTGGGGATCCCTCCAACCGAGCTACATCTCCTAATCCCACCCCTTTAAAGTCTGAAAGTTTCACTGAATTCACTGAACTGCCTAGGTCACTCTCGAATTTTTGATCCTCAGGTCTCAGCCTCCCAGTATCTGCCACTGCAGCCAGGCCAGATGCCGTCTTCCAGGGTTAAGGAGCTGAAATATTTAGAGCGGGCAAGGGCACTTTTCCAGCACACTTGTTTCCCATTTGGTTTTGGTAGGCATAAGAATTTCTAGACGGGTCGGGGTTCAGATCCCTTCTGTCTCACTCCACACTCCCAAGGCCACTCCTCTGGAGTCGAACCGAGGCTCAGCGATGATTGTGGTCTTGGCGCTTTAGAAGTATGTGGGTGGGCAAGGGAGATGGCCAGGCGGCCTACCCGCACGTACAACAGTTAGGGTTTTTGTAGAAACACAGCCTGGGAGATTGGGACCCCCACTCTTCCAGCCAGCACCTCCGGCCTCCACCGGGGGCAACCCGGGCGGGCCAAGGACCTCGCTGAGCCCACCCAGGACCCAGTCAGATCGCGGCCTCGCCACCGATCGTTCTGGTTCTCCGAGTTTTTGCGTGGGCTCTGGATCCCTCACGGCCAGCTCCTGAGCTTGAAAGGTTTTATTGGAAGACACGGTTCAGACCGAGCGGAGACCCGGACCTGCTGAGTGGTGCTCTTCTCCGGGGACGCGTCTTTAATGCTAAGTAAAAGCCCTAACAGATAAAGGCCTCGTCCGGGCTCGCAGGCGTCGGCAGGCGTCGCCGGTCCGGTAGGTCCCGTCCAGCAGGTGCCGGCGCAACAGCCGAGCCCAGCTCTGTTCGGCTCAGCTCGGCGCAGGCGGGCGGGTGGGAGCGCTCAGGGCCGGAGCGCGGGGTCGGCGCGCGATACGCAGCGCAGCCCCGGGGCCCTCCGCCCCGAGGGTGGGCCGCGCTGGCCGGGGAGCTGGGCGGGAGGAGCTGGATCGGGCCGCACTTGCCTCGAGGACTTCAAGAGCTCTCAGCGTCTGCTGCGACACGCGCGCTACACGCACTTCAAAACGAAGAGCTGTAAGACACCGCCCCGGGGCGGGCGGGCACCTGGGTACGCAGAGACTGCCGTCCCCCTCCCTGGGCACCCTACGCTGAGCGCGAGGATCCCTCCACCAGCCCATCCCCGCCGCCCCAGGGGACCCAGAAGTTCAGGCAGAGCGGCGGAGCCGGACGCCTAGACTGGGAGTGGGGCGCATCGAGGCCGAGGCAGTGGGCTCCCCAGGTCCCCGGTTTCAGCCAGGCCTGGCGAGGCCTCCTTTCGCTAACCGGCACCCGTCCGCGGCTGCTTCTCCCCACCCCGGCCTAGGGCCCGAATGGATCGCTCCGCCCCGCTCCTCCCCAGCTTCTAGCTCGCGATGGAATATTCCATTGCCCCTCCGGTGCCCGCGGGCGTTGCTGGGGACGCTCGCACCGTTGCCAGGGAAAGCCCCGGACGTGACGGCTCTGCGCGACCCCGAGCAGCGCCCCCCGCGCCGTGCCCCTGCGCGCTCTTCCCCCTCCCATCCCCCTCCCCGGCTCCGGACTAGGGAGACGTAAACAGCGAGGCCTGCGGACTCGGGTCAGGTGGGGGCCTCCGTCTCCAGGAGGACTGGGCTGCGGACGAGGGGTCGTGCCGGGAGTCGGGGCGCGCGCGCCTGTGGTGGAAGCGGGGGAAGATCCCGGCCCAGGGACCCTGTCCCTGGGACGCTGAGTCGGGGGCGGGACTTCTGGGGCGCGCCGGCGCGTCGGCGTAATAGGGGGTGTGTGTGCCGGGAGAGGACCGGGTCCAAGAGGGCTGTTTGTGCCGGGGACCTCTTATGGGCCTGGGACTGAGAACCCGGATCGCCCGCGTCCGGGCCGGGAGGAGCCCTTGCCTCCTGCTTCACCGGCCCTCGCTTTCCTTTCTCAGGCGGGAGCATGCTGAGGCTCCGGGGGCACAGGCTCCCCTCGCCGTGGGTCCTGCTCCTGTGGTCCCTGCTGCTGCTGCTGCTGCTGCCGCCGCCGCCCGCAGTCCCCGCGCCCCACCGGGCTTCCTACAAGCCAGTCATCGTGGTGCACGGGCTCTTTGACAGCTCATACAGCTTCCGCCACCTGCTGGAATACATCAACGAGGTCGGCCGGGAACGCCGTTTGGAGGGCTTTGGAGGTGTCTGGTGTGCGGAAGGGCAGGCCGGGAAGCCTGCTGGTTCCTGCTGCTGGTCCGGGGAAGAGTGGGGGGGAGGTGCTGGCAGGCCTTGGTGGGTGGGGCGGGCCGCGTGGTCCATCCCTAGTGGCCGAATTGCCCCCTTCCACAGACACATCCTGGGACGGTGGTGACCGTGCTCGATCTCTTTGATGGCAGAGAGAGCCTGCGGCCCCTGTGGGAACAGGTGCAAGGGTTCCGAGAGGCCGTGGTCCCCATTATGGCAAAGGCGCCTCAAGGGGTGCATCTCATCTGCTACTCCCAGGGTAGGCACCCCCTCTCGCGGCTCCTAAGCCCTCTCTGAGGTGTGATCCTTACCTGAGGGACCTTTCCAGTGACAGCCTGGTGCCTGACCGGCTTCAGCTCCTGGTCTCCTGTCACCATCCCAGTGCGGGGAGGAGGGAGGTTGTCATGGTCCTCTGATCTAAGGCCATGGGGCCATAAAGAACAGGTTGGAAAGGCCAGCATGGTGCTGTAGCCCTGTCATTCCAGCACTTGGGAGGCTGAGGTAGAAGGGTTATGAGTTCAAGGCCAGCCTGGGCTACATAGCAAGACCCTGCCCAAAAAACCAAAAAATTCCTTGAGCTGTTTTTGTCGCTTAGATTTTAGCACAGGGGTGTCTGCATTCTCAGGGCTCAGTCTCCTAGGTGTTCCACATGTTGGCCAGAGGCAGGGGCTGCTGGCCTGGAGCAGCTTCCCTTCCTGGTGCAGCGCTGCTGCTCTGCCCACAGGAGGCCTCGTGTGCCGGGCCCTGCTCTCTGTCATGGATGAGCACAACGTGGATTCCTTCATCTCCCTCTCCTCTCCGCAGATGGGACAGTATGGAGGTGAGTGGGCCCCAGAGAAGGCCCCGGGTTTGGGGCCCCAGAGCTCTGCAGTCACCTGGCACTGTTCTCTTGCCAGACACAGACTACTTGAAGTGGCTGTTCCCGACCTCCATGCGGTCCAACCTCTACAGGATCTGTTACAGCCCCTGGGGCCAGGAATTCTCCATCTGCAACTACTGGCACGGTGTGTGGGGGTCTGCACTGGGTCCTCCACGGAGAGGGCACGCGGTGGGCAGGGCCTGCTGACCCCCTCTACCTTGGCAAGCCCATGGCGGCAATGACAGTAGTGATTGCTTTCACTGATTGAACGCTCTGTTTGGACAAGCAGTGTTTGCTGTGCCTGTGCATCTTGGCTTACTGCCGCAGAGGCCAGGCTGACACGGATGAGCCAGTCCGGGCTGTGATGGCCCGAAGGGTAAATGCTGTGGCTTCGCAGGCTCCCAGCCTGTCACCCCTCAGTGCTGCTGCTGCAGTGTGAAAGTAGCCAGAGAACGTAGGCAAGTGGACAAGTGTATGCGCGTCCTAATGAAACTTTGCCCATGATGACAGTGGAGGGCTGAATTGGGTCTTAAACGGTGCAGCTTCTCATGTGGGGTTTGGGACCGGGGTGCTGGAACCAGGCTCCTTGGCTTTGAAACCTGACTGCGCCAGGTAACTTCGGACGAGTTACTTAGCCTTTCTGTGACTCCGTTTCCCTTTGCTGTAGAATGGTGCTGTGGCAGGTACCTCACGGGGTAGTTGTGAGGAAGAAGCCTGTTAATGAGTATAATGGGTTTTGGACAGTACCTAGTTCCCCGTAGGTGCTACATAGGAGTTTTATGTCACGTTTGTAATGACTGTGGTTCTCTGTGGCATTGCTGCCGGGCCTGTGACCTCAGCTTCTTCCTCACTGGCCTTCCAGCCTGCAGTCTTGCCCCCTTCTCTGCCTCTCTGACTCTTCCTAACCGCTGCTTGCACGCAGACCCCCACCATGACGACTTGTACCTCAATGCTAGCAGCTTCCTGGCCCTGATCAACGGAGAGAGAGACCATCCCAATGCCACTGGTGAGTCCCCACGCTCCTCCGAGTTCCCTGTACTGCTTCGATGCCGCTCTGTCTCTCTCCAGTCCGGCGCGACCTCTGTGGCTGACTCAGGTTCTCTTCTTCCCGCCCCGCAGCGTGGCGGAAGAACTTCCTTCGCGTGGGCCGCCTGGTGCTGATTGGGGGCCCGGATGATGGTGTTATTACTCCTTGGCAGTCCAGGTAATCAGGGATCACTGGGCTCAAGATCGGCTAACCCCTCCCTCCAAGTCACCAGTCTTTATCTCCTGCTGAGACCCGCCAGCGCCCCTCCCACAGCCTGTTGTAAAAAAGTGAAACCCAGAGGCCCTGCAGCAGCTGCCCTGGCTCCTGCCCTCCCTATGACCCTTCCACCCTAGCCTCATTGCAGAAACTTTTTGTTTTTCTTTCCACAATGCTGGGGATTGAACCCAGGGCCTTGTACGTGCGTTACCACTGAGCTGCATCCCTCGCCCTTCCATAAACTTTGAACTTTGACATAGTCAGGGCTTTATAGGAAATTGCACCTGGCCCTGGGTACACTTCACTGGCCTCACTGTTGCTTGCCTCTTCTGTAACTGAAAGTGTAGTATCAGAGCCAGGAAAGTGAGAGGTGGGCGGCTGCTGTCGTATCTCCCGCCTGCCCCCTTGCTACCTACCATTCAGGCTGCTGTAACAGCTGCCAGCCTCCCCTCCCCCTCACTCCCCAGGAATACTCACGTCTGCCGTGAGTGGTCTGTCACCTGCCTGCCTTACTCAGCAGACATTTACCCAGCCCTGTGTGCCCAGGAGCCATTGCGGGCCCTGGGGTGCGGCAGGATGCGACAGGAAGCCCCGGGTGGTGGCAGGTTAGGTTCCCATTGGGAAGAGGATGAGTGCAAACCCATTTGCGGTGGCAGTCGGGAGGGGAGTGGAGGGACTGAGGGTCACTGGTGCCCGTTCTGTGTGGCAGTCAGAGCGGTCCCTGAGGGGCTGAGTTGCGCAGGGCGGACTCACATGGGGCCTCGGCTTCAGCCTCCCAGAGTGCTGGGGTTACAGGAGCAGCACCTAGCTCTGGGGGTATGGCCCAGTAGTGTGGCACCTGCTTGGCAAGCACAAGGTCCTGAGTTCGATTCCCAGTACCAAAACCAAATTTAAAAACATAAGCTACAGGTAAAGACGGCATGGAGCTTAGTGGTAAACCACTTCCCTAGCTGTGGTTCAAAATACCGGGAAAAAGTACACAGATAAATAACAAAAACTGCCATTCTCACGGCTTTTAAGTTTAAAAATGTAAGTTTGTGGCAGTAAGAACAGTGTGTTGTTGTACAGCCGCCACCACCATCCAGCTCGGGAATTTGCTTTCCCCCAAACTGAAATCCCATGCCCATTAGACCACAGGTCTCCTTCCCACTGTGCTGGGCACCCAGGGCGTCTGGTCACTTCACTCTGAGTGAGATGGGAGGGGTGTGAGGGCTTGGGTGAGGAGGTGACCTGCACACAATATTGCAGTGCTACAATTGTGAGGGTCTCACTGTGCAGCCCAGGCTGGCCTCACACTTGGCAGCCATCCTCCTGCCTCAGCCTACCAAGTCTGGAGTCACAGGCCGAGATCATGTGCTACCACCCCGACATGGCTGGCTTTTATGTACATTCTCTAAGTCCACTAACATGGACAACCCTGTTAGTGACAGTAACAGCTCATAGCCACAACGCTCATAGCTTTTCAGTACTTTCTGTTGCTGGGCTTGGTGGCCGGTGGCTGTAGTTCCAGCACTGTGGGAGGCTAGGCAGGATTGGCAAATTGAAATTGGCAAATTGAAGTCATGGTAATTTGGACTTAGACCCTGTCTCGAACAAAACAAAACAAAACAACAAAGGGCAGGGGATGTAGAGTAGCTCAATGTAAAGACCCTGGGTTAAAACCCTAGTACTGACAAAAACACATTTTTTATATATTAGCTAATTTATCCCTCCCGACACCTAGTGGGGCAGCTTCCCCTGGGGAAATGTTGGGGCAGATTAGACACTTGCATGTAATCACAGATGCGTGCTCGGTGAGGTCAGGGTGCTCGGTGAGGTCAGGCTGTCAGGCTGTCACCCACAGTGCTCTACTTCCTCTCTTCTGCCGAGGTGTTCTCAGATGGGAAATGGGGTCGGGTAACAGGGTCCAGCATGCTTGGAGGAAGACTGTGTCAGAGCTGAGGTTCGGATCCAGGCCTGGGTACCCTTCCTGCTCCCTTGTACTTGGAACCCACCTCCAGCCAGGCGCCCCCACTTCGTTCTGGCTTTGTGAGACAGGGTCTCACTCACTGTGTAGCCCAGGCTGGCCTCACACTTGGCAGTGATCCTCCTGCCTCAGCCTCCCGAGTGGTGGGGTTACAGGCTTGCCCCACCATGCCCACTCCCTAGCCAGTCTCCCTCCGTCTTAGCTTTTGCTCTGCCCTTCTCCTGCAGTCTTGCTTGTTCCCTGAGTGTTCAGGGTGAGCTTTGCTGTGCCTTAAAAATGGGGAGTAGGGGCTGGGGATTTAGCTCAGCGGCCTAAGCGCCTGCCTTGCAAGCGCTTATGAGTTCGATCCCCGGTACCAAAAAAACAAAACAAAAACCGGAGAGTAGTGTCTCCTATTGGTTCTGCTGGGCTTGGTTGGTTAACATTTTGTTCACTGTAGGTGGGTACTGGGGCTCGAACTTGGGGCCTTTGTGCTAAGTCACATCACTTTTTAGTTTTAATTTTGAGACAGGGTCTCCTTAGGAACAGAGTTGCCTGGGCTGGGCTCAAACATGTGATCTTCCTGTTTCACTGTCCCAGATTGACGGGATTAAAGGTGTGTGCCGCCACACCCACCTTTCCTGAGTCATTTGTGGTGAGAGTCCGCTCAGGACCTGTGCCTGTTAAATGTCCCTTTTTTCTTTATTTTCTTTTTGGCTTTGGTTTTTGAGACAAAGTCTGACTATATAGTTCAGGCCGGCATAGTGCTCCTAGCATCCCTCCTGCCTCAGCCTCCTGAATGCTGAGATTACAGGAATGTACCATATAGGCTTAAACACTCTTCACTTTAAAAAATTTGCTGCCTTGAGTGGTGGCACACGCCTGTCATCCTAGCACTCTGGAGGCTGAGGCAGGAGGGTTGCTGCGAGTTGGAGACCACCCTGGGTTACATAGTGGGTTCAGGACAGCCTGAACTGCAGAGTCCAGACCCTGTCTCAGAACACACACAAAGAAAGTGTCATTTTGGATGAGGATGTGGCTGAGTGGCGGAATGGTTGCCTCACATGCACAAAGCCCTGGGTTCTAGCCCCATATACCACCCAGAGAAGTCACCAGAACAGCATTGTGCTCCTGACCTTCCCAAATGCTAACTTTTACCATGCTTAGGGTAACATCTTTTCTGTCTCCCCAAATATACATTTGCTTGCATATGTTAGTATTTAATTATCTGTTCAAATCTGCCAAATACTAACTGTTCGGTTGGCCACCTTGATAATGTGCAGACTTCTCCCTAATAGCACACTATGTACATTATTGATGTGGTAGGGTGTATTTTCTTTTACTTTTTTTGAGACAGGATCTCATTATGCGGGTCAGGCTGGCCTTGTGCTGTCCTTGAAATCATAGCAGTCCTCCTGCCTCAGCCTCCCGAGTGCTGGGATTACAGGCATGAGCCACCACACCTGGCTGTTTTTTCCATTTTTTTTTTTGTTGTTGTTGAGCAGGGTCTTGCTATGCAGTTTACTTTGTAGCCAGGCTGGTTTCAAATTGGCAATCATGCTCCTGTCTCAGCCTCCCGAGTGCTGGGATTACAGGAGCGCACACTGTGGCTGGCCAGGATGTATTTTCTATAAGCAAGATATTCAAACTGAGCATGGTATGCTTGGTGCCTGTAATCCTAGCTACTCTGGAAGCTGAGACAGGATGATCATAAATTCAAGGCCAGCCTGAGCAATTTAGCAAGACTTTGTCTCAAAATACAAAACCAAATAAAGGGCTGGGGATGTAGCTCAGCGGATAGTGCCTGCCTGGCAAGTGCTGCAAAGGTGAGAGTTTGAGTCCTGGCACCACAAATAAAGAATAGTAAATGACCTTAAAAGAAAGCCCCAAGCAAGCAATAACCACAAACTCAGGCTGTTCTTTCATATAGGTATATTAGAACTTTTAAAAGTAGAACGTTGACATTGAGTACTGTAATCTCTAGATGCTATTCACATTTTTTGTTTGTTTTACTGTACACTTTGAAAGGCTAGAAGAAAGAATTATCATAGTTTTTTCTCCTTTTACTCCTTGAAATAAAATGGATTTTTTATTTTTTTATTTTTTTGAGACAGGGTTTGACTGTGTAGCCCAGGTCGGCCTTGAATTTGCAATGACCCTCCTGCCTCAGCTTCCAAATGCTGAGATTTCTGATTTTTTTGGTCTTTTTGAGAGGGGTCTGGTATGCAGTTCAGGCTGGCCTTGAGCTTACTTTGTATACCAGGATGGCCTGAACTTGCAACAGTCCTCCTGCCTCAGCCTCCTGAGTGCTGGGGTTACAGGAGTGCACCACCATGCGGGCTTCTCGTTATTCTTATGGATTGGGTTTTTTTGTTTTTAGAAACAGGGTCTCAGCATGTAGTCTAGGCTGGCCTCAACTCACAGTTGACCCTCTTGCCTCAGCCTCCCGAGTGCTGGGGATTACCGCTATGTGCCACTATGCCCAGTCTGATTGTTCTTACGGAGAAAATGTACCGGTGTGAGATCCAACTCAGGATCGAGGGTAGCATTTGGTCTCCTTTGATCTGGAACTATTCTTTAGTCTCTGACTGTTGTGTTGCTGTGGTGCTGGGCCTGTAGAAGCCTTTGAGGGGCTGTAGCCCCAGCCCTTTCTTGGATTTTTGAGACACAGCCTCACCGAATCACTAACTTGCCCCAGCTGGGCTTGCCCTTGGGAGCCTGGCATAGTTCAGGGATTGGAGGTGAGCGCCCAGCCAGGCTCGTTATCTGTGGCCTGTGCCCCAATTTGGGTGCATGAGTATTTGTTCCTGATTAGAGTCAGGCCGAGCGGCCGCAGTGAAGCTGCCCGCAGGACACTGGCTCAGGAGATTATGTGTGCCCGGCAGGCATTGGGTTCCCGAAGGACCCTGGCACACCTTGGTGGCCTCCTGCCTGTTGGTGACCTCCCCCAATCTCTTTGTAGCTTCTTTGGTTTCTATGATGCCAATGAGACGGTGTTGGAGATGGAGGAGCAACCGGTGAGCCCCTGGGGATTCCCTGCCTTCACCCTGCCCAGGCCCCTCAGATCCCTGCCCCTGCCCTGAGCCACAGCCACAGCCTTCACCCCGAGGGCAGGTGGAGCACGAGTTGCCTGTGGGCACTCACAGGGTCCCCTCCTGTGCTCCTCCCTCTCCAACTCTCTCACCCCCAAAAGGTTTATCTGCGAGATTCCTTTGGGTTAAAGACACTGCTGGCCCGGGGAGCCATCAAGAGCTGCCCGATGTCGGGGATCGCACATACGGCCTGGCACTCCAACCGCACCCTTTACGAGACCTGCATTGAGCCTTGGCTCTCCTGAAGGTGGTCACCCCGCTCTGGCCAGAAGTCCCCAGCCCAGAGACCGAGCTGTGGCCTTGGAAGACGGACATCAGGCTGTGGCACGCCTGGGGCCTCCTCATTGCTCCCACACTCACTGCCCTCCCCCCCAGCCCCCTACCCTGCTCCTCTGTGAATGATACACCTCCCTGGCACGCCTACCTCACGCCAGCTGTTTCGGGGGGGCACCCCCCAGGCTGAGGTTAGGAAGTGAGAACCAGGTTTTTAACTCGTGGCTGCTGCTCCTGCTGCTGCTGCTGCCGCCGCTGCTGCTGCTGCTCCTCGGAATCTGGTCGTGCAGGAGGAGAACCAGCCCCTGTCCTGGTACCACAGGGGTCTCCTTCCCGGCCACTCAGGACATTTTTAGCTTCTTCCCTGTTCCCCTGTCCTCGGAACTTCCTCTTTGTCAGTCCTCCAACCCCATGCACGTGGGGTTCCTGGGCTCCCCCATGGGGACAGTTCCGTTATTGAAGTGTCAGTGTTGGGGAATATCTGTGGCCTTTGAGGCCCATCTCAGGTTTGGGGATCCCCCAGTCCCTATGATCAGTGTTGGGGTTCCCCCTGGGAGCCTAGTTTTGAGGCCCCAGCCCTTCTTTTAACCCTTGAAGGGGTGTTCTCCTATATTTATGGAAATAAAGTCCCATTTCCTCAGTGTGGTTTGGCTTATTTCCTGGGCAGGGATCCCTGGCTCCCCAAGGTGGGTGGGAGTGGGAGCTTGGGGCCTGGCCTGGGGTGGGGACCCCTTAGTGTTTCCGTCCTCTCAATGCCCATTCTGTGCAGGTTCCTGACTCTGGGTTCTTTCCTGCTGAAGACAATTCTCTTCCTGTCCCGGGAGGATTAGGGGCTGAACCCGAGGCCCTGCCCTGCCATGTGGGGCTCAGCATCATGGTGGAATTCGCCTGCCACCCCCAGGCTAGACGAGGGGGCTGAGGGTCAGGGTGGGCATTTGTTGTGCCCCTTCTAGACCTTTGTAGGCCAGAGCGGAGTGAGGGGCTGTACAAAGAGCCTCCTTTTCCTTGAAAGGAGGAATTTGGGTGGAGACAATGGGGCCCTGTCTGCTCTGGCACGGGGGAGTGATGGCTGACTCCATTCCGTGCCCCCTGAGCCCTAACAAATGTCATCGAGCCACGGGGGCAGTTTTCCCCCTGGTGCCTTGGGCCACCCCCCGCCTTCTGTGCAGATCCTCTCGCTGCTTAGCCAGATGCTGACCTGCTTGGCATCTCTGCCAGCCTGGCCTCTGCCCACAGTCTGCATTTTCAGGGTGCTGGTGGTGTTCAGAGCTGGGAGCCCCTGTGGATGTGTGGAGTCCAGAATCAGGTCTCTGAGAGCTGGGCAGATGCTCCTAAGAGCCCTTTGCTGGAGGGGGTGAGGGTGGCTGGGCTTGACCCCACTGAGCCCACCAGGCTGGAGCTGAGGAGGAGGCTTGTGGGAGGGGGCAGGAATGGGAGGGCTCCCAGTGGCTCACACCCTCTCTTCCTCCCTTGCCCAGCCAGGCCCACCCAGCAGTCGGGGCTGCTGCTGCTGAGGCTGGCTGCTCTAAGACTCCCCTGGAAAGAGGGGAGCTAGGTGGAAAGGCAAGGAAAGAGGGAGGTGGGGGTAAATCTCAGTGCTGGGAGGGAGGGTGACTCAGAGCCTTGCGGGTGTGTAGGCTGGGGGGGGGGTCCTCTGAGCAGAGGTGCATGCGGCAGTGTGGGTGTGAAAGGGCAGTAGAAAGGTGTTTCAAGTGTAAGTGATCCCCAGCCCTCAGGAGGCTGAGGCAAAAGGATCAACTGAGTTTAATGTCACAGCCAGGCCTACATAGTGAGACCCTGTCTCTAAATAACTAATAAAAGATGCAAAGGCGGGCAGTACTTGGTGAGGCGGTCCGAGTGCTTTGGGGCTCTGTCCAGTGCTTTGATATAAAGACTGACCTGTTGAGCCTGGCGGAGAGGCTTTAGACATGTGCGTTCTCCTTCAAGCTGAGCAGAGGCCTGGCAGTGGAGGGGCGTGCCGGGGTGCGAGCCTGCAGAGTGCTGGACAGGCTGGTTAAATGGGCACACAGGTGTAAGACCATCCCCACTCCTGTGGCAGAAGCCCCAGCAGTGGGTTCTGGGAAGCGCTGGGCCAGAGGTGCACAGCAGGGGGGAGGGGCATCCTTTAATCTCTGTGGTCCTGTGGCCCACAGTGTGGCAAGTCTCGGGGAATCATGGGGTCCTGGGCCGAGATGCAGGCTCTCTTGAGGGGACTGTCACTCCTGCTGCTGCTGCTGTCCGGAGAGGTTGCCATGAATGGAGCCCTGGAGCACAGGTGACCTCCGTGGGGTGGCCTGGTGCTGGGGGCGGGCTTCACCAAGGCGCAGTTGATGGTGGACCTCGGCGCCTGTTTGCAAGGGGACCCTTGGCTTCCAAAGGTCTGGCCCATTCGGGGTCTCCTACCTCTTCCCGTATGGCACAGCCCGGGCGTCTGCTCCAAGCAGACGCTGGTGGTCCCGCTCCGCTACAACGAGTCCTACAGCCAGCCGGTGTACAAGCCCTACCTGACCCTGTGCCCCGGGAGGCGCCTCTGCAGCACCTACAGGTGAAGGCAGGGAACCGGGACCCCCAGAGACCCGCGCCAGAACCTGCGCTGGGCCCTAAACGCAATGGGTGCTGCCTCCTAGGACCACGTACCGCGTGGCCTGGCGGGAGGTGCGGCGGGAGGTGCAGCAGACCCACGCCATGTGCTGCCAGGGCTGGAGGAAACGGCATCCGGGGGCGCTCACTTGTGAAGGTGAGGCCAGGTCTGCACCTGGGGGCGCCGGAGGGGGGGGGCCGTGGTGGGTTAGGTCCGGACCGTCTGCAAACCACCCCCTGCAGCCATCTGCGCTAAGCCCTGCCGGAACGGAGGCGTCTGCGTGGCCCCTGAGCAGTGCGAGTGCGCCCCAGGCTGGGGCGGGAAGCACTGCCACGTGGGTGAGTTCGGGGCAGGTACCAGGTGCGGGCAGGTGGCCAGTACCCCGTGCGCCACACCCCGCCCCGCCCCACCCCGCCCTCACCTACCCCTGTCCTCCTCTTTCCTGTGATCAGACTTGGATGAGTGCAGGGCCGGGGTCTCCCGGTGCTCGCACCGGTGCCTCAACACGGCAGGCAGCTTCACCTGCAGCTGCCCGCGCGGCCAGGTGCTGGGCCCCGATGGGCTCACGTGCACCGAGGGCCCCCCAGGGCGCCCCACCAGCGCCAGCGTACTCAGCGTGGCAGGTGAGTGTAGGCCAGGCCCGGGAGGCCTCGGGCCCAGCCGGCAGCGCGGGGCAGGGGTCACTTTCTCCGCTGCGCTGTTGCCGTAGTCCGGGAAGCGGAGGAGGGAGCAGAGGAGGAGCGCGGCCTGAGGTGGGAGCTCGGCGAGCTGCGAGGGCGCCTGCAGCGGCTGGAGCAGGTGAGCGGAGGCCAGAGCCAAGCCTGGAGGGAGGGCTGGGTCGCGTTCTGTGTCCACACCGAGGTTCTCCTGCCTTCGCAGTGGGCAGCCCAGGCTGGGGCCTGGGTCCGCGCGGTGCTGCCCGTGCCGCCCGAAGAGCTGCAGCCTGAGAAGGTGGCCGAGCTGTGGGGCCGCGGCGACAGGATCGACTCTCTCAGCGACCAGATGCTGCTGCTAGAGGAGAGGCTGGGCGCCTGTGAGTCCTGCTGCACCCCCCGCTCCAAACCCCGGCAGCTGCCGGGCTCCCTGCGGCCTCTCCTAGCGGCTCAGTACTCCCCTAACTATCCTCATCTGCCGGGACCTTGAGCCCTGCCGCCTTGAGCTGAGGTGGGGGCTGCCTGTCTCCCTCCCGACCAGGCTCCTGCGAGGACAACAGCCTCCGCCGTCGGTGAGAAGCCTCCATAGACCCCCCCCGCAGGAATTTAGGGACCGGCCTGAATGATCTGGGATTGCCCAACTGGCACAGTGGATACGGCTGTTGGACCAAGGAACCCACCGCACAGCCCCGGGTAGGCTGTCTGGGCCAGGCCTGCTACTTCAGCGTTGGGGCAAACATAGTGAGAAGACACCCACATTTCTCTCTTTATTCTTGCTTGCTTGCTGTTATCCAGATAATTAATAAAAATCAACCACGCAAAACTGGCCCCACCCTCTCCTGCTCCCAGCCCACCTCCCGAGTCCCGGGAACAGGTCTGCATCAGGAGGCAGGCAGTGGCTGTTGCCACCTCGGGGAAATCAAAACTGGCTCCGAGAGGGGGGAGCCTCGAAACAAAGAAATAAATTAAATGTCCCTCCTCTCTCCTCCAGCCAGTCCAGTTCCTTCCCCAAGGCGCCCCAGGGAGCGGTGAGCACAGCACCTAAGTCTGCCTCCTCCCCCATGGTCTGCTTAGGATGGTGCTGGGGCTGGGCAGGTCTGGACCACTGAAGAACTGTACTATGGGACGGAGGAAGCAGGAACTTGGTGACCCAACTGGCAGCCCAGCAAGTGTTTGATCCTGGGCGTCAGGGCAAAGGCAGGGATGAGACCTTTGAGTCCGAAGAACCTGGCAGGTGGGGCTCCACCAGCAGGGAGTGCAGAGGTGCCCACACAGATTCCCCCAGGGCACAGGTTTCCCAGGGTGGAGGGACGGCCCAGGATGTGGGCTCCAGGTGTCAGCTTCCAACCCCAGGGCTAAGCGTCCTCCTCCTCCAGGGACTTAGGGAAAAGGGTAGATTGTTTCACAGAACTGATGAGTCCATTGGCCAAGGTGGAGCATAGAGGGAGAGTCCCCCTGGGTGGGGAGATGGATGCTCCCACCTTGTGCCCAGGAGCACTTGGGAGGAGGGGGAGGCGAGGGGCAGAGTGGAGACTGTGGCAGGGCAGGAATCCATGGGTGGCAGGGAGGACAGGAGTGCTGCTGTGTCCACGTTCACATCAGAGGTCAAAGATGGAAAGAGGAGAGGAAAGGCGGGCAGGGATGGAGGAAGGAGGTGATGGGTATGAGGGGGCAGGACAGATGGGTGCCAAGCTCAGAGCCGGGCCTCGCCCGCCACCCCAGGCGTCTTCAGACAGTCACCACCTCCCCGGCTGTCGCTGGAGATGTCCTGGAAGACGGTGAGCATGGAGTGCCGGACTCCGTCAGCCAGCGCAGGGACGTCGTCTGGGGTCAGCCCTTCTGTGGGCACCGGGGGCAGCACCCGCACCTGACACCGCCCTGTGCGATGAGAGGCACCAACATGGCTGTCTCCTGGCCTCTCACCCGGCCCTGGGTCATCACCCTTGTGCCAGCAAGTGGCTCCTGTGCTCTGAGCCTGCCTGCCCGCAGCTTCCCCGAGCCCCAGCCCAGGTGCCCCTCCTGGGTCCAGTGGAGTGTCACTTGTGTCAGCTCTGCCCACGGGATGTACGTCTCCTGGGAGACTCTGATAGCCCCTCCTAGAGAGACCAAGTCCTACCTACCTCGCAGGTACACCAGGGCTTAGGAAGTACCTAGTGCCTGATGTAGGATCAGACTGGACAATCTTACAGAGGTCTCCCCAATGACCCCCTGCCTCACAGGGGGGCCCACCTCGGCTTTTCTAGGCCCCCAGCCTACCCGTGCTCTCAGCCCTCACCCGAGGTAAAGCGGCGCTCTTTCTTGCAGTAGAAGTCTCGGTACGAGGACATGACTATGGGCACGATGGGAACCTGCAGGGGAGAGAAAGTGGCTCAGCCTAGCGTTTCCCGAGACCGTGGAAGAGGAAGGATGGCAGGCCTGGGCAGGGTGGCAGAAGGGAAGCCGCAGTCACCTGGGCCTGCACTGCGAGGTGGAAGGCACCACGCTTGAAGGGCAGCATGGAGCCATTGTGGTTTCTCGTCCCTTCGGGAAACACCCAGACTCTCACCTGGGGGAAGAAGGGGACAGAGGCACACTCGTGGAGGCCGTAGATGGGCTGATCTACGGCAGCTCTGCTCCCTGCCCCCCCGCCTCCCGGGTGACTTACGTCCTGAGTGAGCAGGGTCTGGGCCACCTCAGACATAACGCTGATGGCATCCCCTGTGCGCTTCCGGTCGATGAAGATGACTCCGGCCAGCCAGCAGGCCAGCCCGGCGGAGCCTGCCCACAGCAGCTCGCGCTTGGCAATGGGCACGCAGCGGCCTGGCAGGACCTCCATCATCCCTTGGGCAGAGGCGGAGGTGGGGCAAAGATTAGAGTGGGGCATGGGGTCATGGCAGGCAGGGTGTCCCACAAGGCCCTAGCCCACACTAGCAGGAGCTGAAGGTAGAGGGAGGCCACTGGATTGAAAGAGCCTCCGGTAAGAGCAGGGGTGACTGAAGGTACAGGTACCCTGCCAAGCAGAGGCAGGTCTCCCGAGGAGCAGCCAGGGAGAAGGGTGTCAGGCAGCATCAAGTGGCCCGAGGTGGGGTCTCACCGAGCAGGTCGAGGGAGCTTTGGTGGTTGGAGACCACCACGTAGGGCTGCGAGGCGGGGAAGTGGTGAGTCCCCCGCACCTCCACTCGGATCCCGTACAGGTATTTGAGGTGCAGCAGCATGAGACGCAGAATCCTGTGGGAGCACAACCAGGGGCCCAGGGGGTCTACAGATGCTGCCCGAAGGCCCCTGCTCACCATGCCCTGCTGTCTCGGGGCCATTTCCACAGGCCTCTGGTCCCAGGGCTCATTCCACCACACCCTCCCCAGCCCAAGGCACCCTCACCACCCACACCCCCGACCCTCACTTCATGTTCTCCACGTTGCGTCCCCGTACAGCGCACACGGGGATGGCAAGCACAGCCAGGAAGAGGATCCAGCCGTTGTAAAAGGCCATCTTGAAGAAGTACTTGGCACTGGGAGCGCAGAACCACAGCGTGGGCAGCAGGAGCAGCAGCAGCAGCAGCAGCACTGTCCATGCCCCGGGCCACAGCTCCATCCTGGCCACCTGCAGCAGGGGCAAAGGACAGCACAGCCTGGTGGGGTGGGGGGCTTAGGATGGTTCCTGCCAGCACCTTCCCAGGGGCTCCCCGCACAGAGAGGTGAGAGAAGCCGAATACATGTGGCTTGCAGGTACGTGACAGTAACACCATATGAGAAGACGGTAAACATTGCAGTTGCAAAGGGTCTCAAGACCCTGGCTATTAGCCACAGGTGCCAGACCACATCGAGATATGCAGGATATGTAAAACACACTGGTTTTTAAGACGAAGCTGGGTGTGGAGGTGCATGCCTATAATCTCAGCTCTGGGGGAGGCTGAGGCAGGAGAACTGTTTTTAGTTGGGACCAGCCTGGGCTACAAAGTAAGCTCAAGGCCAGCCTGAACTGCATAGTGAGACGCTGTCTCAAAAAGAAAAAAAAAAAAAAAATCGGATAAGAAACAAAACCATAAAATATCCCCCAGCAGTCTGTTATATTGATTTCTTTTGGATATATTTGGTTCCATAAAGTATATTACTATTATTATTTTTTTTGGTCTTTTTGAGACAGGGTCTCTCTATGCAGTTCAGGCTGGCCTTGAGCTCACTTTGTACCCTAGGCTGCTCTCGAACTTGCAACAGCCTCTTGCCTCAGGCTCCTGAGTGCTGGGATTACAGGCGTGAGCCACCACGCCCGGCTCCATAAAGTATATTATTAAGATTAATTTCATTGCTTCTTTTTCCCCTTTCTCTGTGTAGCTATGATAAGATTAAAAATGATAAATGTGGGGGCTGGGGATTTAGCTCAGCGGCATAAGCGCCTGCCTTGCAAGCAGGCAGTCGTGAGTTCGATCCCTGGTACCGATAAAAATGAAAAAGACAAAAAAAAAAAAAAAAAAAAAAAAAAAAAAAAAAATGATAAATGTGGCTCACATTCTGTTCCAGCTCTCTGCTGGACTCTCTAGCTCCATGTTAAACCCTTACGTATGATCCACACAATAATCTATTAAAAGCATTATGAGTATTTAACGTTTTACAGGATACACTCAGATTAAGGAATTTGCCTGAAGTTGCAGCTGTTTCTAGATTAGACCTAAGAAGCCTGGGCTCCTAAGCCCTCCTGGATGCTGTCACCTATGTGTGTACAAATGCAGGCATACTATACATTACTGGCGGTGACACAAACCCCCGAAGGACAAGCCCTAAGAATAAAGCTCATGGGGCTGGGGATTTAGCTCAGCGGCATAAGCACCTGCCTTGCAAGTAGGCGGTTGTGAATTCGATCCCCGGTACGGATAAAAGGGAAAAAGATAAAAAAAAAAAAAAAGAATAAAGCTCATATTGTTAAGGCAGAGACACACACATAGCAATGCAAAGACTGATACAGGGGCACACACACACACAATTTATCAATGGAATATAAACACATACCTAGAAAAAGACCTCCCTTCCCAAGGCAGCTTTTTGCGTGCTCAGGTAACCCCCTGCCCACTGCAGTCCTATTTCTGCCAGTCAACCCCACCACCCTCCCCGGTCATACAGTGGCCACGTATGCAGGCAGGCAGGGTACGGCCTCGTCCTAGGAGGAAGTGGAGGCAGGAAAGGAAAGGAATATCACACCACTAGCTCCAGAAAGGAAGCGCCTTAAAGAAGAGGTGGGGGCATGCTGTCCCAACCTGCTTTCCAGGTTCTGCCTCCCTCCTCCACTTCTGGGTACAGGGTCACAGCAGACACTGGTGATCTATCAGGGTGTTATTTCCTGCTGGGCCAAAGGCCTGTGAGAGCTGAAAGGTGAAGGAAAAGGCGGTGCAGCAGTGGGGCCACAGGTGCTGGGGCTTTCTGCCCCAGCTGCTGTTGGCTCCGACTGCTTTCCCTCTGGTCCTCTTCCCCGAGGTTAGGTACTTTATCGTACATCTGAGCATTCCCTGTCTCCTCTCAAGGCCTTTTGACCAGCAAACCGGCTTACATCTCCAACCACTTCTCTTCTTGTTCTGGTAAAGCTGATTGCCTTTAGTTCCTCAGGTGCACAGTGGCCCTTCACGCTCCTGCGCCCTGGATGCACTCCTCTCCTGGGCGGTGACGCTGCTAGTGTCTTTCCTCTTATCACACATAACCCAGCAGGCCTGTGTTTTCATTACAATTTTTGTCTTCATTAGTGGCTCTCAGGATGTAGAAATACAAAATTCTTGGACCTCACAGCCATATACTCAATCACAAATTCTGGGCGCTGGCCCAAGGAGTCTGTTGCTCAGCAAGTTCTCCAGGTGCCTGTGGCCCAAACTCAGGCTTCAGAAGTACAGACAAGGATCCCGCCCACGAGGTGTGTGCACTCACTGACACCCTCCTCCAGGAGGCCAAGTTTATGCAACTCGGGGACAGAGATTCTATCTTTCCTCTACTTCCAGAAGGTAGATCAGGTGCTCAATAAACATTGCCTGAACAGAGTAGAAGGCTATGTACACACCCACAGCCATTATTAATGACAGTGATTCTTCCCTCTTGAAGAACACTAACCATGCAAAGAAAAGTCACTAAGAAAGACAGCACACACTCAGCCTATCCTGAAAACAGTGGCCACAGGTGAGGCAGAGGGACAATCACGAAGAGGTCATATTAGAAGAGAAAGGGAACAAGGTGCCACCAGGGGAAGATGCTGCCAGCATCAAACATGGGCCACCAACAGTGCAAAGGTTGGGGTACGGTGTCACAGGGCTCACGCAGGGCCAGCAAATGCTCTGACAAGCAGAGGCTCTCAGACCCAGCTAAGCACAGCCAGAGGAGACAGGTCACTTGCAAAGGCAGGCCAGGGCTCATTGAGGTAAGGCCCCCGAGGATGGGCACTGGGGGCCTGAGATCAGGTAACCTTCTCTAATTGGTGATATTAAGTGACCTGACCCAGACAGAAACATCCAATGAAAGTATGGATCAAATGGTAGGTGTGATCAGGAGCACACACACTATGGATATGTCTCAGAAGTGCTTTCTGCGAAGCTTCCTGTGCATACACATGCAGTGAGACCCTAACTAGGAAAACAGACCGATCCCATCCCCACACTGAGTACTGTGTACACGCTGGTCCACTATGTGTGAGCCCAACTGCAAACAGCCACACTGTATGTGAACCCAAACCAAATGGGACATGTAAGCTTTAGGTGCTAACATCATCATGCAAATATAGAAAACATGAAACCATATAATAGATACAATAAAAAAAAATACATGCGGTCCTCGAACACCTCAACACTACATGTGTGATAGGACACAAGATATGAGGGTGGGCAATTCTGAGGGGGAAAAATCATTTTTCTGCAGTCTTTGGGTAACACATGGACAAGCTAGTGGCACACAAGGCATAAACCCATGGCAAGCACCGGGAGTCAGTATGGAGACACAGACCCCCACCCCCAAGGTATGGAGGCGTCGGTCAGTGAGGGTCTGGTCGAAGGTCACGAGAAATTCGAGGGTCTGTGCCTAGGAGACACAGGGGTGCCCGAGGGCATTTCTAAGAGGCACTCTTCTGGCCTTCTCACCCCCCACCCCAAAGTCCCGTAGAGCCAAAGGGAAGGTAAAGGAACTGGGTACCCTGCAGGGAATCCCTCTCCCAGCCTCCTCGTCCACACCCCGGGCCCAGTAGGCAGAGTTTGCAGCTCTGCCCGCCTGCGCGGCTCCTCCGTGCTCCCCGCCTCTCCTCTGCCCAGCAGCCCCCGCCCGGGCCCCCAGCCCCGACCCCGAACAGTGCCCCCTCCCCCCGCTCCCATCCCTTTCCCGCCCACACCTCAGAGGGGCGGGGGGCCTGGGGGGCCGGCCCCCTCCCCAGCCAGGCTGCGGCAGCGGTGGAGGCGGCTGGCTGTGTCTCTGTCTCTCTCTGTCGGGGTGTCGGTGCCAGGGGGGCGACAGGACCGGGGGGCGTCCTAGCCCCGGCCGGTGGAGGGGCGGTGGGAGTGGGAGGCTGGGCCCATCGCGGTGGCACGGCCGGGGGTCGGCCCCCCGCACCCTCCCGCCCTCCCTTCCTGCGCTCTCTCAGAGGGCCGGGGCCGCCGCTATTTCCCCCACCCCTCCCCGGGGCCGCTGCTTCCGGGGCCGGCCAGGAAGTGGGGGGCGGTGATGGGCGGCGGGCCCTACCAATCGCCGCGCAGAGACCCGGGCATCTCCTCCCTGCGCTCACCGGGTCCAGTGACTAGCCCCGCCCCGCCAGAGCTCGGCTCTTGGGCCTCCGTCTCCAGCTGCATCTGTCTTTTTTTTCTTTCCTCCAAATCCTTTCCGCACAAACGGCTATGGACCCCCTGCTGCCGCTGTCTTCCTGCCTCGGCACATTTTTTCCCCTCATTCCAGCTCTCCCCTTACTGCACCGTTTCCTTTGTTCCTTTCTGATTTCTTCCTTTCTCCTTAACGCCGAGATCTGTGCTTAGTCTGCTAAACTTCAGCCCTCTTCTTGCCCTTCCATTTATCAATCACTACTATATTCCAAGCACGAAGTTTACCTCTGTTCTTTTTCTCCTTCAGGGCTCCATCTCTCCTCGCCTTACCCTCCGGTCCTCTGCTCTGATCCCGCTGCCCTTTGTACTCCCATCTTCCCACCCCCGTCCCAGCGGTCCGCCTCCCTCCACTCACCCTCTGTGGCCCACTCCATTTCCCCTCCTCGCTTCCTTTTCCAGTTCTGCGAGCCTCTTTACCCACGCTGTTGCAGCCCCTCTCCTAAGCACGGGATCTTTTCTTGCAGTGGAAATTGGGCATGAAGTCACTGTTTTGGGGTGTGTGTGCTGATTGCTCTGGGATGATTGCCCCCTTAATTTTGTTGCCTTGTATCCAGGTCTGCAGTCTCTGCTTGCTCCTCCCTCTTGTTCTCCATGTCTCTCATTCAGTATCTTCTTTCCTAACCCTCTTTTGAGTTTTGCAATCCTGTTCTCCTCTAAATAACTCCCTATTTCTCATCTTCTGTTTTATTTTTTTTCCCCCAAGACAGCGTCTCGATATTTAGTGGCTTCCCTTGAAATATGTAGCCCAGGATGGCCTTGATCTCTCGGCGATCCTCCTGCCTCAGCCTCCCGATTATTGGGATTCCAGGCTTGGGCCACTACTCCTGACTTATCTTTTATTTTTATATCAAGATGTTGCTAAGCATCCTTCATCCTGAGGTGGCCTCCCGCCCTCGACACACCTTTTGCCCTGACACACCTTTGCCCTGCAAGCGTGTACACACACTATTGAAGAGGATGGGAGATTGGCAGTGGGAGGACTGTTACCCAGTTCTGATTCCTGAACCACAGTGAGGGTCACTGACTGTAGGAAAGGCCAAAACGACTGGGGGTCCAGCCCTGGAAGACCCCAGTTCCACTGGGCTGATTACAAGGGGTGGGGGAGGGGGGAGACTAACCATATTCTTAAAAAGGGCCAGGCCTTGCCAGCTACACCTCCTCATAAAGGGGCGGACCCGACCTCTGCTCTTATAGTTTAGTACGGATTCCAGATCGCCTTTGTTCTGCTCAGTGTCACATTAAAAAGTGGGTGTGCAGGCCAGCAGGTCAGTCCTGCTCAGTCACCCAGAGAAGCGGACGGAGCTGTCCAGCCCAGGAGGTGGGTTAAACCCAGCGGCGCAGGTCGATACTCGCACCATCCAGACGTCGTCCTCGTACCCATTCTGGTCCCTGCTTCACTAGTCGAGAGGGGAGGGCCCAGGTTCTGTTCCCTACGTCATCCGGAGAGGCCGGAGCCATCTTGAACCCGAGACCCTAGCATTTCTGCTCCTTTTTTCGAGCTCTGCGCAGTCTTTCCTGCTGTTGGCCAATCAGAGGCGAGGGAAAGAGCCCAATCAGCTAAGAGAGTCGGCAGACAAAGGACCCGGATGAGGCTTGGCCAAGGCCTTTGAACGGCGGCCCCGCCAATTGTGGTCACCATGGCGACAAGATAGCGGTGAAGGGGTGGGATCAGAGCAGCTGCAATCTTAGTAAATCGGCCTATCCAATTCCTCTGCGTATCGCGCAGGCGCATTTTATCTAACCACCATTTTCCGCGCAGTTCCAGCCAATCGCTTGCTTTGAAGCCCTGCACTCCAAAGTCCAATAAGAATCTGGACATTCTTGGAAAGAGGAAGTGAAAGAGAGAGGGTGCTAGGAACTATTACCAATAAGCTCGACCCTGCCTGCTGAGTGTGACTCTGTTAGCCAATAATCACTGTGCAGGGGCGGGGCCGCGCAAGATTTTTCCCGCCCTCATGCTGTTGACCAATCTTTTCTTTAGAATATTACATGATTGGTATGTATTTAGACCAATAGGCACGAGAAAACCTTGAAGCCTACCCAATGACCCCGGGCAAAAGGCGGTCTCTCGTTTGTTGGGGTGTGTGTGTGTTTGTATCTGAGAGGACTGAGGGGTACTTGGGGCGAAACCGAACCGGTCATGGCAGCAGCAGAGGAGGAGGACGGGGCCCCCGAAGGACCAAACCGCGAGCGGGGCGGGGCGGGCGCGACCTTCGAATGTAATATATGTTTGGAGACCGCTCGGGAAGCGGTGGTCAGTGTGTGTGGCCACCTGTACTGGTGAGAATCTGGGACGGGGGCGGAAAGAGGTGGGGGTCATCTCTGTACTGGGGACCCCAGGAGCGGGGCCCTGTACAGCCATGCAGGTAATGGGAGGGCACGTCCCCGTAGGGGTGGCCCGAGGAAGGGAGGATGTGTGGGCGGGTGGCTCGCATCTGTGCAGAGGCGCAGAAACGAGGGTCTCAGGAATCAGGAGGTGGTTCCTGTCGGTGTGTTACAAGGAGGAGGTGGGACGGAGAATAAAGGGACACAGCACAGCGGCACTAGTGACACTCGAACCAGCTTACTGCAGGGAAGTTAGTGTCTTAGGTGTACAAGTAGAAACGGATGAGTTTCAGAGATTAGGAGAGGCACGCATTCGGTGAGTAGAGGAGACCCAGGGAATGTCGCCTCCTACTCGCGTGAGATCGGGGAGGGGGTACTAACGAAACACTGGGTAAGAGCCCTGTGGAGGGACAAAATTGAGAGATGAAAACGGTTGTGGAAATTGGGACTTCAGTAAGTTTGAAAAAGGAGCAGTGAAAAATGTGCTAGGAAAACAGGCTTGGTTTAGAGAGATGGGAGTGAGAACAGACCTGAGGCCGAAAAAGACCTGGAAGGGGGTGAGTTGAAGGTAACTGGAATTTAAGTCGGAAGACAGAGAGGAAGGGAATGAGAATTTGTGTGCATTGGGGTAGAGGAGTGAGTGTGTTGAGGATGGATGGAGCTTTGGGGATTGTGAGATCAGAGATGCAGAAGGCCACGCTGCCTGGCATGGTAGAGATTGCAGAAAATATAAAAAGAAATAGCCAATAACACAGTACCTGGGGAGAGGGGAGATGAGGATCTGTTAAGTCTGAGATCTGTTTGACTTTGTAAAATTGTTTTTTCTTTACCTCCCATCCAGTTGGCCCTGTCTGCACCAGGTGTGTATTTGGGAGGTGAAGAGGGCCAGGGAGGTCTGAGGCCAGAGAAAACCCTTCTGTGCACTTGAAGCCATTTTCTCTTTTTCTCCCCAGTGGCTGGAGACACGGCCAGATCGGCAAGAGTGCCCAGTGTGCAAAGCTGGCATCAGCAGAGAGAAGGTTGTCCCGCTTTATGGGCGAGGGAGCCAGAAGCCCCAGGATCCCAGGTGGGAGACGGGAGGTGGTGCTGAGGTCGGGTGGGGAAGGAAGAGGAGAGAAGATTCCGTTTTAATTAATGGTCTCTGTCTTTGGTCCTAAGATTGAAAACTCCACCCCGACCCCAGGGCCAGCGACCAGCTCCAGAGAGCAGAGGGGTGAGTTCTTGCCTAGCTGTGTCCCTTCCTTGACGGTGAGGTGTGTGTGTGTGTATGTGTGTGCCTGGTATCCCTGACTCTCCATCTCCCTAGGGTTTCCAGCCGTTCGGTGATACCGGGGGCTTTCACTTCTCATTCGGTGTTGGTGCTTTCCCCTTCGGCTTTTTCACCACTGTCTTCAATGCTCATGAGCCTTTCCGCAGGGGTGCAGGTAAGAGTCCTCCCTGAGGGCCCACCGGGGAGCTCCCCTCTTGGCCGAGGAGCATCTGCTTCTGCAGCTGTCTATTTCTCCCCCACAGGCATGGACCTGGGACAGGGTCACCCAGCCTCCAGCTGGCAGGATTCCCTCTTCCTGTTTCTCGCCATCTTCTTCTTTTTCTGGCTGCTCAGTATTTGAGCTGTGTCTCCTTCCTGCCCACCTCCAGCCACAGGAGAATCAGTATTGGGGTCTCTGCTGCCCCTTCCTTCCTTCTGGACCCCCGCCCCCAGCCCCTCCTTTTTGTCAGCTCTGGCTCACCCTGATCACTGTCCCGGAGGGTGTGGAGAGGAGGAGTGACAGCTGGCACAGGATGAGAGAGCCCTGAGCTCTGAACTACTGGCTGGGAGGACACATAGAGCAGTGTCCACGTCTCCTCTCCTGACCGTTCGCTTTCCCTCAGATTTCTTGATTTCACGTTGAAAGGTGGGCAAGATTTCCTCCGACTCTCCCTCCTCCCCGTCTTATTGGTTTAATTTAATATTTCTCTCCCAGTATCTAATATGAGTTGTGATTTTAAGTGTTCACCCTCCCACTACCTCCTTTATTACAAATTCAATAAAAAAGGTGAAATGCACGGACAAAGACTTTTCCAAGTTCTTTCCAGAACGGAAGCCTAATCTCCCCAGGCTTCGGGGATGTGGGTATGGGGTGGCCTCCTCTCCTTTGCTGCCCTCAAGGGTGCAGGGGATGAGTCTGTTTCTCTCTGTGTCGCGCGCGCGCGCACATACACACACACACACAGTGTGAACAGCCTGATGTGTCAGGTGTTTACTCAGCATGGTTCATTCACAGGGGCTTGGTGTGGAAGAGAGTGGGGCAGGGATGACAGGAGGGCTGGAGGTCTGGGGTCAGTGCAGTGCAGCGGAAGGGTGATGGGGAGGGCACTGATGGTCGGGCCTGTCTGGGGCCCTCACGGCCCTCCTGGGCCGCTCTCAGCCGTCTCTGGCTCCTCTGACTGATTCAGCTCCGCGCGTTCCTCTTCCTCCTCCTGGCTCTCCGGGGCCTTCCTGAGGAGGATGGGGGGAAGTCCACATGGCTCCTGCTCTGTTCTGACCCTGGCCCCCGGCTCTCCCTTGCTGCCTGGAAGCCTGAAGTCTGAGGCGTCTGGTTTTCCTCACTCACCTCTCCTTTCCTTTACGTCTCTTCCTCTGCCACACGATGACCCCAATGAGCAGGGCAGCTATCCCCAGGGCTGCCAGGATCCCCAACACCAGGGCGAGAGTTCCCAGCCCTGAGCCTCCCACGGAGCCTGCAGGGAGACGAGGAAACAGGCCCAGCCTCACCACTCACTGTTTCTTTCTTGCTGATGTTCTGGTCACATGCCGTACGGCTGTGACTAACCCAGTCTCACCTCTGGGTTGCCCCTCCACATCTGCTTCTGGAAGAGAAATTTGGAGCAAGTCAGGTGGGAGGGGAAGGGCTGCAGTCTGGGAAAGGCAGTTTCCTTTTCTCTGGTTCAGGAGAGAGGCTGGGTTGACTCCAGTGGTTGCACTTGGCTGCGGGAGGAGTGGGGAGGCCAGAGGGGGCAGGGATTGGGCCCACTGTGTCCCTAAGCCCGTCCCAGGGCCCTGGCTAGGAGAGAGATCTCACCCGAGATGCTGATGGTGACCCCAGGACTTTCCTGGGACCCGAGGCTGGGGTGGGTGGCCACACAGCTGTAGGTCCCCTGGTCTTGAAGCCCTACTTCCCGGAGGAGCAGCACAGGGCGGGGGTCAAGGGGCAGGAGCATTCCCTGGAGGGGAGTGGAGAGGAGGGGATGTTCCGAAGTCCTTGGCCACTGGTCCTGTGCCTTTGTCTCTGTCTCTTCTGCATCAGCCCCTTGCCCATCTGCCTGCCCATTACCCCTGCTCTGCTTCCACTTGAGAGTTAGGGCTCCTTCTGCCTCCCAGCCCCTCCAGGCCACTCACATCCTTCATCCAGTGGATTTCAGGAGGAGGCTGGGCAGGGGCTTCACAGGTCAGGGTCACTGTCCCTCCTGCAGCCACTATTCCACCTTCTGGCTCCACCACCAGCTGCACATTCTCTAGGGGACCAGGCTCTGAGGATGGGGAGGGTGGGGAGGGTCCCAGCAGCTGTGGGCATGACCCTTACCTCCCTGGGGATCACGCTTCCACTTGAACTTGGGGCTTTCCCAACCCAAGCCCTCACTCACTCCACACACTGGGGTGGATGGGGGCAGAGTGTAAGGCCTTTCGCCTGGGGAGGCCTGGGCTGAAGCTGCAGGAGAAGGTAGGGTGGGCAGCCCCTTCCTGGGCTGGGGCTGGGGTCACCGTCAGCTCCGACTGGAGAGTGAAGAGCCCTGTCTCCGGGTGTCTCCTGGTCTGTTCCTTCACAGCCACTCCTGTGGTGGGAGTGGGGAGGACAAGGAAAGACACCCAGGCGGGTGTGGGGGAGATCGGGAAGGAGGCAGCCTGGCATTGGGGGTGCTTTGGGGCTCACCTTTCCCATCAGGTGTCAGGGGCTTCCCGTCCAAGTGCCAGCTGAGTGTCCCTGCTGGGTAACCTCCCTTAGACACGCATGTCCCCACCTGGGGGAGAGCCGTGATCTCGTCATCCTCTGAACACCCAAGATGCCACACACATAACCGCATTTGCAGAGCCACTTTCTGTCTGCTTTCTTCCCCTACCTTGCTGGGGACACCAGCTGTGAGCTCTGAGGCTGCATCTACAATCTCTGGCTTGCTGGGCATCTCTGAAGGAGGAAAAAAATCCCATTGTAAGGAGCACTGCTGCTCAAAGGTTCAAGCAGCCCGGACATGGTAAGGGGCCATTGGAAGTCAGGGGTCCTCACACTGGGGCCCAGGAGGTGAGGCTGGGGGAGAAGGCTTTTCCTTAGGTGACGGTGGAACCTTACGGTAGACTCGGACCCGGTAGTTGGACTTGGTCTCCTTCCCGTGCCTGTTCATTGCTCGGCACCGGAAAGTCCCCTCATCCTGGATCCCAGCCGCCGGGAGGAGGAGGGAGCCATTGGGGAGGACACGCGCCACACTATCCCAGGCAGCTCCCTGGGGAGAGAGGACCTTCCACGCTTCTGTGCGGCCTGTGTTCTGCAGACAGAAGAGACCTGGAGTGGCTCGAGGCTTCTGATTCATGGCTAATGACGCAGAGCAGCGGCACCCTGACCATCAGTTTCCCTGGAAGTCGGGGTGCCAAGGAGCCCTGCTTACCAGTTTCCATTCCAGCTGTTGGGGTGGTTTCTTGGGGGCCCCCCGGCAGTTCAGCAGCAGCGGCTCCCCAATCCGGGCTGTGATATTCTGGCTGCCTACCATGACTGCTGCCCCTGAGACAGCGCCAGGTCAGGAAAGGGGGGTGAGGGGACTTGAGGCAAGCACGGGGCCCAGGTTCTAAGGGAATTCTGGGGAGACAGGGCGGCTGCTTCCTGCAGGGAGCACTCACCCCACAGACCGAGGACCAGCACCCAGGCTCCAGCCGTGGCTGCTCCAGCTGCCATCCTGCCTCCTCCCAGGCCCCTGGCTCTGTCTGCCCTTTCCCTTGCTGTGGCCACCGCCCTAGGTGGGGCCTGTCCCCTCACCCCTGCCCCCTGCTCTGTCTTGTGTTGGCACAGGGAATGCCAGGAATTCAGGCCTCTTCCACAAGAGCCCTTCAGGTGCTAGAAGCAGTTCTTAGCCCACCCCCGGACACTGGCAGTGCCTAGGCACAGCCACTTCCTGAAGGTGCAGAGCACACCTCCTGGGGTCTCCCACACCCCTGCCCACTCCACCGGCCCAGGAGAAGGGCTGCCTGCCTGGAACCCCATCTTGACTGGGCGAGGAGGGTACAGGCAATGGGCTGCAGGCTGAGCTGTCTCTGGGAGTGGACATGGGGCCTGTGTGGGGCAGGAGACACCTGTGGGGGATTTGGGAGAGGGAAGAATTTTTTTCTAGGCGTTTCTCAAGTTTTTTGAAAAAAATTCTCAACTAAGCCCAGGGAAAAAAGAAATTTCTTTATTTAAAACTGCATTGCTTCCTTTTATTTTTCTGTGAAACTACAAGTTTACAAGTGAGGAGAGAACTGCCCCTGGCCCGTGTCTCCCGCCCCCGACCCGTCACATTCCCAGCCGGCCCCCTAGTACTGACCAGATCCTCCAGGGGAGGGGACCCCCACTCTGACAGTCTCTTAAAATCCTGAGGGTGTTTGTGGGGATCAGATGGGGTGCAGGGTGAGGCCAGGACAGTGTCCTTGCTTTCCCCTGTATCTGGCTTTTTGCAGTCTTCCTCCTCTATCCACTTCCTTGATTTAGGAGAAAAAGGAATTTAAAAATGCCTTATCTCTGGGGGAAATGAGGGAGACACATGTACAGTAAGTACCCAACCCATTTAATGTATTTGGCAAGACTCCCTCCCCATTCATTCTCCTCCAATCTGCAAATAGTAGTTAAAAAAAAAAAGATTGAAAGACATTGTCACATAGGGAAGGTGACATCTTCAGTGTCCTCAGTTACTGAGTCCAGCCCTGCCAAGGGTTGTGGGAAGAGGGGACCAGCGGCCAGCAGGGTGAGCACAGGCACAGGTGACTCAGAAGTGATTTTAGAGGGACAAGGTCACTTCCTGGTGGTTAGGCCTGAAGCCGGGTCAGCCTTGTACCAGCTCCCCCCATTCCCATTTCTCCCCAGAAACCCCTTTGGCTATCACCTCTAATATGGGAAAGCAAGAAAAAAAATCAGTATGTTTATTTAAAAACAAACAAACAAAAAAAAAAAACAACCCTCTTCCCCAAACTAAACACCAAGAACAACAACAAAAGGACAGATGGATCCCAGGGTTTCTTGTTCTTTAAAAAAGGGGGAAAAAAGTCCAATCCCAAAGCCCAGTCAACAATTCCCTAAAGTAGCAGAAACTCCCTCCGAGGTAGATATCTGAGTCAGACACTCTCGTCACCGAGCGATTCTATTGGTTTAAGATGAGCTGCGTATGAGGTAATAAAGCCGTCTGCAGGGGCAGGGGGGTGCACAGGGGGCGTGGCCCATGTCCTCTGTCCAGAGTCAAGTCCCCATTTTTGGCATCTCTGGGTTGGGCAGGGCTGTCTCCAGATTCCAGAGCGGAGGAGTGAGGTGGGGAGGGGCCCCCCTCCAAACGGAAGGGCTGCCTGTGGGGGGAGCATGTGAGCGGGCGAGGGTGTGGGGGGGACAGGGAAGAGGGCTCTGAGGGACAGGTGTGTACGTGTGTGTCAAAGAAAAAGGCTGAAAGACTGGAAAAAGGGGAAGCCAGACCCCACTCCCCCTCACCGACGCCCGCTCCATTCTCCCTGCCACATAGCACCCCAGCAATGACAGTTTAGGTGGGGAGGGGCGCCCCATTTGCCCATTTCTGTCTTGTGCTTCTCCGGTCTAGGGCTTGTCCTCTGGATGCCTGCGTCCTCTTGGAGTGGCCTTGCGAGAGCCCCCACCCCCGTGACCCTGAGGGGAGAGATCAGTTGGAGGTGTCGGAGTGAACACTTCCTGGTCCCTCTGTTGGGGATGTCACTGAGGACGGGGTCACAGCCTCCTGCCAGCCGCCATTTGCCTAGAAAGAGACAGACAGTAGGAGTTAGGCCCTTGGTGGGAAATCCCACTGAGGACCATGACGTGGAGACAACACGCTTAAGAAAAAGCCCCCTCTTGGTGACAGCGAGACAGGGTTTCAGGGTCCACTCACCCTCATTTCCCGAGGGCTGTACATCTGGCCTCCCCCGAGGTTATCCCCGTAGCTGCCCGGCCCCATGGAGTGTCGCAGTGATTCCACCTGTGGATGCGGAGGAATGGTGAGAGCAGGAGCCCTGCGGTCCGCATCCTCAGGCTGGGAAACAGGGTTTGGCACTTGGGGTGGGTGTCTACGTGACAGGGCTCTGACCTGGGAAGCAGAATAGGAGTCTCCGTTGAGCCCGGGCATCCCCAGAAACATGTCTCCGGATCCTGAGAGATTGAAAGAGCCGCCAGAGCCTTGGGGGAGGGGAGAAGGAACCAGGGAAGTTTAAGGGAGGCAGCCATGGCAAACAGGAGGTGGACACAACTCCCGGCTTCCAGAAAGCCCTCAGAACTAGTTTGTGGGGGCCAAGCTGCCGCTACCCACAAATCAACCACAAAGCATTCCAACAGTCAGCCAAGCAGGCTGTTTTGGGGCCGCCTCTTGCCACCCACTGGAGGAAGGGCAGCTGCAGCTTTGCTGGGGTAACCTCTGCCCCCTGACATCACCAACCCCGCTCAGCTTGGTCCTCCTCATCCCAAAAGTCCTCCCTCTGCTATGATCCTGCCTCGACAGGAAGTGGGAACAAAAGCAGGAAGTGCGTGAAACAGCCAGCCAGGGCGGCAGTGGGCTCCACCTGCAGAGGAAGGGGGCGTCGGGGAGCTGGTGCGGCTGTGGCCCCCCTGGGTGACGGACACCGCTGTCTTTACAGCGTAGATGTTTGCCTCCTCTTGGAACTTGCCAATATTTTTCTTATAGCGAATCCGCTTGTTGCCAAACCAGTTGGAGACCTGAGGGAGGCCGGGCAGAGGCTCAGATGGAAACCCTGGCTGGGAAAGGCTTCCTGCCCACACACCCTCCGCGAGCCCCGTGGCTCAGCACCTGAGAGACAGTGATGCCACACTTCTTGGCAAGCTCTTCCTTGGCTTCCTCGCTGGGGTACGGGTTGCTCAGGTGTGAGTAGAAGTACTCATTCAGCACCTCAGTGGCCTGCTTGCTGAAGTTGCGGCGTTTGCGTCTGCAGAGGAGAGGCAAGGGGAGGCGGGCTTCCCGGCAGGGCTGCCCTGGGCGTTCCTCCGGGCTTGCCCAGGACGGGACCAGCCGCACCTGGCATCCAGAAAGCGCGAACGCAGGATCATGACGGCCTCACAGGTGCTCTGCTTGAGCTGCATCTGGATGGCGCTGAACTTCCGGTGGATGATGCTGACCATGCGCTCCATCTCCTTGGGCGCCACAGGCCGTGTGCGGCTCTGCTCCCGCAGCAGGTTCATGACGTGGGTCGTGAACTCGTTGCACGCCTGGGGCGGGGGTGGCACCCGGTTGGGCTGTGTGCAGGAGCCTGCCGGCCCCCCGGATTCCCCCCTGGAGCCCCGCCCCCAGCTCGCCCTGCCCACCCGGGCCAGCTCACCTGCTCATACTTCTCCAGCTCCGAGTGGTAGATGTGGCGGATCTGGGCGAGCTTGCTGCGGTAGTCGGAGTGTTCGATGGAGTTGTCCGGGGACACGCCACCCCCTGAGGCTGCAGCAGCCGCAGCAGCGGCCGCGGAGCCCCCGCCCTTCTCAGGCCCGGCCACACCCTCGGCCAGAAGCATGTTGTCCAAGCGCATCAGCTGGGGGTCCACCGGCTCCTCCTCTTGGGAGCTCCGAATACTGAGGCCTGGCGGGCAGGGAAGTCACCTTAGACACCCCCGAGGCAGCCTCCCTAGGTTCCCACTTCTCTCAGTCAGGGCCCCAGTGGTCAAACTCTTAGTCCCGTTCGAGCGGGGTTCTGTCCCCATGGCCAAGGGATCAGAGGGACCCACATACCGGTTTTCTCCTTGATTTCACACAGGACACTAAAGAGAGCAGGCTTCATTCGGTGGCAGTTGAGGGCGTGTTTCCTTGGGAAGAACGGACATGGGGAAAGAAAAGTTGAGGAGCGAGACAAACAGGGCGCCTGAGCTTGCAGGGCCAGTCCGGGAGTACCGAGAGAAAGAGAAAGCTGGGGTGACTGCTGGGAAATCGGCTCCCAGAGCCCCGGCAGGTGCTCGCCGCCGCCGCAGGAGGACAGAAGGACAGAAGACGTAGACTGCAAGCTAGGGCTCTCGGGGGGCTGGGGCTGGAGAGAGGACCTGGGAAGTGGGAGGGTGAGAGTGACAGCAGAAACCAGAGTGACTAGGTAGATTCCAGGACAGACCGAGAAGCCGAGGTGCAGAGTGAGAGTTGGAGGGACAGAGAAGGCCCGGGTGCCGGGCAGGCAGGGAGTTCGTTATAGGCTATGTGGGGGTGCAGGCCAGGCAGGGGAAGGTGGCCAGCTGTCTGGAAGGCAGGGACAGCGCACAGGGGCGTCAGGAGCTCTCGGAGGCAAGCGTGGTGGGGTGGCTGGGTGCAGAGTGAGGGGAGAAGACACCATCGCCCCGGAACAGTTTTCCGGCCAGGGCCAGGGCCGCTGCTGGACAGTGTGGGGGTCAACGGGAGGTGAGGTGGCGGCAAGACCCCCTGGGGCTCTCAGCGCCGGTTTGGGCCTGGGGTGAAAGGGAGGCTCGGGAGGAATCGGTAGCTAGGGCTCCCAGGTTCAGGCGAGCAGGCCCGGAGCGGGCCCGGAGTTGGGGAGGGGGCTCCCAGAGGACTCGGCATGTGCGCGGGGTGCTAGGGTCTGTGCGGGGTCCCGGGTGGGGGCACTCACTTGGCCTGGGCCTCGTCCAGGCTCTGGTCGGTGATGGTCATTATCTGCTGCAGAATGTCCCCGATGTCTTGCTTCCCTCGGCCGCCCGGGACCCCCCCGCTACCCCCACCGGGGTCTCCGCCACCGGGAGGCTCGCCGGGGCCCCCGGGCTCTCCACCCACCAATCCCAGGCCCCCGCGGCCCCCGCCAGGAGGGGGCGGCCCCAGCAACCGCTCGTCCATTTCTGGGGGGGGGCCCTGAGGCCCCCTCCCTGCTCCGCCCCTCCCCCGCCGGGTTACTCCCCCAAACTCGCCGGGGCCGCTGCTCCCTCCGCCCCAGCCCCGCCCGTCTCCCCCCCACGCGCCTCTCCTGGGGTTCGCCCTGGCACTGAAGGGAGATTTGAGGTACCGGCTGGGTCCCCCACAGGAGACCCCGGCCCCCGGCGGCGGAGAAAATGGAGCCGGAGAGAGAGAGAGAGACAGGAGGCCCAAGCGGGGGTGTGTGTGAGCGAGAGGGAGGAGGGAGGAGGGGGAGGGGAACGGGAGGCGCGGGGGAGGGGAGCGGGGAGGAAGGGGCGGGGCGCGGGGCGGCACCGGGGGCGGGGCGCGCGTAGCCGGCTGGCCGCGTGGAGGAGGGGTTGGGACGGCGACAGGGACGCGAAGGGGACTGGGTCGGGGCGCGCCGGAGACTGGACCGGGGCGCGCGGGGGAGCCGCCCGGCCCAGAGGAGGGGCGAGGCCGGCGGCCTGCGCCCGGGCCCTCAGTTCAGGTCCCGGCTGTCGGGCCGCCTGGGTTCGCGGGGCCCAGTTCGTGTTTCCCGTTCTAATGAGTCCCCTCCCTGTTCTACTTAATTAAAGCCGGGCGAGGGGGACCGGGGAGGTAATTAGGGAGATCTCCAGCCGCTGCTTAATGAGCCGGTAATTAACCAGCCGGGGAGGGGAGCTGGCCTCCGGCCAGGCTGGGGAGCGAGGCGCCCCGACCTCACCTTCCTCCCCCCCACACCACCAGGCCGCAGTCCGGAGGGAAGCACGTTTATTCACGTGGCCCGAGCGAGCGAGCAGGCGAGCGGGGCTCCGGCCGGGCACGGCGCGGAGTGCCGCGCGGGCAGGGTCCCCGCCGAGCGTTGGCTGGCTTCCTGCTGGCAGAGGCTCTGTCCCGAGGTCCTCAGTCAGTCATCCTCTGCTCCGGTTATCCGCACGCGGCTCGGGGCCAGCTCCGCGGCCTTCCTGCCTGGTCACTACCGGGGTGCGCGGGCTGCCTTCTCCACCTCCGGGACCAGGGGATGTGCTGGGGGCCGCGAGGGCTGCGAGTGCTCCTGCGTCTGCAGTCTCTGTTTCTCCTGCCGCGCAGGCCGGAAGGCGTCTGGTGGGCTCCCAGCTCTGCGCCCCCAGGGGGGCGGAGGGGCTGGCTGGGGGCCTTGGTCTCAGCAGGTGTGTGTGGGGGGCCGGGATCTTTGCTCTTCCATTCGTCCCCCACCCTGAACTCTCAGCAGCAACTCCAGGAGCTCCTGTCCCCCCGGGGGTAGGGGCGGCTCTGACCGCTGGGCTTCCATCCGCTGGCACTGGGGGAGTGAAGGGAGAGAGACTGGTGAGGTCTAGGAGAGAGAGGCCAGGGTGGCTCGAGGCAGACTGGATACTCTGAGACGGGGTGGAGGTAGGGGCAGGGGTGGAATGGGGTAGGTGCCCAGGCCCCCAGAGGTTGGTAGACCTGGGGCTTTGTGCCCGGGCGCGTCTCACCTGGTGACTGAGGATGGTGCTGTAGAGCTGCTCTCTTTCCTCGAGGGGCCGGGGCGGGGCTGCAACTGGGCTGGGGGTGTTCTGGGGAGCCTGGAAGGTGGCCCTCTGCTCCTCCAGGCGACGGGACTGGGCCTCCGCCACCAGGTCCAGGAGGAGCTCAGTCTGCAGGGACAGTAGGGAGGCCGAGCGGGGCCCCAGGGCTGCAGAGAGGAGTGAGGAGGGCTCAGAGACTGGAGAAGTTGGCACATACAGGGGTGGCTGTGGGGTGGGGGTTTGAGGGGTCAGGGACTTTGGGCTAGAGCTGAGGGGTGTGGTGGGGAGTGGGGAGCAGGTGGGGAGAGAAACAGGCCTTGGTGATAGGGTAAGGGTGTGGGCACCTAGGTCGGGGGTTCCCTGAGTGCGTGGAGGTACCTGCACGTCGGGTCCCTGGTGGAGGAGGGGACGGAGGAGCGGATCGCCAAGGCCGAGTGGTGGAGTTCAGAGGGGGCCAGCCCTGCTCACTCTGAGGGTGTCCCTGATACCAAGAGAAGTCCATTCCAGTCACGCAGGGATGGAGTGGGCAGAGGGCTAGGCCGGTGCCCCATTTCCTTGGTTTTTGTTAGTGCCTCAGTGTGCTGGGGTCTGGCCAAGTGCCCTGTGTTTACTACCACTAGGTCTGTGCCTCCCTCAACCCCCCGACGTTCCTTCTTGAACCCTCACCCTCCCTGCCCCGAGTCCTGCTCACCTGCTCACCGGCCTCTTCCTGGGGTCTCTCCGTCTCCATCCCCTGGTGGGGAGAGGCCGGTGGGGGAGGGGTGACCGGGATCTGGGAGGAGGGCCGCAGCCCTGGGTTCTTGAGGGGAGTGGGGGCTGGAAGGGGTGGGGGTGAGCTGGGGGCTGAATGTCTGGGTACTGAGCAGGAAACTGGGTTCCTGGTCAGCCCCCCCAAGAGCCCCGCCCATGTCTGTCAACTTCCTCCATTCTCTTTCCCACCCAGACAGTTTGTTTGACCTTTGTTGTCCCAGGAGAGCACAGAGACTGGGAGGGACTCCAATTGCAGGAGTGGAAGGGGCTCCTGGTGGACAGGAACTATGGCTGTCCCATCCCCAGCCTCTCAGAACCCCCCACCCGTCTCTGCTCCCTCCACCCCTGCCTCCCCTTCAGTGCTTTCTGTCAACACAGGAACTAGCCTTGCACAGGAAGTGGTTTCACTCTTTAGGATCCCCCTCCCCCAAACCGGGTCCCTTCCTTCCCTCAGACAGACCCTGGCGCAGGATTTGGCTTCCCTCTGACTTACTGAGCCTGGGAGGGGCATGGATCCAGTGGGAAACAGAACTCAGGACTGTCAAACACACATAGCCAGAGCACTGAAGCCAGCACACAGCAGGTACTCACAAGCTATGCGCAGTCCTCTGGGGGTTTATGATACAGGGGAGATATTGTCACTGTCAATCTGCTAGATGTCCAGTATGCCCTGCTCATGTTCTCTGAAATGGAAGAATGAATTCTAAGGAACAGTGGAAATTAAGAGTAGGAAAAAATGAGCTGGGGGTGATGGCACACACTCCTGAGGCAGGAGGATCCTTGCAAATGTGAGACCAGCCTGGGCTACAAAATGAGCTCAAGGCCAGCCTGAACTGCATAGTGAGACCCTGCCTCAAAAAACACTAAAACGAAAAAGTCAGAAAAACGTATTGAGACAGTCAAGAGATAGGACATAGGTGACCTGAACGTGGGTTGCCAATGAGCCCACTTCTCAAAGGAAGTATAGAGAAAATTCCCAAGGGGAATGCACTATGGGTCAAAACTATGATCAACCAGTGAGATTATAAGTGTAGCTGATTAGGTAGTATTGCTGTATGGGGAAGCAAGCCCCTGAGTAAGTATACATGGAAAAAACAAAGACCTCTTTAGGAGGCAATGGGTTGGAGGTCTTGATCACATACTTGGGTGACTGATGTCTGCCTGGACTTTATGGGACCAGGTGATACTAATTGTAGTATAATCTTTATTGTTTATCCCTCGAGACAGCTAGTCATGGCCTTGGACACATGTGCTCTCCCTTTTTGTATTGACTCTTTTGAGGGCCCAGCCCTGTCTGTCTGTAATGTTTTTACCTAACTGAGCTTTCTGATATTTACAGGCTGTTGGGGGATAGGTGAGTCCCAGATGTGAGAGAATGGGACTGGGACGGGATGTATCCACTCAACTCACAGCTTAGTGCAGACAAGGGATGGGGAAGACTTCCCATTGGCCACGAGTGAGGGATGTGGAAATGGAAAAGGCACGAGGGCCGTCTCCATGGTATGGCCTTTCACTGATGCTAGTCAGCCTGGCTGGTATACAGGGAACAGGATAGGCATTTCGATCTCTATGGGTACTTGCCATGTTAGGGAGTTGACAGCTGAATGGCTTGGAGCATGAAATGTGGCCAAGAGAAAATCTTGGTGCCTGAGGCTTTGAAAGAGTAAAATGGGGTATTAATAGTACCTACCTCATGGAGTAGATTTGAGCATAAACTATCAGAAAGCATTGGCTCATCGTGAATGCTCCATAATGATAGTTATTGGCTTTCAGAATGCCTCGTGCCTCCATACCTCGGGCCTTTTGGTACCTCTTCTCAGCATCTCCCTATTGACTGGAGGCCTCAGGAATCTCCTCAGGTGGGGGATACATCCTGTGCGTGGCATAGCATGTGTATTGCTTCTTTTTGAACCACTAGAGATTGTTTTTGAGATGCTACCCTAAGTGGGCATGGGACCACCAAATCTGCTTATTCTGGTTCTTTTAACTACCAGCAGACAACTCAAATGCTGGCTTGAGGATATTACCAAACCTGTGCAGTCACCATCATGCACAGTATTTTCCCACTCCACTGCCCACACCCTCCAAAGAAGAGGTAACACTTCAAATTAACTTTTTTATAGGTGACAGACTAAGGATCTTTAAGAGATGGCGATGGCCAGAACAGTGGCTTTTGTAAAGGCAGAGCAAGGTGTTAACAGAGCAGCCTTCAGGCACCCTAGGTTCAGCATAGGTTCCCATATCTGGCAGCCGTTTGCGGGCCGCAGTGGGGGCGATGGATGGTAGGGGAGGCCTTTGGGAACCGTGAATGGAAGAGAGGGCAGTTCCAGGCTCCCAGGATCCCAGCATAAGGGATCCTTCTCCCGCTCCAATTTGTCTTTCAGCCTCTTATCCTGTTTTCTAGGAGAGGGACGGAGCCTCATCTCGGCATCCTAAACCCTTTTTCCAGCGCTGCAGTTTTCCTAAGTGGGAAGAGGACATCTTTCCTGTTGGGCATATGCTGATTTCCGGAGGGAAATTTAACTCAGGACTCCTCTGAGCTAGATTTGGAGCGTAGTTCTAGTCTGGAGGGCTTTCCAGATTGGCCATTTAATGGGCAATCATTTTTACAATTCCATTCACAAAGTCTATTTTTGACCATCTAGTCCTGGGTTTAAGGGCATGACTTGGTGGACAGGCAAACCCCACGCAACGTGCGGGGATCCCCGCTCGGGGGAAGGCGTAAGGCACAGGGGCGGCATCGGAGAGCTGGCGGTGGGGCAGCAGGCTCCCAAGGTCACCCAATCACAGGGCTGGTCGGCCGCGGAGGCCAAATCCCCGAGACCGGCCGGGGGCCTGGGTCGTCCTCGCGTCGCTTCATGGCCGGACCGGGGCGCGCGCGAGTCCGCAGACCACCTCCGGCCGCCCAGAGCACCAGCACCAGACGGGCTCCGGCAGCGTGCGTAGGCCCCGCCTCTCCGCGCGGCCACGTCTCCGGAGGAGGTCCGCGCGTGCGCACAGGCCCTGAAACCGCGGGGGCGGGCTCCGACTGACAGCGTCCGGCTACGCGGCAGGACCCTGCCCCCGCGCGGAGGCGCGCTTGCTGACGCGGTGCGCGCGCGCGGGAAGGCTCCGGCCTCGCGACCTGGCGCCGCTTTGTGACGCGCCTCCGCCGGCCCCACCCCTTCCAGTAGCGTTAGCAGATCCCAGTGGTTACGCTGGCGAGCAATGTCCCTCGGCGCCAGTCCAGCGTGGTCCCGCAGCCCACGGGCCGCCCCTAGTCCGAGCAGCAGCTGGGCTACCTCCACTGCGCCTTCCCGAGCCGCCAGAAACAGTGGCGTCTGCTCCTGCAGGGCAGGAATCAGCAGGGGCGGGGGTCAAGGGCAACGCAGTCCCCGCCCACTACCGCTGGCCCCGCCCCGACGCTCCGCGGACTTCCCGCGCTTTCCTGCGGGCCCGGCTGCTCCCCCGGTCTAACCTTGCTGTCCTGCGCGTCCTTATCAGCTCCAGCTTGTAGAAGGGAGCGGGCGGCCCGGGTGTTGTTGACAGCGGCGGCCCAGTGCAGCGCGGTTTTCCCTAGGGGACGGCGTGGGAGCGGGTTACCGCGCGGCCAGAGCCCCACGGCCTCGGGAGCGGGGCTTCTCGGGTCGCTGGCTGGGGAAGCGTTGCCCAGGCGACCGCCTGCCGCCGGAAGCGTTACCTAGGTAACGTCACCGGCGCGCGGCGGGACAATGGGCATTGTTCTAGGGCGGCGGGCTTGGGAGACCCCTCCGCCCCAGTTCCTTGTGGGTTGGGGCGGGGTGTGAACTCAACGGCACCGCTGCTGGAGGGCGCCCCAGCTGCCCCGGGCCTGCTTCGCGCCCATCTCACCCCCCACAGGCCCAACTTCTCTGTCGCCCGCCCCCACCCGTACCCCATTTATCTCTGGCTCCCACGTCTGCTCGCGCTGCAATCAGTTCTTCAACCAGGTCTTCCACCGCCAGCCTGGCCGCTAGGATCAAGGGTGTGGTCCCGTCCTCACTTCGAGCGTCTACTGCAGTCAGTCGGCTGCTGAGCAGGAGCTGGGAGACAGAAAGGGCCTGTGATTTCTGGGGAACCATGGGCTCAGGTGCCTCAGATTGTTAACTGCCTTCCCTGTGCATATCATTCATCTTCTCATTTAGGTCCCCAATCTCATCAGTTTCCTCCTTGTCAGACCCCCAGGCAAGCTTCTGCCCAGTTCGAGCTCCCAGGTTCCCTTCAAGGGCCCTCCCACCCCCCTGCGTGCTACCTGGCAGACCTCCCTGGCATCAGCGGCCACAGCGGTGTGCAGCGGAGTGCGCCCTGCCTGGTCTGGCGCATTGGGGTTGGCTCCGGCCTCCAGGAGGCGGCGGGCAGCAGTTGGCCGGGAGAATCGGGCAGCTAGGTGTAGGGGGGTCTCCTGGGTACCCACGGTGTGGGGCTGGGGACAGACCCCTCCGTCCAGCAGAAGTTCCCAGTGCTCAGGACTTCGCAGCCACGCCTCCTGAAAGGTTCTAGACTCCACTCCCCCGCAGCAGACTACCGACATGAGGGGTGTCACCCCATCTGTGGGTCAGAATGAGCAATGTATTCCTCGGGAAGGACACTGCAGGGAGGGAGGACATGGGAACTCAGGGAGAAACAGTGAGGTATCCTGAAGCTGACTGACGGTGGTCTCTGACTTTTCTACTTTCCTCCAAGCTTTAATTTCTTCATCCGTGAAAGGAGTTAAGGCTTTAATTCTCTTAAATTGTAGAGTAGTGGTTCCCAAATTTAAGTCTGAGCTAAACTCATGTAGAGGGCTTAAAACATGCAGCTGAGCATGGCGGCACACACAATCGCAAGACTCTGGGAAGCTAGGCAGGAGGATCCCAGTTGGAGCCTTGGCCGGGGCAGTTTAGTAACTTAGTGACTCTCAAAATAGATACTAAAAGGGCTGTGGCTGTAGCTCAGTGCAACAGTTTTAGGTCGGATCCTTAGTACTGAACACAAAAATAAAAACAAACTGCCACCAACAAAACATAGATTGCTGCAACATCTCAAATTTCTGAATTGCTGCTCTACAGTGAAGCCTGAAAATGTACATTTCTAACAATTCCCAGATGATGGGGATCAGGGATATAGCTCAGCAGTGTAAGTGCCTGCCTAGCAAACACAAGGCCATGAGTCCAATTCGTAGTACAAAAAAAAAAAAAAAAAAAATTCCCCGAGTAAGGTCAGCCCTGCTGAAGACCAGGTGATGTCCCTGTTCTGATACTGATGGATTGGCTGCCTTGAAAGGCTCATGGGAGGGTTTGGCTCATGACGTACCAGGTCCGAAGGTGTCCACATCAGAGGCCTCCTGGGGCGGGGTCAGCATAGCTACCTGAGGGATCTCCCCACACCTGCTGTTCAGTGGCCAGAGCTGGCATTTGGGAGGTGGGGCCGTTTCTTCAGCCTTGGGGCAGGAGCAAGAATCAGCAAAGGCCACTGATTTGTGCTTGCCCCCTCTGCTGACTTCCTGTGGCCCTGCCCTGCCTTCCCCGGTACCTCCTCTCCCTCCTCCGGGCCTGTGCACATAACCACTCCATCCTCCTCAACTTCAGCCTCTGGCTTCAGTGCCCTGGAAGGTGGGTACAGAGGTTTCCCGGCTTAGGACTGGCTGGGATCTCCAAGGTCCCAGCAGCCCCCACCCTTCTCCGCCCCATCTTTAGCCTCTGAAGCAACACATCCAGCCATTTCTGACCCTGTGTGTCCTGGCAGTGTCCAGGCAGGGGGCTTCCCTCCCTGACTGGGCCCCCTGGCTCTCACTTGAGGCCAATGCTATCCTCGCCCAGCGGCGGCCGGCGGCGGTGCGGAGCCTGCTGGGTCCGAGGCTTCCGGATGAAACCTGGAGGCAGCCAGAGGGCCCCATGCTCTCGGCGTCTACGGCGGCGGATGAGCTGTAGGACCAGGAGAGCCCCGAGGGCCAGGAGCAGCACCCCGACCACTGGCGAGCACAGCACAAGCCAGGGAAGCTGGCGAGTGGGGGGTGCTGCTTGGAGAGACAGTGCCCAAGGCCGTTGTTGATGAGACTGGTTATTCTAGAGGCCCTGGGGCAAGTACAGTTGCCTGTCTTTGCCTCAGTTTCCCTATCTGGGAAATGAGGATGATAATAATCATGCTGCCACATGGGAATAAATGAGTTAGTGGAAAATGCTTAGAGCACAGCATCTAGCAAGCAGAACACAAAGTCATGCTTTTCCTTACTGTGATCTGGATACAGAGTAACCAGATACCCTCTCAAACTAGAACCCGAGGATTTTTTTTTTTTTTTGTCTTTTTGAGACAGGGTCTTGCTATGCAGTTCAGGCTGACCTTGAGCTCACTTTGAAACCTAGGCTGGTCTCAAACTTGCAAGATCCTCCAGCCTCAACCTCCCAAGTACTGCGCCTCCAGACCTGGGGAGCAAACCTGAGGTTCCTTGGAGGAGGGCTATGTCAGAGGTTAGGAAAAGTACTCAGGGAAATAAGAAGACTTGAGAGTCTGTGGACCACAAGGAGATCTAGCAAGAGAAGGCCTGACGCCTGGGGAGGGCAGAGTCTGCACTGAAAACAGTTTGGGCCAGCATCTGGTTTGGAAAACTTGATCTCTACTGCCATTGCAGGGATTGTGTGGGAACAAAGGAGGGGACAAGGACCAGGGCTACTACCTGTGCCGGTGCTGGGATGCACGGCCAGCAGGGCACCGGGCAGCAGGGGCTCCAGGGCCCCCACAGCGACTGTTGCAGCAAGGAAGCGGAACAGGAGCCCGGGGTCCCAGGGACAGCGGGACGTGGGCTGATCGGGGCCGCCGCAGCGGGACAGATCCATGCCCATCACCACCACGAACCTGCAGGGAGACACGTCTGAGAGCTCTGTGTGTGCCTGGGTCCTCCCACTGCCTTGCTCGGGGAACTGGTGCGTGGGCTCCCCTGGGCGTCTTACCCAGAGCCAAGGGAGTCTGTGTCCTGGCCTGGGGGCTGGAGGTGCGGGGCTGTGCTTTCCTGGGGGGAGGGCTCCCCACTTCCTCTCAGCACCGCCTCGGCCTGGGCCCCAGGGTAGGGGAACACCATATCCCTGCCTTCTGGATCCTTCTTCACCCACAGCCCCACCCGCAGAGTCAGGGACAGCACCCGGGCCAGGTGAAGCAGCTGCTGGTCCAGCGCTGGAGCTCTCAGCACCACCAGCAGGGCCAGGGAGGGCCCCCACGCTGAGGCCCCCTGCTCGGGCCTGCAGTCACCCCCGTCCCAGCCACATTCTGCCGTGTCACAGCCCTTCTCGCAGTGCCCGTTGTTGAAGTGGTCTTGGCAGTACTGGTCATAGGCCGGGCTGTGGGGTGAGGAGTGGACACTCAGGACCCCCAACCTGACTCCCCTCTTCACCCAGAGACAGTCGCTGACATCCAGTGGCCTCTACGGCACTGGTACTGTGCGCAGCCCTGGGTGGTGGCCCAGAAACCCTGCACCTTTTGGTACTGGCTCTGAGACCCCCTCTCCTTAATCTCCCCAACACCTGTCTCCTAGAAGAGTTTGAGGGGTGCCGGTTGCCAGTGGAGGTGCTCCATGGCAACAAGGCTTAGGGAGAGAGGAAGGGAGGCTTGTGCCCCTAGCCCCCAGAATCCTCAGAGAGGACCTGGGATAGAGGTTACACCAGCATCCAATATGGATGCCACCCCTTCTCTGGGTTGCAGTCCGGAGTCTTCCATCGTCCTTAGCAGTGGCTATGGGTGGAAACGCCCTAAGCCTGAGGCTGAGGCCACCCGGTAATCATGCATCCAGGTCCCCCTCCCGACAGCCCCACCCCGGGCTTAAGGCTCACTTGCAGGTAGGAGGTGGCTCACAGTCATAGCCGTCAAACAGACACTCTTCCGAGTTGCACTGCGGGTGGCACTGCCCATCCCGGAAGAGAAGCCAGCACTGGGAGTGGCGGGGGCAGCCCTTCCATGGGTCTGGGACCCCCAGGGCACAGTCTCCTCCGTCCCAGGCTCCACTGGGGCCACTGCAGCCCGCGTCACAGGCCCCATCTCCTCCTCTGCCTTCACAGCCCTTGGCTCCCGGCTTTTGGCACCGTGGCCCTGGAGAGTCTGGGGGGCAGGAGCACCGGAAGCCTGGTCCCCCCAGCGCAGGGGTCTCGGAGCAGCTTCCATTGTGCAGGCAGGGGTTCGGGGGGCCGCAGCCTTGGGAGGCTGGTGGGGTCAGGCAGTCGGGGTCCCCAAAACCATCGAGGCAGGCACAGCGGGGTGGGGAGGCCGGCTTAGGGGAGGGCAGGCAGAGGCCTCCGTGGTGGCAGTGGTGGGGGCCGCAGGAGGGAGCTCTGTGGCTGCAGGTGGGGCCTTCAAAACCCTGCGGTGAGGAGGGCAGGTATTGGGGAAGGAGCCCCGGTTCTGTCCCTCCCCTCAAGCAGAGGGCCCAGGTGGTTCTGGCTAAAAGGGGCTCATGTCAAGCTCATCATTCCATGGATGCTGTCATACGATGCCATGGCACATTGACTTTATCTAATGACTTTATCTAGTGACGTGTGACGTTTCATGGTAGTTGTTCGAAATGGATGCGCCCCAGATCTGTGCAACTCTTGGACAAACTGTGGTATCATAATGTAAGTCGTGGGAGACGAGGGTGTTGACAGAATCGGGCTACTCTTAGATCACAGTTTTAACCGTTGGCACTGGACAGGCCAGCGCCTCTCTCTAGGTGCACAGACTAGAGGAAGCGGCAGAAGCAGACGGAGTCTCTAACTGGTAGTTCTTAGATTGGGTGTTCCATGCTTAGAGTGGTAAGAGAAGGCCAGGCACAAAGCGGGGGGAAGAGTCACGGCCCGGGCTTGTGTGAGGGAGGTCCCCGTGCCCACACGGACGGGGCCAGAACTCATCCCGGCCGCCCTGTGGGTCTTCTCCTGGACAACAACCTTGCCTGCTGATCATTCCCTTCCGTCTCCTGGGGTCCTGCCTTTCACTCACCCCCGGGAGCTGGGTCGCCCACTCGAGGGTTCCCTGGCTCCCCTGTAGGACAGCAGCCACCGCTTCTCGCCTTTCATCAGGGTGGGGGCGCCCGCCAGAGAAGGAAGTCCTGGTCACATACCTTGGGACAGCTGCAGGTGAACCCCGGGGCTGGTCCTGCTGTGGCCTGGCAGGAGCCCCCGTGGGAGCAAGGCTGGCTCTGGCAGGGGTCAATCTGCACCTCACACCTCTGGCCTGTGGGGTGGGGTAAGGCTGGAGGTCAGGAGCCCCAGCCACTGCCCCATCCTCGCTGAGGCCTCACAAGACGCAGGCAGAGGGGTCCAGGTAGCTCTGGAGTGCACTGGGGGCTGAGGCCGTCCCATGGGTGCCATTGGGCCCCTGAGATCCTGTACCCCACGGCTCGCCTCACCTGTGTGTCCAGGCAGACAGTCGCAGTGGAAGGCGTTGGCCAGTGAGCGGCAGGCTGCCGTGCCGGTGGGGTGACAAGGCCGATCCAGACACTCATCCACGTCCCCCTCACAGCGCAGCCCCACGAACCCTGCAGGGCAGGTACAGTGGAAGCCTCCAGACCTGGGGGTGCAGGTTCCGTGGTTGTGACAGGGCTGGGACTGACAGGCGCTGAGTTCCTCTGAGCAGTTCTCTCCACTGTAGCCCGGGGTGCACTGCAGCAGGGAGGGTAGCATAGAGACAGGGGTGACCCTGCTTCTACCCTGCCCTGCCCTCAGGCTGGACCCCACCCCTCCTGCCTGGTCCTTTAGGCTCGGCACCTCACGAGACTCTCCCCTGCCAGTCCAGGGAAGTCAGGGTGACACATCACCGCCAAGCACGGTGCCAGTCCTGGTCAAACCTCTTCCCTTCCCAGCAGAGCCTGGAGGCTCCCTCACACTCCACTCACTAGTGTACAAGCGTCTACCAGGTGCTCAGGTTGTGCCAGGCTCTATTTCAGGCCGTACAAACACAAGCAGATCAGAGGATCAGAGCTCACTGCTGCTTCTGCAAGGTTTATAGTCAATGAGAGAAAGAGACAGAGACACAGAGAGAGACAGAAATAGAGAGACAGAGACAGAGAGAGAGATAAAGACAGAGAGGCAGAGATGGAAAGACAAAGACAGAGACAGAGACAGACAGAGACAGACAGAAAGAGACAGAGAGACAGAGACAGAGACACAGAGACACAGAGGCATACAGAGACAGAGACAGAGACAGAGAGAGGCAGCATTTACTTAACCTACCTATCTAACCTCATTAGTAAAACCTCCTAACAGTGCTCAACGTCTATTATCTTACTCTGGCCTCACATCACAGCTAAGGAAGAGCCCAGGAAGGGCCCGTGACATGCCTGGGTCACACAGACTTGGGGTTCACAGTGAGTCTGGTTCCATGGCTGCCTAGAGAGCAAGGTGGGGCTGCGGCAGGTGGGGAGTGCAGGGATGGGGGGAGGAGGCTCCAGAGTAAAGGTGCAGGGCAGTCTGTGAAGCCCCCTGGAGTGGGTGGGAACCAGCCAGAGGTGCTTTGAAAGCCTCTGCAGGAGGAAGCTCAACAAAGAGGAGCCAAGCACAGAGCCTGGTGCCTGACCAGGACCCCGCTTCTGTGTGTGTGTGTGTGTGTGTGTGTGTGTGTGAGAGAGAGAGAGAGAGAGAGAGAGAGAGTTCGTGACCAGTGTGAGACATGGAGTTACAGGGTTGCGGGTCAGGGTCTGCCATGTACCTTTCACCAAAGGCACTGAGCACGGGAATCAGGCTGCTGGGACTTGATACCTGGCTTTGGCTCTCCAGGCCCAGTGGCCCAGACCACTAAGCAGTGAGTAGCCCTTGCCCCAGAGAGAGGCCGAGCCCGGCAGTGGGTGAGGGCTGGGAAGGCCAAGCAGGGCAGAGGCCTTGCAGGGGTAAAGGGCAGAGGCAGGAATGAGCGTGGATTCCTGGGCGGAGCAGGAGTGGGACGGGAGAGGGGACAGGTGAGGCCCAAAGGCAGGCAGGGCTGGGTCACACAGGGCTCTGGACTTTGCTGGGAAAGCAGCTGAGGGGCCTTAGGCAGGAAGTGAGCCCTCAGCGGCCGTTTCCAGCGGAGTCCACTGCTAGTGAGCGAGGACTGACCGGTGGAAGGAAGGACGCAAAGTGGGCAAATCGCAAATTGGGTCGTCCCTCGGTGGTGTCCCGCCTGCTTCCCATCTCTGGCTTGCCCTGCCGCCTTCCCCTCTGGGACCCTCACCTGGCAGTGGTATCCGCCCGTCTGGGCCACACAGGTGGCCCCGTTGTGGCAAGGCCCAGACTCACAGGGGTTTGCACGGTGCTGGCACCAGCTGCCCTGGAAGCCCGGCGGGCAGTGGCAGAAGTGGGAGGCACCGCTGTCCATGCAGAGGCCTCCATTCTGGCACAAGGCAGAGACCTCTACGCCTGGAGAGAAACAGAGAGCTGGGGCTGAGGAGGCTGCAGGGTTCAGGGGCACCGGACACTGAGCAGAGAGGGACCCCTGGCCGTGTACCTCCTGACCCCCACAAGTGAGCAGGAACACATCATGTCCCTCCCCCTTCTGCCACAGCATGGGCAGGTATCTTTCCCAAGCTTATCAGAGTGTGGGCCTTTGGTGAGGAAGAACTCCAGGCAAACTTTGTGGGAGGCCAGTGGCTCCAGCCGTTCCCTGAGGCTTGCATACCCCTTGACAGACTTGCATTTCCTTGTGATTCCCATAGGCAGCCCCTATGCCCACGGGGTCTCCCCTGAGTTCTCCTCTCACAGAGCCTTGTTCCAGTAAGAAGGGCATCTTAACAGGGGGCTGCTGCACCTTAACGGTGCGAGTGGGGTGAAGTGGGCTGAGCGTGGCTGGGTTAACCGTGGTCCACGCTGGCTGAGTTCACCATGGCAGGGCAGAGTGGCTCCTCTGTGAGGTGTGTCCCTGGGTTAGCTGGTGTTGCCTGGCCTTGTGGGCTGGTGGCGTGAGTTGTGTCTAACATGGGATGTGTTAGTCTTTCCTGGGTATTGAACTGTGGTGTCAGTAACTGCAGCTGGTCTTGTTATCTTTTTATTGTTTTTCTTTTTTGAGACAGATTCTCCCTATGCAGTTCAGGCTGGTCTGAGTTTACTGTGTAACCCAGGGTGGCTTCAGACTCACAGTTAACCTCCTGCCTCAACCTCCCCAGTACCGGGATTAAGGGTGTGGGCTGTCACGTTCCTTTGGTCTGTTGTGGCTCCCATGTTACTGTTTAGGCCGAAGTGGGAAGAGGTACAGGAGGATGCTGTGTCCTTTATCTGCCTCCCTCCTGGCCCATGAGCTGGTACCTTGGCTCAGTGCAGCCTTCTGGCAGGCAGATAGGGGGATGCCACAGAGAGGCCCGGTCCAGCCCTGGAGGCACAGGCACTGGAAGGAGGCCCCGTTCTGCAGGCAGCGGGAGGTGGGTGGGCAGGGCTCCTGGGCACAGGGGTCCACCAGCGTCTGAGGAGCAGGAGGGTCGGGGGCGTCAGATCCCAGCCTGGACTGGCTCCTGCAGTCTCAGTCCTTACATACCCCCTCTAGGGATGAATGTGTGGCCCCGATGACCTTCCCTGGAGTCCAGCATAGCCCATGCACTGGACATCCGCTCAGTCCTTCCTTCTTCAGACTCCACAGACCTCCCTCAAGGCTCAGCCCTAGACCTACCACCCTCCCTCCCTTCATGGGCCGAGCCGCTCAAGCTTCCCTCTGCGAGTCTTGGTGATCCCCTTACCAGTGCTGTCCACCCCATGCCACCCCTGGCTGGTGGCCCCTTACCTGGCAGCTGCTTCCTGTGTAGCCAGAGGGGCAGAGACAGCGGGGACCTTGAGGGTTGTCTTGGCATGTGGCCCTGTTCCTACAGGGACTGCAGCAGCAGACAGGGTGCCATGGGGTGGAGGCTGGGGCAGCAGGTGGAGGCAAGGCGGGGAGACCGCTGGGGCTGGGGGAGTATGTGGGGTTTCCTTGTGGGTCTCTGCTCCCGCTCACCTGTCTGCACAACTCGGCTCGGCCTTTCTCTCACAACGCAAGCCCTGGAAACCAGCGGCACACACACAGGAGAAGGTGCTGGGTCTGTCCACGCAGGTGCCACCGTGGAGGCATGGGGCTGGAGAGAAGGGGCTGTGAGGGGTCGGGCTCCTGGTCCCTGTGACCTGGCCCGTGAGCTTAGTCACACTGCGGCCAAGACACACACGGTCTATCACCACACTGGAACACGGCTCACAACCATCCAATGCTTGTTCTCAACCACGGCCCTGCCCTGCCCACTCCCTCAGCCCTGGTGGTCACTCACTCACCGGATGCGCAGTGATCGGCAGAGGTTTGGCACTGGGGCCCTGTGTGGCTTGGGGGGCAGGTGCAGGAGTAGCCCCTGGGGTGGGGGCTGCAGGAGCCACCATTGAGACAGGGCTCGGAGTAGCAGGCTGTCACCTCTTCATGGCAGGTGGGCCCTGAGGAAACAGGTGGAGCAGGAAAGGGGTCTCCCTCCCCTCCCCTTCCCTGCCTCTCTCCCCCTCCCCTTCCTCCTTTCCTCATCCTCACCCCTTGCCCCTCGTATTCTCCCCTGTGTCCAGGAGCCCGTGCCTGGTTCTCCTGGGCGGTGACTGAGCCCACCCCACCCTGGGTTAGGGGTTGAGCGCCCGGGCAGGACGGTTCAGGTGGGCTCACCTGTGTAGCCTGCTGGGCAGGTGCAGTTGTAGCCAGGGGGCCGAGGGTGGCAGGTCCCCCCATGGGCACAGGGGGCTGAGACGCAGCCCCCCAGCTCTGCCTCACACTCCGGCCCGGTCCACCCCACGTCACACACACATGCGGACCTGGCAGAGAGCAACAGGGTTTTCCTCTTCCGGTGTCCCCTTTCCCTGCCCCAGGGCAGACCCCTGGGCTCCTTCGCAGTTGGTCCCGAGGCTCTGGTCTCTTCCCCAGTGACCTCACTCTCTCTACACTCATCTTCCTTCCTAAACCGCTTATTGACCACCCTCTACTCCCAGACAACAGTTCCTGTGTCACTGAATCTTCTGCTCTGTGCTCTGTCCCCAGGGCCTGAATCAGTGCCCCCTCCCGCCCCCCGCCACCCGCACGGACTCCCGGGGCTTTCTGTCCAGCTAATGGGGCAGTGGCCCCGTCCTTTCCTCCACTCTCCCGTCCCCCATTGTGAAAGAAATTCAGCTCTCCAGCTCCTTCTCTCCCCTGCAGGCCTGCACCCCACTCCCACTTCCCTTGCCCTAGCAAAGGACCCTGAGGGAAGTGTGGGCGGTGTTACCTGTGGCAGCGTCCGTGGTGGCAGGTGCAGTTGTCCCCTGCAGGGGCGCAGCCGGGGCTTCCATCGGGGCAGAGGCAGTGGACCCCATGGTCTGGTTCTTGGCATTGCTGCTCGGGCTGGCACAGGTTGGGGGCGCATAGGGGCACCTCGCAGAGTGGGCCTGGGGTGGAGAGGTGAGTGGGAGAACCCAGGCTTTTCATGTCCTTGAGGGCCCAGGCCCCTCCTAGGAACGGGTTGCTGGTGCCCCGCCTGCTTGTCCTCCTGCAGGTCTTGATTTTCCTTAGGACCCTGACTTCCTGTCACTTGGGGGCCTGTGTGACTCAGGGGCACAGGGTTCCTACAATGCAGTGCACTTCCCTCCTCCTTGCATGTGGTTAACCTCTATTTAAGCACACCATCCACCGTCTGGCACTGACTCTGACAAAGTCCTCTCTGTCCCCTGAGCTGCAGCCCCACCACCACCTGTTCCTGCCGCCTTCTCAGCATTAGTCTGCAGGGCTGATCCTTCCTGAGATTCTGCTGGAGCGATGCTGGGGCCCACGGTGGCCTAGGGCTGTGCACTTGTGCCTGTTATGCACCCTGTTACTGTAGGGGTACTCCCTTAATCATAGAATGCTCACCAGTGACCTGTGCCCAGCCTTGGACTGACAGAGACCCCTGTGCCCTGTTGTTCCTCTGAAGCCTCCCCTGCTGACCTGTGAAGCCGGCGGGGCAGAGGCAGGAGAAGGCTCCTGGGAGATCGAGGCAGCTGGCTCCGCTGGGACACGGACCACTCAGACACTCGTCCACTTCCGTCTCACAGCGCGGCCCTTCAAAGCCTGAGGTCCCAGGGGAAATGAGGGATGGCACAGAGGTCCGACCCTTCCTCTACTGCCTTCTAGCATCTGCACCCTGTCGTACCTGCGGGGCACTTGCAGAGGAAGGCTCCGGGCTGGTCCTGGCAGTGTCCACCATTGGTGCAGGGAGAGCTCACACACTCATCCACGTCCTCCTCGCACCAGGTACCTGTGTATCCTGAGTGGTGGGAGAGAAGGCCACGGTCATCGAGGGGACACAACACAGCACTTCTGCCCAGGAAAGGTCTACCGGGAGATTCCCAGAGGAGACTCAGGGGCATCAGGGCCTAGAGAAGCTGGAGGGTGATGCAGAGGACATGAGTCACAGCCACTTGCCCTCTGTGAACCTGTGGTCTCCCCTCCAGCCCAGAGGACAGTAATGTAACCTGGGGGTGGCTCAGTGGTACAGCCCTTGCAAGGCCTATGTGAGCCCATGTGTTCCATCCTTAGCCCAGGGGAAGATCTGTCTCCTGTCACCAGTGAAGGGCGTCAGTGATGTGAGACATAATTTCCAAAGTGTGAATGAAGCTGGAAAAGCCAATTGCTTGTTCCAGAGTAAATAATATTCAGTGTGTGCAGCATGGAAGGATTTCTGACTTAGCTGGAATGAGGAAGATTTGTGGCCAGCTTTGACTATGTCTAAGGTAGCAGCACCAGGACCAGCTTGGGGTGCCCTGCACCCCACCCTGCTGGGGGAGCTGGAAAGGAGGGAGGTGGGGGAACTTGGTCAGACATTGATGAGGGCGGAGTGTAAGAAGTAAAGCCTTGGGGTGTAACAGAGGAGTCCGAAGAGCAGAGGACTGGGGACGGGGGTCTCCTTGTGTCCTCTGCAGGCCAGAAGGAGCACCCAGAGGCTGGGACTCATCAACCGGTGGGGGGTGGGCTGGGCCTGGCACTCACCGGGCTGGCAGACGCAGAGGAAGCCGTTGAGCTGGTCCTGGCAGTTGGCGTGGTTGAGGCAAGGAGCTGAGGCGCACTCGTTGGTCTCCACCTCGCAGAGCTGCCCTTCTAACCCTGAGGACGGGGCAGATGAGCAGTTGCACTGGACTTCGGTCCTGGCTCGGTGATTTTGCCTCCTGCTCAGGAGACCCAGTGCCCTGCCCCTAGACTGCCCTCCTGTGCCCTGGGGGGAAGCAGGCTCTGCCACCTGCAGGTCAAAAGCGCAGGGAGCAGGTGGGGTTGGTGGTGGCTTGGAGGTGCCCCGGGCGCCTTCCTGCTGTGCAGAGTGTGGGCCTTGCAGGCAGCCGCTTGGCCTGAGGTCCTGAGACCACAGGTGTCTGCAGGTGTCTTCCTGCAGGCTGACATCCCTTCCTGTTCCCCTCAGAGCCAGGCAGAACCCGATGTGGGGTTGTGGAAAGCACATTTGGAAGCCCTGATGCTCCCCTGTCTTCCCCACTGCTCTGGAATCATCCTGGGCTCCAGGGTCTCGCTCTGCCCTGGGCCAGATGGGCCTCTGGACCTTGGCTGCCTCCTATTTCTCACTGGCCCCTGTCCGTGTTTCTCAGAGAACTGAATAGTTTTCTCTGTTTTCTGTGCTTCTCTGCGGGTGGCCTGAGCCACCCCCCGGGGGCTGCCAAGCTCAGTAAGGTGACAGTGGGACAGCTGAAACTGGGGAGGCCCCAGACTTGGATCTTGGCTCTGCTGCTAATTAGCTGTGCAACCTTGGATGAGCCACAGGATTGCTCGAGGCTTAGTTTCTTCATTTATAAAATGGGTGCAGTAAGGACTCCACCGACCTCAGAGGGCGGCAAAGCGGGGCCTCGAGGACAAGTGCAAGATGGCCTGCAGTGCTGGTGTGAGGCCGGCTATTGTTCCTGACACTGGCTGTGGGTCTCTTCCCAGGAAGAGCACACCATAACCCAGCCTGGAGGCCATGCAGCCAGGCAGCTTTCCCTTTCCACTGCAGCCAACAGTTGAACGTTTCTCTCTCTGGGGGAACGTTGGTGTGGTTAGGGGGGCTGTCTGGGCTGAGCTGTGTACAGTGGACCAAGCTGTGCCCTCTGCATAGAGCATCAAATTCTCTGGGGCCAAGTGGGCTCTTCTAGAGCTCGTGGTATCCCACCCGTCATCTACACTTCCTCCGAGGGGGAGCACCACTCCAGAACTGACCCCTTGGGGCCCAAGGCCATCCTCGGTGGGGTCCCTAGCAGGCTCAGGATCGGTTCTCTGTCCCCTCTACCCGGCCTGTCGCGCCCGATGTACCTGGTGGGCAGAGACAGTGGAAGGTGGCGAGCAGGTCCAGGCAGGTGCTGCCTGGGTGGCAGGGCTGGGACAGGCACTCGTTGTGGTCGGTTTCGCAGCGCAAGCCAGTGTAGCCAGGGGGGCAGAGGCAGTGGAAGGAGCCCGGGGTGTTGAGACAGGAGCCACCGTGTTCACAGGGGCTGGGGCCTTGCTGGGCTGCCGGAAGAGGAAGGCTGGGAGTCTGCAGGGGGCTGGGGGTCAGGAAGCCACTTGTGCTGGATTTGGCCAGATTAGGGAAGGGGCCTCATCTTTACAGTGCAGGACAGAGGCCCAGGTGCTAGGCCTGGTGGGCCAGCACTGGGGGAGGGTGCGGAGGTGGGACATGCTGGGGAGCCATGCTGCAGCTGGCCGGATTTAAGGGGAAGCGGTGCCTGTTTCTCCCCCTCTGTCTGCCCACTGTGAGCCTGGCCTGGGCTTGGGCAGCTGTGCTGCAGGGAGCCTCACCTATCTGGCACTCGTCCAGGTCCTGGTGGCAAGTGGGCCCCGAGTAGCCAGGCTGGCACAGGCACAGGGTGGAGCCCGTCAGCGGGTTGGTGCTGCACTGGGCTTCCCTGTGGCACGGCTGGCTCAGACACATGTCCTCCAAGTGGCACAGGAGCCCTGCAGAGACGAGTGAGGCTTGAGCCCCCTGCTGTGTTCCTGCTGCTCCCTGCACCTGTTGATGTCCTCCGCCTCTCCGGCTCCCTCACCCCACACCTGTGCGCCCAGGTGGGCAGAGGCAGGCAAAGGAGCCCACTCGGTCAATGCAGGTGGATCCTGGGGCACAGGTGGCATCAATGCAGTCGTCCAGGTTCTCTTCGCAGCCTGAGCCGCCCCAGCCACTCACACACACACAGTGGAAGCCGCCAGCCGAGTTCTGGCAGGTGCCCCCGTTTCTGCAGCGAGCGGGAGCCTGGGCCTCACATTCGTCCACATCTTCAGAGCAGTCCCAGCCTGTAGAAGGTGGAGAGGGCAGTGGGGGCTGCAGCTGGGAGCCCTGGGAGGAGGCCAGGGCCAAGGTCGCTGTGAGTTTGGCTTACACAGCTCACCTGTCCAGGTGTCTGGGCAGAGGCAGGTGTAGGCTCCCAGCCCGTCCTGGCAGGTGCCCCCGTGCTGACAGTGGTGCTTGGCACAGTCGTCTGGATTCACCTCACAGTCCAGGCCAGTAAAACCTGACATGGTTACAGGGTCAGTGCGGGCAGGGCACTTAGAGGAGATGACCCTCCCGCCCAGCGAAGGCGGCTGCAGGGACCCCCATGGATGCACCTGGAGGGCAGAGACACAGGTGAAAGCTGGCATCTGCCCCTGGCACCAGCTGGCAGGTGCCCCCATTTGGACAGCCCCCAGCAGGGCAGGGTCCTTTCTGGAGCGCACAGTGGGGACCCTTCTGGCCTGCAGGGCAGAGGCACCGGAAGGAGCCCAGGACGTTATGGCAGGAGGCGCCTTCCGGGCAGGGGCCCTGGTCCAGGAAGCACTCCTTGACATCGTGCTCACAGGTGTGGCCCTTCAAGCCTGGTGGGCAGCGGCACTGGATCTGGGGGTAGGTGGTCAGACACTCGCCTCCGCTGGTGCACAGGCTGGCTGAGCAGAAGTCCCGGAGCTGGCATTGCTCGCCTGCGGCAGGGGCAGAGGGGACGTCCGAGAGTGCTCTGCTGTCCCTGTGGGTGTCTGGAATCCTGCCATTTCCCCTCACCCCCCCCCCTGTCTTTGCCCTGCGCCCGGGCCCCCCAGGGCTGTGTCTGGAGCAGCCACATTTTCCAAACTGAAAGGAGACTTGTGTCTAGTGACAGGAGGGTCATTAACAGACCCTGCCTGGGAAGGAAGACCCGGAAGGGTAGTGACTTCCTTGGGGGCCAGAGGTGAAAGGCGCCCAGCATCCACAGGACAGACCCTCGGGTTAGCACCTTGCTGTGGCCCCCCTGCCAGTGTGGGTCTGCCCTCAACCAGGATCTGACTTCTGATCTCTGTGGGGGTGGGGACTGAATAATGATGAGGGACTCACTTCCCAGCCCTGTGCCACAGCAGTGGCAGTGGTGATAACCACAGTCACTGCAGTGCATTGTGTCAGGTGCTGAGCTAAGTAAGCACCTCCTGAGCATCCTTCCCTCTCATCTTCTCAACAAACTTCTTCTTCTTGTCCCCCCCTCCCCCGCCCCCACTTTGGTCTTTTAAGGCAGGGTTTGCTATGCAATTCAGCCTGGGCTTGAGCTCACTTTGTAGCTAGAGCTGGCCTGGAATTCACAGCAGCCCCCCCCCCCCCCCTCAGTCTCCCAAGTGCTGGGAGGACAGGCATGTGCCACCGCACCTGGCTCTTTCAACAACCTTCTGAACCCGGCTGGGCCGGTGACTGAGGGCCCAGGGGACTTAAATGTCTCCTGCAAGGCAGCAGAGCTACCGTAGTCAGTGGCCGAGTGGCTGCCCTAGAACCCCTACTCTCAGGTGGGAGGCTTGCTCCGGGCCAGTCTCCTTCCGGGAATGCATCCCCAGGTCTCTCCCTGGTCTGCTCTGATCCCACCAACTCCCACACCTCTCACCAGTGTGGTCTCTCCAGGCACCATCAGGGGCGCCTGTGGGAAGCCACCTGAGATGGCGCCCATTTCCTGCTTCCGGGTTCTTCCCGGCCTGAACAAGCCCGCCAAATTGTCATATCTGCCCAGTTACCCGTGACGCTAGCCTATCAGCTTGTTAGGCGCGCTTCTCTGTGATTGGATACTGCTTCCCCTTATAAGAGGTTGTTCCTGCCCCCAACGGCGGAAGAGGAATCAACACCGAGGGTGGCGGACCTTGTCAGGTCCGGTTCGCTGTACGTAATAAAGTTTGAGAGCTGATCCTGCTCGAGTTTGGTCTCCTGTCTCCCGCGGCTCCGGTCATCTGGTGGCCGCCCGTACGGGGAAAAAGGTAAAAGACTCAGCGACGTGCCTCTTCGGCCGGGAGGTGCGATTGCTGTCGCCTGCGGTACGACGGAGGACCTGGCTCAATAACAACGGAAGGCCGCGAGCGCCTCTTCTCTTCACCCTGATCAGCTACGTGAGATACAGCGGTTCCCGGGACAGGTGAGTACTGGGTCACCTGGGTTGGGTGGACGCACCTAACAGATTTTGAGCGCCACACGAGTGGACGCTGGGTTTTTTTTTCTTTTCTTTTCCCTTTGCATCTGTTTTGCTTTCGCTTCGCTAATACAGCCCGACAGGCTTTTGATAGAGCTCGATCGGAATGCTCAGAGGAGCCCGGAGCCACTGCCGATTGTGGGTCTCCGGAGGACCCTCAGGGCTCTAATTCTGATTCTGATTCGGAAGGCTCAGAAGAGGAGGTCGTCTTTGCTAAGCATGACCCTCCTACACCGTTAAAAGAGGAACTTAGGGCTCGGGAAGATAAAAAGGGGAACCAAACACCACCCTGCCCGAGCTACTCCGCCTTACGGGAGGAGCTTAAGCCCTTCCGCCCTTTGGCAAGTTCACCACCGGAGGGTCCTTCCACCGGAGGGTATGGTCGCGGCTTCCTTTTGAGTGTTCCGGTCTCCATGCATTCCCGGTACAAGTAGGAGGCAGGGGAGGAGGAGGATATTATAAGCCCTTAGAAATTAAACAACTTAAAACTATCAAGGACGCAGTTTCAGCTTATGGGCCCAATGCGCCATTTACCATGGCGCTTTTAGAGGCATTGGCAGGTCTGCTTTTAACTCCTGGAGATTGGACCCAGCTGGCACGCGCCTGCCTCTCCCCCGGACAATAAGTCCTGGAATGAGGAATTCTGTGTAGAGCAGGCGGCAGCCAACAGGGAAAATAACCAGAGAGAGTGGAACAGGGATATGCTATTAGGGCGAGGAACCTTTGAGGAAGATCAAACTCAATACCCTCGCCAGGTTTATGAACAAATTAGCCGCTGTGGCCTCCAGGCCTGGAGACGGCTGGCTGGAAAGGGAGAAAGGGCCACCCATGCTATTAATCATTGTCTTGCAGCCTGGGCTGCTTGGGGAAAGCCCAATATATTAAAAACAGACAATGGTCCTGCTTACACCAGCAAAACTTTTGTAACATTCTGTCAACAAATGGATGTTGTCCTTAAGCATGGCATTCCATATAACCCTCAAGGACAAGGCATCATTGAACGGGCACATCGGACACTCAAGGGTGTCTTACAAAAGCAAAAAGAGGGGGTAGGCCACGGCCTAACGCCCAAAGGAAGAATATCATTGGCACTCTTTACCATATCATTCCCCTGCCATGGAGCACAATAACCCGTCCCCGGCCGACAAAGGGCTGGTGAGATGGAAAGATGTCCTTACAGGACAATGGATGGGCCCGGATCCAGTGGTTAGTTGGACCCGAGGTGCGGTTTGTGTCTTCCCACAGGAACCAGGCTGCGAACCGCTGTGGGTCCCGGAAAGATTGACGCGAGCAGTAAACTCCCCACCAGTTCCTGATAAAGCACAGGAAGATAAGCCCGCGGACACAAGTCAACTCGACCCTTCTGGGACCGACGCTCAGCGCCCAAGACCATCTACAAACTAAAATGTCTGGTTTGGAGCTTTTTCTATTCTGTGGGTTCCTATTAATCACCCCTGTGATATGCTCAGATTCCACAGAACCACCACAATATCTTTGGGGTCCTTGGCACTACCCGCCCACATTGGCACCTTTTTCGGCGGCCTCGCCCGCCTCACCCAGGGTTTACACCATCAATCAAACAGTCCTTGATTATGCTAATTGCCATGGCTATCCTAGTAGAGCTTGTGGTTATTAAATGCTTGTTAGATCGCCTCATACAAACTCAGCAGCAGGTTAAGATCACAGCTATGGCAGCCATGCAAATGGCAGCAGGTGGCCCATCAGGCCAGCAGGCCGCCGCATATCTCCTTCACATTGCAGAACATCAGCTATAAGAGCTGAGTGGGCAAGCCAATGACGGGTAAGACGGGAAAAGCCCTCCCAGTCAACCTAAGACAGGCTCCACTCAGATATATATGGCCTATAAGGCCAGGGGTCCCTCCTGGAGCCAAATTATTGGCATTGAGATGCGAGACCAAGGGTACTGCAGTGCCATCCGCCCCAAAGGTTGGGGGGAAGGCAGGAATGAATGTCTATATGCATCCAGGTTCAGTTCACAAAAGCCTGGCCCTGCGAAAAAATGAACCACTCACCTTGAGCATGGTCCTGGCGCAAGGATATGCACAAAACAGGGTGATGCACAGCAGGGTATAGACCTCTACATTCTCTCATGCCTCGGCCTACAAGGTAGGCCCACTCCTAGGTGTCTAACAGCAACAAGGTCATAGACACCTTGGAGGGACCCACAGACCATCCTATTTTAATAAATAAAAAAGGGGGAGATGTGGGAAGCCACCTGAGATGGCGCCCATTTCCTGCTTCCGGGTTCTTCCCGGCCTGAACAAGCCCGCCAAATTGTCATATCTGCCCAGTTACCCGTGACGCTAGCCTATCAGCTTGTTAGGCGCGCTTCTCTGTGATTGGATACTGCTTCCCCTTATAAGAGGTTGTTCCTGCCCCCAACGGCGGAAGAGGAATCAACACCGAGGGTGGCGGACCTTGTCAGGTCCGGTTCGCTGTACGTAATAAAGTTTGAGAGCTGATCCTGCTCGAGTTTGGTCTCCTGTCTCCCGCGGCTCCGGTCAGGCGCCCACCTCAGAATGTGGAGCCTGGAGGTCCTTCGTAAGAGAGGAACCCTACAGCTGCTGAGTTCAGGGGTGCTCAAAGGCCCAGGCGAGGCAGCAGGACGGTGCCCTACAGGGCTCGTGGCGCCTGGCTCTTGGAGATATTTGGACCAGTTTGGAGCTATTTCGCAGTCTTAGTAAGGGGTGCTGGTGACTGTCAGTCTGGATCGAGGGGGTGGGCTGCCAAGGTCAGGTCTCAGTGTCCAGGCCTCTTGGGATCCAGCTCCATCTTCCTCACCCCCCGCCTGGCCCCTGCCACACCCTCCTTGCTGCCCCAGGCCCTCACCTGTCCACCCAGGCAGGCAGGAGCACCTTGGGCGGCCTGGGCCCTGCAGGTGGCATCGGCCCTTCTTAGAGCAGAAGAAGGGAGGACAGGGGTCTTCGAGCTGGGCCTCACACCGCTTGCCAGTGAAGCCGGAGGGGCAGGTGCAGAAGAAGCTGGGGGCCGGCGGAGAGGGGGCACTGGGGGAGCTTAGGGGGGTGGGAAGCAGGGCCTGGCAGCTGCCCCCATTCTGGCAGAGCTGGGCCTCCTGGCAGGGGTCAGGAAACTGGCACATCTCACCCAGGAAGCCGGGGGCGCACCTGGGCAGGTGGGAGAGGAAAGCGCACATGGCTGTGGCCCTTTCCCACCTCCCCCAGGCCTTGGTCCATCTCCTCCTCCCCTCTCTTCTTCCCACGCCCGCCCTCCTTCACCCTCCCCTCTGGTCTCCTGTACTTGCTCCAGGCACACTCACCGGCAGGCCCCGGGCCCCAGAGGTGGACTCAGGCAGGTGCCTCCGTTGGCGCAGGGCTTTGGGAAACCCCCGCACCGCAGCCCTGGGACAGAGAAGGAGCACGGATGGGGCCCAGGGACCGAGCTGGGCCTGTCCCCCTCCAGTCCACACCCACTCGTGCTGCAGACCACACTGCTCTTCGTGCCCCTGTCCGGTACCCACGTGGTCCCACCTTCCCAGACCTCTCTGTGCCCGATCCCCACCCCCTTTCCTGTTTGTTCTCCGAAATCCAGTCCCCCTCCCGCTCCATCCCCCGGAAGCAAGACAACAGGGAGCCAGGAGGGGGGCCTCGGGCTCCCAGGAGGTGAATGGCTGCGACATGGAAGGGATTTCCTCCAGGAAAGGCCCAGCACTGAGCCACGGGGGTGGGGACAGCTGGGCTGGAAGGGGACTTGGTGTGCCTTGACCCTCCCTGTCTGCACATCCCCATACCCTCTGGCCTCTTCCCCCAGCAGGTGGTCCGTCTGCTTGGATTCTGACGCAATCTGACTATAAGAACCCTCTGCCTCTCAGCTCCAGGGCCCAGCGGGGGCCCAGCAGGTTCTGGCAGTGGGTCCTTCTCGCCCACCCTCTAGTGGCCACTGCCCCTGGCGCCAGGCCTGGTCTGAGCAGCTCCTGTGGAAGTTGGCTCTCTCTGCGCTGTTCCCAACTGGGGAAGACACTTTTCCGTTCCGCCTGTCCTCAGAGCCTGGCATAGGCCTGTCCCCCACCCTTGGGCTCCTCCTGGGGGGTGGCCCTCCCTCTGTCACCCCGTCTCACCTCTGGTCATGGCCAGTGGAAAACAGGGCAGCAGCAGCAGCAGGAGGGAAGGGGGCTGCATTCCAGAGCCCCCACCCACGCCCAGGTCCCCTCTCCCTCTTCAGGATGGCACTGCAGGGCCACCTCCTCGGCTCCCACTGCCCCTTCCTCCTCTTCCTTGGCCTGCAACAGCTTCAAGTCTGAGCTGTTTCCTGAGTCACACAATGTCCTGCACACCCTAGTGATGGGGAGGAGGGAGCAGAGGAACCCTGGGGGGTGAGGGAGGGGCCTTCTGTCCCTGACAGCCCCTAGGGGAGTGGGAAGGTAGGGCCTTGTGGCTGGAGGGCAGGTGACAGGAGGGGTGCAGCCCCGGCCCTGTCTGGGACATGGTTCCTCCTTCGAATAGGTGGGGACCCTGAGGTGGCTGCCCCCATGCCATGGGCGCCAGGGCCTTGACAGGAGTGTGGGAGCAGTGAGGCATAGCCCCATTGATCTGCCCAGGAGAGAAAGCTTAATTGGTCAGTTCAGGGCAGACACCTCCCAGAAGACCTGCAACTTGTCCCTGTTTGAAACTGCTCACCTAGACAGAGGGTGCTTGGGGGACTTTCAGGCCCCACTTTGGCCCTTGTTACATTTCCTTTGCTTCTTCTGGGAAATGAGTAAGATGCTGGCTGGGTCTGGAGGGATCTTTGCTTCCCATGGAGAATGCGTGACTGACATTATCCACGGAGCAGGAACCCAGGCCAGGCTGGGAGTGGGCACAGGCCTGGAATCCCGGCAGGGGGAGCAGGAGTGGGTGCTCAAGCCCAGCCTGGGCTGCATCGTGACGTCAGGGGCAGTCTGGGCTATGTGGTAATACCCTGTCTTAAAAAAAACAGTCCATTCTAAATTCTAAAAGTCTACAATTCTAAATTTTGGAATCTGGGTTATCTGCAACAAACACTAAATTTGGGTAGTTTTGCTCCATCCGTCTCTGCCTCCATCTCCTGTGAGGATCCTGACAGGTAGGACAGGAATGCCAGTGGAATATAAAATTGGAGGAAATAAAATTGCAAAAAGAAGTTTGTTGTCTTGAAAAGTTCACCTGCCCGAGTTACTCAAGCTGGACTCAAACTTGGGGTCCTCCTGCCTCGACCTCCCAGAGGAACTGGCATTGCTGTATGCCGTGCCTGGCTTCACCCTGCCTTCCAGACAGCTTCCTGGTCAGCCACCCTGAGTCTCCTGGTAGCCCTGAGTGCGGGGAGCCCTCCGGGAGTGTCTGGCACGGCTGTGGGCATATCCAGCGGCTACAGCCTGGGGCACGTGTGCCTCCCCTGTCAGGAAATACAGAGTTCACCAGCAAGGCCTCGTTCTTTCTGAAAACTTGTTTTGGAAATAATGTAAAATTCATAGAAGAGGGGCAAGAATACTAAAACGAGTTCCAGGGCAACCCAGGGTGTCAGGTTCACCGATGGATCATTTGACCACAGTGGCTTTATCACTGTTTCTTTATAAATGCACATCAGTACCTTTTTTGAACCATTTGGGGGTAAGCGCCACTTTAACTCTACACTTCCCCTTGTGAGGTTCCTACGAACAGCCTTTTACCCAACAGAGTACAATGATCAGAATCAGGAAAACTGGTGTAATACTGCGATCTAATCAGCAGGCCCTATTCAAAACTTGTCAATTGTCCCTGATATCCTTTGTTACAATTTTATTTCTTGGGCCAAGATCTAAACTAGGATTATTCAATGTACTGCATTTAGTTAGGTCTTTTTAGTGCTCTTTAAATATGGGTATAGTTCCTTAGGCTTTGTCTTTCCTTATACTGACATTTTAAAAGAATACAAATTAGAAGAAGAAGAGGAGAAGGAGGAGGAAACGATGACAAATCAATTATTTTTTAAAGGCTGTTCCTAAGTTTGCATGTGTCTGATTTTTTCTTTATTTTTGGTGTAGGATATTGAGCTCAGGGTCTTATTCAGGCTGAACAGCCTGTTTCCGAGCTGTATCTCCTGCCCACCCAGATCACTGTGAATGGTGGCCCATGACCCACTCTTTGCTGAAACCTAGTTCATTTAAAACAGTTTCCAAGGGGTCGTGGTAGGGCACACTGGGAGAGGGAGCCAGGAGGATCACCGCAAGTTCGAGGCCAGGCTGGGCTCTGTACTGAGTTCAAGCCTGGTCCAACTACATGAAACCCTGTCTCAAAAACCAAACCAAGCCTAAACAAAAGTTTCCTGTTGTAGCTGAGGTGCTATAGAGTCCCGAAGCAGACCTGGATGGAGAGAACTGCACTTGCCATTTCTGCTGTCCTCAGTCACTTTGGAAAAGGATGCTGGACTGGAGGCTGAGTGGCAGAGGAAATGACCCATGGAGACTGAGAAGTGGCTGGCTGAAGGGGAGCCAGGAGTGTGGTAGTGCAGAAATGGAGTTTCATGACAGCGTTAGGGCAGCATCCAGCCCGTGTGCTGCCTATCAGGCCTCAAACAAGACAGTGGGCACCCATGCAGTTCTGTCTCAGACAGCTCCCGTGCCTCTAGGACCCTGCGGCCCAAGAGTGTATTCATTTCCTAAGAACTTATCTCCTTTGGGCGGTACTGTCCCCGTGCAGTCACCCACAGCATGCCAGCGACAGAGTGGATTGTCTCAGTCACTTTTTCATTGCTGGGACTCAATATCTGACACTAACAGAGTAAAGGAGGGGAGGTTTATTTGGGCTGTCCTTTCCAGTCCGAGGTCTTCAAGGCCCAGAGGCAGTTTGGCATCCAGGGAGAGCAGCCACAGAAAAGCTGCTGTGTCATGGTAACCGTGGAGCTGAGGAAAGGGAGAAGCAGGAAGAGAGGTGGACCCTTCCGGTGAAGGCCCTGGGTCAAGCTCACCTCTTCCAGCCAGACCCCCACTCCTAACTACATCATCCAATCACCTCCCACCAGCCCCACCTCTGGGAGCACGAGGCTGGGGGGCATCTATAAACTAATGATGACCACACTCGAAGAAGACATCAGCCTATTGTAGGGCAGGAATAAGCAGGACTGGCCTACCCCACTCAGTCTTTCTGAATTTAGTAGTACACTATTTAGAAATACAAGTTCGGGGGACTTGGAATCGTTCTGTTCCCTCAGGACTCTCTCTTGCTACCCTGCTGGTCACTTGTCCTCTCCTCGGTTTACCCTGCAGGGTCCATCATTGAAATCCCGGCTCTTGTCGTTTATGTGTTCCTGGGTGATTTCATTTTGTCTCCTAACTTCCTCCCTGATTAAAATACCAATGTAGAAGACCATCTTTGTGTGGTGACCCCCAAGTTTATATATCTAGATCAGACTGCCTTTTTTGGGGGGATTCCAGATTTGTACTGCAAGTGTCTGACAAGTGCCTTACATTCAGCATGTCCAGAGGTGATGGGATCTTCCCCTCCAGCCTTCTTCCTCTTGCTAGAATTGGGTTTGGTAATTCTATTGTTATAGCTGTTTTGGCCCCAGTCATTAGAGACATTGCTGTCTCCTCCTTTTTCTCCTATTCCATACCCAATCTAGCTCAGATTCCATCAGCTTTATCTTGAAAAGAGGTTTAGATAAAATCAGGTAGATTTAGATGAAAATCTAGATTCATCTCTGTGTCTCCTAACTTGCTTCTTTGTGGTTGTGCCTCTTCTCCGTGGTCACTTCTCAGTACAGACATCTCTGTTTGGAATAAGTCTGTTAAAGATGAGTCAGACCAGGTGACTCCTCTCAGTGATTTCTCCAGTCTTTCAGAGGAAAGCTAACTTCCTCGCAAGGCCCTGCGTGTCCTTCCACCCTCCCTAGCCCCTCTTACCTTTCTGGGTTATCACCAAGTTCTCCACTAATTCATTTGTTGTGCCCCACTGGCCTCGTGTGTGTGTGTGTGTGTGTGTGTGTGTGCTACTCAGGATTGAGGTTAGGCCCTCATGCATGGATAATTTTCTGGAATGACACAAACTGAGACTGAGGCATGGGGAAAAAATCTGAATACAACTGTAAGTAAAGATATGAAGCTGGTAATCAACATGCGGAAATTGATTATTTCAATACACCATATTTTTGGAATAAAAGACAAAAATCACACAATACTGTCAATTATATGAGAGAAGTATTTAATAAAACAATGCAGCAGGATACAAAAGTCAGTGTTAATAAATCAATAACTTACCTTTTAAAATATATAAATGGATGATTTGAGAAAGACATCAGGAAAACAATTCCATCCACAGTGGCTTCAAAAACCAATCTAGGACTGGGGATTTAGTTCAGCAGCATAAGCTGGTAAGAACTAGGTTGTCAGTTTGATCCCTGGTACAAAAAAACAAACAAAAAAACCCCCCCACAAACAAACAAAAAAACTAACCTAGAGGATGACTGATGTTCTCAGTGACAGTTACAGAATACTGGGGACTTAAACTGGAGAAGACACTGAAGGTGGAGACTCCCGTGTTCACAGATCAGCAGAATCTATACTGTGAAGGTAGCTATCGCCACAAGTGCTCTACAGATTCAGTGCAATCCTCATCAAAATACCAACGACATTATTTCCAGAACTAGAAAAAAATCCCAAAATTCACATGAAAAGATAAAATACCCAGAATATCCAAAGGCCATCCTAAGCAAAATGAGCAAAGGTGGAGGCATCACAGTGTCTGATTTTAAGTTATACCACTGCACAAAGACAGATACACAGAGCAGTGCAGAAGCAGCCCAGTGACAGACAGCGCAGCCCCCATCTGATGACTGACAAGGGAGCCCAGGGTCTGTGTTGCAGAAAGGACAGCTTCTCTAACAAATGATGCTGGGAAAACTTGCATGTGTGAAGACTGAAACCAGGTCCCTCTCTCCTACCCTGTACAAAAAAGAAAAAAGAATTCAAAATGGATCTAAAACCTAGGCATATGGCGTGAAACTCTGACACTGTGAGGACAAAATACAGGGGAAACACGTGAAGCCATCGACACAGGCATGGACTTCCTGAAGAGGACGCCAACCACATGGGAAATGTTGCCAAGCATCAACAAGTAGTACACTGCCGCGTGAAAAAGCTTCTGCACAACTAACAGTGAAGAGATGGCTCAATGCATGGGAGATCTTTGTCCTCTACCCTAGGGGATTAACATCTAGGCCATATAAAGAACTCAGAAACTTTAACACCCAAATGTCAAAGAGCCTCATCAGTAAATGGGCAAATGAAACAAACAGTCTCTTCTCAAAAGAAAAACTA